CAATTCGAGGTCTTACAGTTCAGAGCCCTTGGAGCTTACACGATAACCTTCTGGCGCATCGCGCGTCTTAACTTTATTTGTCAGCCGACCAGGAACAAACGAATGCCTGAGGGAGTAAAGCCAGAAAGCCGCAAATTGAAAGACGGGCTGACACCCATTACATGCAGTTCATTTTCTTCTCTCTTCTTATTTCAGATGCATCCTATTTATCAGTAGTCAATACAAAGAACTCACAACCCTTGCGCAACAATAAAGACTTTTGGTACAAAAATAGATCAAGGAGTAGCTGTGCATTCAGGAGCACTGTTTTATAGGCTGGCTTCTTTCCCTTGGCCTTTTCTTTTCAGGAGAGACGAGTCCGTTTGTTGCTTTTTCTTGCATTTGAATCGCGACTCCCTTGCCTGACCTATTGTTGAGTGGAGCCTCAGGCATCCGCAATTGTTGTTCCAGACCCGACGCCAGCGGGTTCTGTAGCCTATCGCTAGCTTGACCTGTGCCTAGCCCAATCATCACCATCACCATCACTTTACCTCACACGACCAGTTGCGCTCGTCTCCATCACCGCCATCATGTCTGGAGACTCTGCTGAGGTGGCGGAGGATTACCGCATGGCCTTGGAGGATCTATCCTCCAACATGCGCTTCGAGATTAGCAACCTGACAGTCATTGCTCGTGAGAATACTGAACATGCCCTAGCTATCGCCGAAGTTTTGCAACAACACATCCTCAAGGTAAGTTAGAATCTTAATGCGCAATATGAATGCGCGCGAACAATTCAATCCAATGCTAATTTCCGCGTAGGCGCCACCGAACAAGAAACTTCCAGCTCTGTATGTACTCGACTCGATCGTGAAAAATGTCGGCACACCATACACTCTCTACTTCGGCCGCACTCTGTTCAAGACCTTTATGGAATCTTATGCAGTAGTCGATCAACCAGTTCGTCGAAAAATGGAGGAGATGCTTAGAACATGGAAGGAGCCTGTTCCTGGGTCAATGGACAGCAGGCCCGTCTTTACGCACGAGTTGGTGCGTCCTATTGAGAATGCACTCTTGAAGGCACGCGCCGTAAGCATGCCCCAAGCGGGAATGATGCCTGGGCGACCGCGCTCTGCCGTGCCTCATCGTGATACTCCGACACCGCCTGGGACGAGATACCCTCCAGGTCATCCAGCCCAGCAATACACTTCAAATGGGGGACAGTCATTGAGCAATGACATTCGGAATCTAATTGTTGCCACGCAGGCGGAAGCCTCGCGCAATCCCCAAAATGTTGATGTTCAGACTAGATTAAGAGCACTTCATGAGCTGCAGGGCGTTGTGAACAGCACTAGCTTGCCTCCGGATCAGCTTGAGCTCATTAAGAGACGAGTAACTGAACTTGCTGCCGTAAACATGATGGCGCCTCTGACTCAAAGGCCTGCACCTACTCCTCCTGTGCCCGTTCAAGCACGCCCTATGCCTCCAGTGTCCGTAGCCCTTCCTCCGTCTGCAGCTCCGGCTCCGGCGCAAGAAGGTGTGACGCTTGATGCGCTCTTTGGCCCGGGGGCCTTGGCCGCCTTGATGGCAAGAAAGTCGGCTACACCTTCGAGCTCAACACCAACCCCTCAGCCTCCTCAGGTTCGTCCTGAACCGCCAAAGCCACCTATGTCAAACATGTCTGCAATGCCGGCCATGGCTCCTTTGCCAGCAATGTCGATACCTACGATACCTGGAATGACTCCAATGCCTACGATGTCCCAGACACCAACACCAGCGCCGGCAGCAAACGCAGCCCCTTGGAGTCTTCTTGATCAACTACGGAAATCAGGCCTACTCCCTCCTGCGCCTACAGCAACACCCACGCCAGTTCCAGTACAAGGCGGTATCAATGTGGCCGCTCTCAAACAGCCCTGTCAGCCTTCTTTGATCAGGGCGCTACATAACGACCTGGGCCAACCTTGTACCCAGTGTGGTAGACGGTTTCGAGACGATCCAGTTGGAAAGAAGCAGAAGATTGCTCATATGGACTGGCATTTCCGTGTCCACCAGCGAACCAACGAAGCCGAGAAGCGAGGTATGCACCGGAGTTGGTACGTTGATCAACGCGTAAGTCACAACACTACCTCCTCACAATACAAAATTACTAACAACAGTACAGGACTGGCTCAAGTCAAGAGAAGCCGTCGACGTCGACCACCTCCCCACGACTGAAGATGTTGCCGCTCAGGCCTCAAAGGCATCCGAGGCTGCTAAGCCAAAGTACATCCTTGTTCCTGATGCATCTCGCCGTATCAACACTGTTTGTCCAATCTGCCAGGACAAGTTTGAGAACAAATGGCTCGATACGGCACAAGAATGGGTATGGCTAGACACAGTTCTAGTTGGCGACCGAGCCTATCACGCATCATGTCATGCAGAAGCAACACGAGACCGTGAAAACACGCCAGTACTAGGCAAACGCAAGGCCGAAACAAGCATAGCATCGCCTAAAGTGCGGTCACTCAAGACATCAGCTTAAAGAAATCGAACATTGGTACAGCATTGAGATGTAAATATATATCGGCTTGGCGGCACAGGCGTTATGGAACGAGCATGAAAGGGATTGGTGGTCGTTGAAGCATTATCATGGAGTTATGTTAAGGGTTTTTAGCAATTTAGTCAACCAGGCTATTGAAATGGTTGTCGCCATAGCCAAGATAAAACAATGTAATCTTTTGATTCTAAACTGTTCATAATGTGTAGTGAAAAGTCGTGAAACTGTACAAGGAATGGACGGTAGTGGTAGTCCAGACTAACAAATACCGATTATATGGATCCGAGAGCGGCCCGTTGTTCGGGGATTGGTCCCCACGATTTTGAACACGGACTTGCACGCGTTTTAGTTAGTTCAGGTACGGTCCACTCTATTTTGTTCACTTGAGCTGGTCACCTCCATGCTTCATTCCATGCATGATCCTAATCTGCCAACCAACCGATGACAACTCACCACAACCTAACGTCCACTACCAAGTCGCATAACAAACCAAGCTCGCCCTCTGTGATTCGGTGATCGGCATGACTACAGCGACCATGGCGGTCGACTGCCCCATCTGCAACAAGCCTGTCAAATCGTCCGAGATCAACAGCCACATCGACTCAGGATGCGAGAGCTTCATCATAGACAAAGAGAAGGCCCCGACACCACCGCAATCACAGACACCACAAAGTAACTCTCAGAAACGAAACGCTTCTAACTTCTTCTCTACGCCCGCGCCCAAACGACAAGCTGCCTCAGAGAACCGAATAGCGACTCCCGTCAACGGAGCATTACAACCCATAGCAGGGAAGAAAAGGACTTTCGAAGAAGGCCCAGGTCATGGGGTGGCAAGCTTCAAGGATGCGGAAGAGACGACGAACGGCGAGAATGCCAACGGAGCGAGTACTTGGTCTCCAAATACTGAGCAGGATGGAAGAGCGGCGAAGAAGACAAAGACACAACGAGCTGCGCCTTTGGCCGAACGAATGCGACCACGAAACCTCGACGAAGTATGCGGGCAAGATCTAGTCGGACCAAATGGTGTGCTGCGCTCTCTGATCGAGTCGAACCAAGTACCCTCGATGATTCTATGGGGTGCTTCAGGCACAGGAAAGACGACAATAGCACGATGTATCGCTCGTATGGTCGGCAGTCGGTTCATCGAACTCAATGCGACAAGTACAGGAGTCAGCGAGTGCAAGAAATACTTCCAAGAGGCGATGAATGATCTTGCTCTTACTGGTCGCAAGACCATAATATTTTGTGACGAGATTCATCGCTTCAATAAGGCCCAGCAAGACGTGTTCCTCAAGCCTGTTGAGGCCGGTACTGTGACGCTCATCGGCGCAACTACAGAGAACCCTTCTTTCAAGGTGGCAAATGCTTTGCTCTCCCGATGTCGTACCTTTACGTTGCAGTCTCTTACAGCAGAGGATGTAGTACGCATTTTACAGCGGGCAATCAAGGAGGAAGAATCAGTTTATCCGCAAACACCATTATTGGACGAAGCTATGGTGACCTACCTGGCACGCTTTGCGGATGGTGATGCTCGTACTGCCTTGAACCTCCTCGAGCTCGCCCTTTCGCTCACAACTCGTGAGGGTATCACACAAGAAGATATCAAAGCCGCCCTTACCAAGACTCTCGTTTACGACCGTGCAGGCGACCAACATTACGATACTATTTCTGCTTTCCACAAGTCAGTCCGTGGAAACGATGCAGATGCGGCACTCTACTATCTTGCTCGCATGCTCCAATCCGGCGAGGACCCCTTATTCATCGCTCGCCGCATGGTTGTCATTGCCTCCGAAGACGTTGGCCTGGCGGATAACACCCTCCTACCACTTGCTACGGCAACATACACGGCCACACAACAAATTGGCATGCCAGAAGCTAGGATACCTCTGGCACACTGTACTGTTGCGCTATGTAATGCGCCCAAGAGCACCAAGGCCTACCGTGCTCTCAACAATGCCTACGCAGCCCTACGCGAACCAGGTGTGGCCGGTCTTCCTGTACCTCTGCATCTGCGCAATGCTCCTACAAGACTCATGCGTGACATAGGATATGGCGCTGAGTACAAGTATCCACCAAATTACCGTGATGGACAGGTGAAGCAGACATATTTACCCGACGAACTTGTTGGACGTCGGTTTGTTGAGGACCGGGATCTAGGAACAGAAGTTGATCCAGATCTTGAGATGGGCGGAACATAGTTATATGGATGGAATCTGGAATAGACTGGATGGCATAAGGAAATGGATAAAAAGCGTAGTTTTGCATTGTCTCAGGAGTAAGGATAACGTTGGCTACCCCCAGGGGTTTATAATACTGTACTATAAATGCTGTGCCATAGAGACTTGGAAACAGAGACTAAAATTACCTCTCTGTGGTTCTCGTTGACATACCTGTTCTCTTTCTTTTGTGATACAAGATCAAAGGCACGTACTTCACGGTATAGTGAATGACAGGCATAGCAACTTCACCAAATGTCACAAGGTATCATGATTTCTCCCATAAAGCTTTGTCCCATTAAACTACCTAAACCGATCTTCAAACCCGTGAAGATTTTATCAGCCATCTAGGCCAGGTACCCAAACATAATCCCAGTCGTCTAAAACCCATAAATGGTACATTCAAGTAATAACATATTCAACTCAAATCGTCCGTGGTATCAACACCTCCAAGAATTTCATGTCATTGCTCAACTTAAACCACACTGTCCAACTTGTAAGGCATGGCACCTTGAGAATCGTTAGTATTTGGCACCGTAGGAAAGAGTTGAAGATGACTTACCACCCATGCCGCCAAATGAGTTAATGCCTTGGGCCTGAGCTGGGAATCCGCCAGCTGAGCAGGAGACCATGCATACACAGCTGCCATCGCCACCGATGACACCCTTTCCAGGGACAACTCCTGTGGCTTCAGGAGCCGCGGGAGCAGGTGGTGCAGCCTCAGCAGGCTTGGACTCAGCAGGAGGAGCGGGAGGTGCAGGGGCAGCATCGCCGCCTGTGATGGGAGTAGCCTTGCCATCACCATTCTGTTGAATGGCCATCTCCTTGAACTTGGCCTGGGTCTTCTCAGCAGTAGGGTTGATGGAGAAGACCATACCCTGACCACAGTGGTTGCCTTGCTTGCAGTAGAACCCTGGGAGGGTTAGTATAAGAACCAGGATACGATTAGGGTTGTCACTTACAGAGAGGAGTGTCAACCATGACTTGCATAGCGACTTGGGGAGGAGGAGAAACGGTGTTGTTAGGGTTGGGCATGAAACCAGAGTCCATGCCACCCTCGAGAAGAGCACAAGGCTTATCGAAACCAGACTGAGAGACGGTGTGGTTCTGTGACAGGAACTCGAAGACAACAGTGTCGCCGATGGGGATATTGTGAAGCTCCTCAGGCTGGTAGACTAGACCTCCTGGACCACCAACAGTGACGGTGTGCTGAGAAGGAGCTGCAGGAGTAGCAACGGCCTCGCCTCCCTTGGTGACGGTCTCAGTAACTGTGACCTTTTCGTTGATGGTGGTAGTTTCGGCACCAGCTCCAGGGTTCGCCCAGATGATGATGATCTCGGTCTTGGAGATCTTGTGACCTCCCGAAACGATCTTCTTGTGTCCACTGAGAAGCTCTGCAGGAAGAGCGTTTCCAGGTATGGCTTCCGCAGGTACAGCTTCGGCAGGCATAGGATGATCCCGTCGTTCAGGCTGAGCAAAGTCGAGGAAACGCGCCATGGTCAAGGGCGCAAAGGCGGCGGCCACGGCCAGACTAGTTGAAGCTTTCATGATGTTTAAACTTGAGGGTATTAAAGTAGAAAAGGAAAAAGATTGCGAGTTGTTCGGGCCAGAGACGAGTCGAGATGAGATCGATCTAGCGATTAAGAGACTAAGTAAGTAATAATGAAGAGGGCCTGCCTTCAAAGAAAGGAATTCTCAAGTGCAAAAAGAATGAAGCACAAGAAACAATTGAGAAAGAGATGGAGATATGGGGATGGGATGTTTGTTGACAATCGTGGTACTGCTGTGCCCTTATTATACCTTGCCTTGCTTCTCACGAGCGAGCTAGCGAAACTGTTTAAACAATGGAACCGCCTGTAACCCCCTTGAAAAGACAAGCCCTCAAACACATTTTCGAAACACGGCCGCTGAAGAAGCCGAATCTTAGCTTTGCTCGCTTCGGTCTGTCTAGATCCGATCAACTAGTTACCTAGGCCTGTGAAACGCTTGTTGATGCGGGGGTGGTCTCTGTGACAGGTCCGTCTCGGATCACGTTTGGTGTTTTGGAGTTTTACCCTTTTGCGCTGTTCCTAGTGCCAAGCGAGTAATATGCGACACATAAGGATTGGGATGGGTTTCTTACGTAGCGACCAGTATAGGCCTAAAGTGCTTAATTAAGTCTATATAGGGTCGTATCAACCAACGTTAACAGGGGCTGTTTTTGTTAGTGGTGAGACGTCAAAGAGACAGGTCCGACAAAGCCAAGAACGGGGCTTGGCTACTCCGTGCGTGCTCAGAGTCCAAGGCCCAGCCACCTGAGGTTTCTATTATACCAGAATTGCAGTATAATATCGTCGACCCGATGCTCACTGAAGCCAAGAAAGGGCCAAGCTATTAAATACACTTATCCTCGCCGTTTGAGCGGCACGGAGGCCGTTTCACCATTGATCGTCAACGGTGAGGTTTCATCGACATAGTCTCGTCCGCGATAGACCCTTCCAGGCACAATAATTCGGACGACAAAAAGTTTATCGCTTTGACAGGGCATGAGACCTAATATGTGACCTACCTTAATCGCTTTGCGTGTATCATTGGTGTTGCTATGGATGCTTAACTGATAACCATACTCTGCGCAGTATTGTATCCACAGAGAAGGAGACCTGCCTGCACCGTACTTAGCGCTGGTGTAGTCTCTTGGGTCACAAATTGCGGTCGCTATATCTCGACATAATATGAACTTACAGCAAGCCTCTAAATTCTGGCCTTGGCATCTTGAGGCCTCTCGTTTCGACGGAAACGCCACGAACCTCTCCTGAATCCATCCGTTCTCATCCATCCATGAACATTTCCACGTGAATCAGCGGCCGATCTTGCATCGTAGCATCAATGGCAACAGCCCGACCGAGAAACCCATGCGTATGCCATGACTTTCTCTGACAAATTTGGGGATGACTACCGCTCTTCCGTGTTTCAAGGATGCAAAATTGTTTCTTCGCTTACGAACCATCCTACTTCTGCTGAGCTTGCTGTTGTCCTTCGTACAACCCTGTGTAGTACCCAGCATAGTACCATGACATAAGGAGTTTCTTGAGGCTTTCGTCCTGAACTGTGTGTTTTGATTAGTCCTATATGACAAGAAATACCATTCAAGGATCTTGACCTACCGGAACCTAGGACGGTTTGTATAGGAAATGAGGGAGTCCCTTGTGACGCGATTGGCTCCTTAGACTCGTTGCGCGACGATGGGATCTCCTAAGCTTCCATGTTAGTTGTCTAAGCATATGAAGCCAAGATTCTCATGGTACAGAGCAACATAGCCAAACCCACCTTGTTTTGTTCTGCTGTTCCCGAGTCCAACTCAATCTCTTCTGTTTCTGTAACTTGGGGTTGCTCAGATCCAGATTCAGCCTCCGCCTCGGCCCTTCGTTCACGAGTTAGCCGAGTGAATCCCACCTCTTGAGGATTCAACTTACCGATTTTGAGGCTCTAACTCCCGTACACTTCCGCCCTTAGCGTGAATGCTGTGATATTTCTGCAGAATGTCTGTCAGTAAGCGTTTGCGATAGAGAGAACTTACTTACCTTGTACTCTTGTAAGGCTTCGTTCCAAGAGTCAATCAGGGCAGAATCATCCCATATCTCCTCTTGTGTCAGTTTCTCTTGCTTTTTTGACATCTTGTGCAATCAAATGTCGAACTGCGAAAATGGAGAGTTCTGGGTATTGAACTGTTAGGTTGTGTTTGAGAAGCTTCGGTTTCAGATGGCTGAGGTCGAAGAGTTATTGTCTGCTTGATTCGAAGTTCACAAGAAGCATAAGTGCCGAATATGAGTCGATAAGATTCTGTCAAGAATATAAATTGAGTTGTCAGGTAATGGTTGATGATGTCGACTGGTCTTATTCTGTATGTCACGGCGCTGCCCGGGTTGTAAGCTTCAGAAGCTACAGACACTTTTTAGTGGACCAAGCCGCTGAAAGGACCCCAACCCCCACTACGATAAACTGATAGTGCACGCGATTCTTCACCGCCCAGAGCAAACATGGCAGAATCCCAATTTTTTTCAATGGCCCACGCATCTTTTTCTGTGGGAGTCTAGCTTTTGAGTATCTAGCAACAAGACAACCAAATCAGACACAATGGCCCCAGAATTGAGAAAGAGAAAGTGTAAGTAATTCGAGAATCATGAATATTCATGCGCTGACTCTTTTTAGCCGCTTCGGACATCAAGAAGCCCAACGGCGCTGCCAAAGCTGCCCAGCCTAAGCGAAAAGGTAGAGACATAATGCCCACGATATAGCTTTTCTTGTGTCGCTAACACAGCTTTTACAGCCCCCGAGGATGCGTCGCCTGTGTCGCTGAAGAAGCAAAAGTCTGTCAAGAAGACTGTTGTCACAAAAAAGGCCGCTACCAAGCCGGCGCAAAAGTCCAAGAGCAAGCCCGAGGAAGTCAAGGTCGTCGAGGAGGAAACCACCACACTCGATATCCCCGATGAATCTTCCGAGTCTGAGGCGGAGGAGGGCAAGGAGGTCCAGGCGATCGTGAAGGAGCTGGACTCTGACGACGAGGACATCACCGAGGGCGACTCTAGCTTCAAGCAGGGACAGGATGTCGGCAAGATCCCCAAGGTCTCCAAGGATGTGCAGAAGGCCGCCAAGTCTTCCGACGAGGAAGCTGGAGTTATCTACATTGGTCGCATTCCCCACGGTTTCTACGAGCATGAGATGAGACAGTACTTTGAGCAGTTTGGCCCCATCGTTGCGCTACGACTTTCCCGAAACAAGAAGACCGGTGCCAGCAAGCACTACGCTTTCGTCAAGTTCGAGGAGGCCTCTACCGCCGAGATCGTGTGCAAGACCATGGACAACTACCTTCTGTTCGGCCACATCCTCAAGTGCCGAATGATCCCCAAGGAGCAGGTTCGCGACGATTTGTTCAAGGGCGCCAACCGACGGTTCAAGAAGGTCCCCTGGAACAAGATGGCAGGCCACAAGCTTGAGAAGCCTTTGACCGAGTCTGCATGGGCGAACAAGGTTACAAAGGAGAACTCTAAGCGCGCAAAGAAGGCTGCTAAGCTCAAGGAGCTTGGTTACGAGTTCGATGCCCCCGAGATCAAGGACGTGCCAGCCCCTGCTGCTATTGAGAACGGAGTGAGCGAGACCAAGGCCATTGAAGATGCGCCCGCTGAGAAGGAGGAGGAGCCCAAGGTTGAGGAGCCCGCTGAGGTCGTTGAGACAGTTGTCGAGGAGAAGACTGAGGCCATTACCGAGGAGAAGCCAGCTCCCAAGGCCAAGGCCAAGGCCGCAAAGGGCAAGGCAACAAAAGCAGGCAAGGGCCGAAAGGCAAAGGCTTGAGTACGGAATTGTTCAATTCAATTGGGTTTCGGAGTTTTAAAGCGGCATAGACATAGTTTCAAAAGATCCATGTATAATGAAACGAATGCAAGTTGGATCATCAGTCACGCGCTTCTTCTTTCTCTATAAAAAGGTTTTCAACGATGATATATGTACGCACATAAGCGAACCCATAGCACTCATAGGAAATAAAAGAGCAAGCAATGGGATTATGAAAGGCGATTATAGTCTACTTCGCGCTCGATCGCGAAAAAGCCACGGAAAACAATGGTCTTTTTCAAAAGTGTGATTGCGAAGGGTAAAAATATGTGAAGAAGAAAAAACGCGATTCGACGCGCGAGACAGATAAGAAAATAGCATCGTGAGGATCCACTCGAATATGACTAAGCTCGATTTCACCTGGACATTCAACCAGAGCATCTTGTCCAGCTTTTTGTACTATCTACTCAGAGTTAACTGACTTGATTTGTTGCAAAAATATTTGAATCAGCTTTGAATTCGTATCTCAGATAGTTTACCCTCGCCGAGTAAAATATCTTGCATAGATCTTGAGTTCGTGATTCACCAATGCTGATGTTTGCGTCTCTTACACGAAACGCTGTATAGGAACCAACTGATTGAGGTTCACTGATGGGCCACATTGAATTCACCGAGTAATGAAAAACCCTATTCTTTGATCAGACATATCATTGGAGTCTTTCTTTATGGCACCTGGTACTGACTGCAGTTGCTGATAAGTGAGTCAGTGCAAAGGAGGATGTTTCACTAAGATAGGAACAGAAAAGAACATTTTGTCCTCATAACTGTGGCACAGAATTGACAGTGTTTGAAAGGGGTCCATACACCGAATCAGAGAGAGTTGAGCCGTGAGTTACTGTTCCATTATATGTAAGTAGCGAACCATCCTCAGTCAGTGATTGGAGGCCATTCTCGAGTCTAGATCCTGCAAGGTACATGAACAGCAGCTGCAATATATATCACACAGTCGGCCATTGGTTTTTGAAAGTTAAGAGAATATTTCCATGATCAAAATCATATACTCGTGCAACTGATATAATGCTACAGTAGTAGCCGGCCGACAATTCGGAGCCGACCTCGCCGGAAGATCAGCCGTTGAAACGTCTCGGAACTCCAGGGCACTTCCAGGCCAAGTCCACTAAATTCCACCAGGTACGTCAGCTGGTGGCTGCTGACATGCAATTTGGAGACGGGACACCACCTACCAACGGAACCTAACACGAGGGAGGGTCAGTAATTACTGACACGTACCAAACATCCAATTCCCGTTTGTTCCTCTTAAAGCAACCTGTAATCCACCCACAGGCGCTAGGATTATCTGCACGACATTGAACCTCTAGATCTGGGTCTGGATGCTCTATCCAGACTAAAAAGCTCACCATGTCTTCCACCGTCGCAACGAACCCGACCCAGGAGACGAATTCAGGTGCGTGCAATCCCTACCCCTGCCAATTGACGTGGAAATGGAGATTCGAGAACGTGTCCTAACCCATGGGGCCTCGCTTCCTACTCGTGCAGGGTCGTCAAAAAAGAAGAACAACAAGAAGAAGAAGAACGCCAACAAGAACAAGGCTGCTGAGCAACCTGTTAGTGGTAGTTCAGACCCTCAACAGGGTTCAGATAAAGAGACCCTCGAAGACGAGCCCGAGACACCCACTCAGCCCGTACGTAGTTATGATGCTCACCTCCCATATCATACAATTGCGCGCGCGCTGACATGTATCAACTCCACAGGAAACTCCAGTCAATGCAGACGCAGTCAATGCAGACGAAGTCGTAAACGAAGAAGCTCCTCCTGCCTACAGTAACGGGCATGCCGTAGAGCCCAAGGCTCAGAGCAACGGGCTCACACCCCCTCCGGTTGATGGCGAAAAGGAAAAGCCCGACGATTCAGATACCTCCGCCAAGCTAGAGGCCATGAGCCAGGAACGAGAGGCCTTGCGGGCCGAGGTCGAACAGCTACGGAAGCAGCTCGAGAATATCCAAGAGACGCACAGCAATGAAGTCACACAACTCAAGAGCGATCTAGAGGAGAGCAATGCTGCCAAGGAGAATGCCGAAGAGGAATACCAGACCCTTCTTGGTCGAGTTGAGAAGATTAAACAGACGCTGAGCGACCGGTTCAAGCGTGACAAGGCAGAGCTCGAAGAAAGCAAAGAGCGTATAGAAGAGCTCGAGGCAGAGAATGAGGAACTAAGAAATAACGCTGTATCGTCTGGAGACGATGTCGCCAAGCTAAAGGAGGAGCTACAAGATGCGACCAGGGAGCTCAACACTCTTCGAAGTCGCAACAACCTATCAGCACAAAACTGGAGCAAGGAGAAGGAAGAATTGGTCCGACATGTTCAACATCTTAAGGAGGAGATGGAGACCACCGCCAATGCCATGGGCGAATGGGAAGTTATCGCCATGGAAGAGCGATCCATTAAGGAGAGCTTGGTTGACAAGGTCTCGGAGCTAGAGGAACAAGTTACTATCCTACGACAAAACTACGAGAACGCCACTACAGAGCGAGAGAGCCAAACGACCCTTATCGAAAACCTACAGAACGCCCTCCGCGAAATCCAAGATGCTCGCAAGAAGGAGCTTCGCGATATGGTCGAAACAACCGAGGCGCAAGTCCAAGCTCTCAAGAAACAGGTGCAAGAAGCCGATGCCCGCGCAAAGGAAGCTGAAGAAGCCAAACAAACGCTCTCACAAGAGCTTGAGCGAACAGCGCCTTACGAGAAGGAGGTCAAGGAGAAGAACCTTCTCATTGGAAAGTTGAGGCATGAGGCGATTGTGTTGAACGACCACTTGACGAAGGCACTACGGTACCTCAAGAAGACAAAGCCGGAAGACAATGTTGACAGGTACGTCTGGTATATGACAACTCATATGAAGCTTTATGCTAACTACGACTAGACAAATCGTCACAAACCATCTCCTCCACTTCCTCACACTCGACCGTGGTGACGCCAAGCGTTTCCAGGTCCTCCAAGTAATGGCTGGCTATCTCAACTGGACAGACGAGCAACGAGAGCAAGCCGGTCTCGCTCGTCCAGGCACATCATCTAATTCTCTCCGCCTACCCATGTCACCATTTACACGCACACCAAGCTCACCATCTCTCAACACCGATCTCTTCAACGAGTCAACATCGGCCAAAGACAAAGAGTCTTTGTCTGAGCTATGGGCAAACTTCTTGGAGCGCAGCGCACAGGAGGGCGCTCTGGAAACACCAAGTAGGAAGGGTAGCACTAGCAGTGCTGCTACGGGACCAGTGAGGCCAGAGTCGACAAGGCCGGAGTCTAAGACTTAATGTTGAATGTTGGAATTATGATGTGGAAATTACACTAAATGCATGTATGGAGTGGACACGGTGCATGTTTCAGGGAGAGACATAACGCTCGACTGTTACAAGAGAAAGGATGAGATATGGTTTTCATGGTTATTCAAGCCAGGTTTCAACGGTCATAGACCTCTATGTAAGAATAGCTCTGTTAAAGAAGGGTTGGGATAATACGCAGGAGGACGGATTAGATACTATCGTCGTCTGCCGTTTCTCCACGCAAGGAGTGCAATACATTTTGTGCATACCCTTCAGCGTCCCTCGTTATGGTCGCCACGTCAATGCGATTAGTCAATGCATCGTTGACTCCCTCCACAACCTCCCTTTCCTCCATGACCTCGCCCATGAGGCGCACTTCGTGGCTCCAGTAGGCATGGCTTCGTGATCGAAGATCTTCATCGCGCAGCGCAGTGTTCTTGACAATGCCGAGAGCACTAAGCTTGCTCTTCACGATAAGGAGAGCACGGGAAGTTGCCTCGATGCGCTCCACGGGCGATGGAGGCTCGACGAAGGCGCGGTTTGTAGCAGATAGATATAGAAGCCAGCCCAGAGCTGCATCGAAAGCTGCGAGGGTGACGAGGCGCGCAACTCTAGCAGTCCAGTAAAAGAAGTCGACTTCTGACAGACGCAGAGCACGTGCGTTGGCTTGATAGTTATAAGAGTTGACAAAGTAGATATCGAGAGCGGCAATAGTCATAGCAGCCATTGTAGCCTTTGGTCGCCATTGGGAACCAGCTCGCCCCGTGAAAGTCGGACTCGTAACGAAAGCAATGGCGAAGAGGTTCGCGATATGAGGCCACAGTAGTTGTGGTAGAGCATAATAGAAGAATGTCTTGGGCTCTTCCGAAGTGCAGAACGGGCAGTTCGCGAGCACTTCAGGCCCAAATTGCAAGTATAGCAGCCGACTCTCCAAGTTGACAAATCTGCCCCTCAGCGCTTCGTCTTGCTTCGTAAGAACATTGTCAGGTCTTCCGACTGCAACACGGTTGAATAGAACATCGACTGGGATCTGCAGGCGACTCTGGGTCGCAAGGAACACGTTCTCGGGTGCGAACGGCGGTAATGTCTTGAGGATGTAGCTGATGATTAAGAAGGCGAGGAGGGCGAGCGCAACGCGGACTTTGGGCGGTACGGGAACTATAGGCGCATGTCGGGCTTGCGAAGAGGCTTTGACGGATCTATAGTATGATATGGCCTTTGGTAAAAGTATAGGGCCAAAGAATATGAGGAGAGACCGGAGACTGGTTAAGGTTAGTTATTGATTGCACACGATGTGTAAGTGGCTATCAGGAAGAATCAAGTCACGAGGACAAATTCAATACTAGGAGATGTACTTACGAGTCCCATGGGATCGCCATTATGGCGAATATCAAGCCGAAATGGTCGTGTTCCTTTGTTGGTTCTGAGTTGTCGAAGTTGAACACGTTTTGCTACAAGATTGAGACGAGGCTGATAAACGACGTCAGTTCAGGAACAGCTTCATTAAGGCAAAGGTGGCGCCAAGCCCAAGGTAGGCCTGAAGGACAGCGTCTGTCGGCCAATGTGGGGGCTTAAACTTTTGGTGGGGCCGACGTCTCTTTTCAACGTAAAACCTCGGATTTTTCTTCTCTTTAACAAATTTCTTTCCTTCTTCACCTCAACCATTCACCAGAAGCAACTCCTCTTCTTCGCCTTTTTGTTCACAATCACACCCCTCACAATACTCACTATAGCTCAGTAGCGCAATAATATGGCTCTTGCGCCGTTACTCACTGCCTCCCACTCCCCCCGTGCATCCGTGTATCATCATTACCATTGGCACTTTCGAAGCTTTGGCGATCTCTCTGTGGTCGCTAGAGTCAATATGTTGCCTAGATCAAGCCCCAAATACCCTGCCAAGGGTTATTCTCTGTCGTGTTACAAAGTCTCAGCTTCGGCAATGAGGAACTTTGCGTCAAATTTATCTAAGAGATACATCTCCAATCGTAGTCAAGCTTTGCTCGTAAATATGCATGTTTTTACTATGTGCGCGAACTAGCTACATCTATCAATGCGGTTTGCCTATGACTTCTTCTTCTCCTCCGCGGCGACCTTCTGGGCTGCGACGGGTGCTTCCTTGGCCTGCTTCGCGTTGAGGAGCAGACCAGCGATACCCACGATCAAGTCGCTGAAAAGCGCGATAACTCCTGTGCATGCCAACTGCCACGAGGCGATGCTCACGCTTCCGATGGGGGCGCGAGGGAAAGACAGGATCCATTCCGCCCAGTAAGGGAACCAGCCGTAAGGAAGCCAGAACATGGGCTCGGTAGCGTACCAGAAAGGCAGGAAGTATTGCGGAGCGCGTGTCACGACGATTCGGAGAACGGTGAGGATCTTGTCAAAGTTGGATCGTGCTGCCTCGTTGGTTTTCTCTGTAGTGTTCATTTGTCAGCTCTCTCTTTGATTCCCCTGAATCTCTACGGCATATGCAACGTACTGGTCTTCTCTAGCTGTTCGAGAAGCTTGTCGTGCTGACGACGGAGCTTTGCCCACTTGGCAAATTCATCCTGACTACTCGTGGAGTTCAGATCTCGTCGGACCTTAAGGTAATCGGCCTGGAGCTTGCGTTGCTCGCCGGCAGCCTTTGCTGTCGATACGGGGAGGAAGTTGATTATTGTCCAGAGCTTTTTCAATTAGTAGCTGAGCTAGAGGACACGGCCTGGGCTAAGTAGCATACCAAGTTATTGATTGCGGCGGCTCCAATGGTATTGACGAGGTTGACAACAACTTCGACAACGAAGATGCTAAGCATTAGGGAGGCCATCTTAGGAATCGAAGTGTATCTTATCGGTAGTAACGGGTGATAAGCGTTGAATATGTGAGCTCTGTATTCGGCCCTGCACCAACCTAAGGTTGAGCTCGTGATGTTGATGATGATGTTGGTTTTGGTGGTTTGTTAAACGTGGTCAAGCCATGTCATAACCCCGACACTTGCATGGAGCTCCATAGAACCCCTCCACACCACGTCGGTTGAACCAAACCTACCCTATACTTCCAACTCACCTTCTTTCCTCGATCATCCCAATGTCACGAGCACTCGACAAGAGTCTCAAGGAATCTCTTAAGCATGGCGATCATCATTCGGTATTTCTAGAAATCTCAACTGTTCTTATTGAGCCTTCAAATGAGCCTCTAGAGATCGAACTGTTGGGTAAAAGCCACATCCTAGATGCCAACGCATCAGTCTTGCGAGATGACAATGCAGTGGCCATACCAAAGTTACGCCTCGTGCAGGCTTTCATAGTGGCACAAAGGCTTCTTAAACAGTCCCAGGCTGATAGCCAGCGAGTATCGTCAGAAGATATCTCAAGGTCAACTGCAGTTATTCTGTTGATGGACCCAGAGCATCTGACAGCTGCCAACACAAGAAAGCGACTGATCAGAGACAAATTGAGAGAACAAGATCTGCAAGACAGACTTCACCTCGAGAAACACCTGATTGATAGTTTACTGACCAGTCGGCTTCATCGACATACGAAATCGCCAACACTATGGAATCATCGTCGATGGCTGATACAACAATTTCGTGTTTACAACATCAATGTTCCAGCCGAGAATGACCTCACAAGAACCATCATGGTATCTGGAGAAAGACACCCACGGAATTACTATGCCTGGTGTCACGCCAGATACCTGATCAACGCCTTTATCCTACCTTTGTCAAGTTCACAAGAAGGAATATCACGCATGATCATCGCTACGCAAAAGTGGTGCTTTGCACATCACAATGACATATCTGGCTGGCAATTTCTTCTATTCCTGCTGGACAAGCAACCTGCCGAGACTTCGCCCGTGTTTCGCGAGACATTGAAACTCGCAGCCTCGTTCAAGTGGCGGAATGAGTCTGTGTGGTACTTCCTTCGGCTTGTTGCTGCTCGGGGAGTCGCAAACACTGACAAAGAGGAATTTGAAGGCCTGCGAAAGACACTCTGGGAGACCGCGTCTGAGGACAGTATTGAGAAGAAGACGCTTGAAAGAGCAGAGCAGTGGCTCATGGCCAGTCAATGATCGTGGACGACTTCGTAAGGAACCGGAGTTGAGGATCCAGGCTGAAACCGAAACTCATTCATGGGTTGCCTCACGGGTGTCTTTCGGGTACATGCGACTATGAAACATGGGAATAGACATTGGAAATAGAAACAATACGGTCTCAACTGGAGCACAGACGTTGAAAACCGATGATATTGTCACGATCCTTATCAAAATGAAGATCTGCCGTCTCTTTGACATTGAAATATTGAACCCTGAGAGGCCCTTGGCTAGTGACCTATCACAGCTGAATGCAGATATGGTTCAAAGCTGCAATATATGAATTCAAATTGAGGTCTACCCTGATCGACACGATCCGAGCAGATAGTGCTGCCGGGGTCGAGATTAAAATTCCGAGAGGCATTGACGGAGCCGTGCGGTTGTTTCATCAACGGGGTCAGTTGACAAGGGACTTCCTGGACCATGAAGCTATCCACTTGTGTTTAGGCATTCTGAATTAGCGATGAAGTCATCGAATCGCATGCAGCGAGCAGAGATCCATCGAATATATATTGGAATCTCAGTGAAATTGCATGGCTACTAAGGAGAGCTTGGCGCCAATGTGAGAAGGGCGGAAGCCAATGAGATGCTGTATTGTAGATTGGAACATAGAGTGTGCATGTCCTTGCGATCGGAATGATACATTTGCCCAATTTGGCTCGGGGAAAGATTGAACAGAGGATATTGTTATCCCCAGCTTGTTTGCAACTAAGAACAATGGCTGCTTTTGCACGATGATGGGAGCTTTGACGTTGCTCGCGTCAGGGGTGAGCTTGGTTGTCATGCGTGAGCTTAGAGAACAAACATTAAATAGGAAACAAATTCCACGTAAATAGGTTTGAGAATATGATATGTTTTTGCATTACCATTACTTAAGAAGGATTGGGCCTGAAACTGAGTCAATAGCATCTCGATGTTGCTGCTTTCATGTGAATACAGGGCAACAGGGATAGGAACGTATCCGAGAATCCATGTACACGTGGAGAAGAAGCCAGGCGGCCGATAGTCCGACCTCGAAAGACTTATGATAGTTGGGGCTTCAGCTCAATGAACCAGTAAATTGAAATACTGTGCAATGTGATCGATATAGGCACTGGTCAAGTATCAAAGTGTCAACTTTACCGCCGCATAATCTGCAAAAGAAGCGCCTGACAATGACCAAGAGGATCTAGAAGAAAACTGGAGCGAGCCGAGTGTTTTGAGGCTCACAGTAGTCAGGGGAAGTTACGTGGTAGAGCTGACGTTGACCGGTAGAGTGGCGCCGTCGTTTGACGCGTAAGGTAAGGAGACAAAACGCTACTGCAAGTCAGTTGAGAAAACAACAACTTGAACTTGGCGATCCGATGGTGTCGAGTCAAGAGATGCAAGTCTAAGGGGACTTTGGTGTCAGCTTGACGCCAGGGCATCAAGCTTTAAAACTTCTTGGCCATTGATATCAATGCGGAATTGGAATTTGGTTACATGGCTGTAACGGTCTGGTTGATGAAACTCTGGATTCAACGTTATGATAAGGTTAGATATGGCCAAGACTTCTAAAATCTAATGGCTGTTGGGATTCAATTCCTTGACGAGGCTTTCTTCTTCATACGCCATAGCCAATACTTTGAATATCAGCTTCAGGCAAGGGAACCACAATATTGCTCCTGGTTTCCACAGAACGCGTGTTTCGTTTTCACCATTGACAGTTGAAAACGCCTGAATCAATCGGCTGAAGCTTGTTTTTTTCCCTTTTGCCGCTTGCTCCACGTTGCGTTGCACCATATCTCGTGTGTGCCACTCTGTGCAGATCTTGGGGGGGATAAGTCTAACCGAAAGCATCGGCTGCATGTTAACTTATCCGTCCCAGGGGCACAGAAAATTGGCGTTAGACCCTGTCTCGGGGAGTTGTCACTGAACGAAAGCAGCACTTTGCATTCAACATTCAGGCAACGTCGCTATCTTTGGGTACGTATTAGGTATACGAGATGATGAAGTAGCACCAGAGGACAAGCATATTTTCGGCCGATATCGAGGTAGCATGGGGGACAAGCAGACAAGGTAGGGCAATCTCCACAGCTCGAGTCCACCGTAATAAACAAGCGGCTAAGAGTAACGGGCCATTCAGAGGCTGACGACCCCTGAACCTTACAGATGAACGTTCGGTGGGTGTCCAGTGATGAGCAGAGATGCACTCTGATGGCGGGCGGGTCGAAATGCACGTCGACTCAAGCTGGCATGTGGTGGAGATCGTTTTACGAGCGGCGTTTCTCTTTGTTGTTTTCAGGTCCCGTCGTGTTTGACGGTTGATTCAGTCCGTCAGATGATGAGATACCTGATCTACAGGTACTGGACCTTGGTGATCGTCGAGCCAAGATAACTAATATCCAATCAAGGGGTCTATTTAGCTTGGCTTTGGATCTAGAACCAAGTCTGATTGTGAGAGATGGGAGAGAACTTTGGTGAAAGATTGAAGGTTCTGTGGTCTTCGTATCGTGGATATAACGTTGGTATCATGTCATGATAGTAATATGATGTGTCTATTCTGACAACTCTTATCCCTTCCGTTCGCCTGCCTCTTTGGGGCGATATCTTCAGCAGGTACAGGACCTTCAGGTCACTTTCTATCCCCTGTATCTAGGTAGTGCGTAGTTTGTCTTGAACTACAACCTCGCCGGGTGCTCTCTGCTCTCCACTAGCTGTGGCTATCTCCCCATACCAAGACTAACCCACCTCTTCCCGTCATTCTCTATCCCTCCGAACTCCACTCACTCACCTCGACCTCTCTCAACCTCTTTTTCTATGCTATACTCTACCTTACCTTAATTTGTAATAATTCCCTCCCTCCTCCGACTTCCCTCAGCTTTGTTCCTTTCTGTTTATTTCCATTTCTCGTATTTGTATTTGCACATTTCTTTGTTCCTCTTTGTCTCTCGTCTCGATCCAGGACCTCAGCCGAGTACTCCGACTTCCGAGAAACCTCAACGCCCTGTTCCAGAAAAAGAGAGACTCGAGTTGGTCTCACTGTAACCAAGCCACTTCCATTGTCTGGCTTGTGTTTGTTGCATCTTCGCTTGTCCAACTTGCATCAGGTTCTGGTTATCAGTCGGCATCTTTGCTGTGCCGTTTTGTTTCCAATGCTGGGCTCGTAATTCTAATCCTTTAATACATCTCGCCAACTCTGGCTCAAGAGGCGTCGCCTCGATTCTGTCTTCCTGTTACGGACGCGTTTGAGACAAGCTGTTCCAATTAGCTTTGGCTCTGGTCTCACTCCGTTTTTGTTCAATACAAGCCAATCCAGGTTATATCAACCACCTCCAAGTGCATATTCCATACGCGCCAGGGAGGTTTCGTTGAATTGACTCAATATAGCCTCAATATGCGTCCAGGATCTCTATTGGTGCAATTGGCTTTGGCCTCATCTGCCCATGCCTTCTTTCCTTATAGTCCGAGCTGGCGTGTCGATGTAGGACAAAAGCGTATGGCACGAAGTCCCAAGAGTGTGGGCAATGGTGGTGGCGTGCGTATGGATATCAAGCAAAGATCACCTCAGGTTTGTTTCTGGAGAATTGCTTGACAGTTTCATTCCATTGACCGTTCAATTACAGTCCAGCCAACCGATAACTGAGAGAGCAGCTCACGAAGCAGCACGATTGATTGCCAAATATGCCGGAGGAAGCATCCCTGACACCAGTACGCTGCTCAAGCGTGATAACAAATACGATGTCATGGAGGCCACAGAATCGACAAAGAAGCACACTCAGGGTGTTGACCAGGACGGAACTGACTATTCATACTTCATCGAGGTCGAGATTGGATCGGAAAAGAAGACAATGTACATGCTTATCGACACTGGCGCTGGATCAAGTTGGGTTATGGGCACTTCTTGTACCAGCAAAGCGTGTGAGATGCACAACACATTCGGCGAAGGCGACTCGGACTCTCTCGAAGTGTCAAAATCCGACTTCAACATTGCATACGGCTCTGGAAAGGTCTCTGGTACCTGGGCAACCGACACAATCACTGTGGCTGGCATGAGCATCAAGTATCAGTTCGGATTGACGCATACGACCTCGGACCAGTTCCTCGAATTCGCTTTTGACGGCATTCTTGGTCTCGCCATTAACAAAGGATCCGACAGCAACTTTCTCAATGCCCTGGCCAAGTCCAAGGAAGTCGAAAAGAACATGTTCTGCGTTGCTCTGAACCGTGCAGCTGACGGTACAAACGAAGGAGAAATCAGCTTTGGCTCACCGAATCCCGACAAGTATTCCGGCAAGATCACGTATACTTCCATTGGCGAAGACAATGACTGGGCTATTGAGATCGACGACATGGGCTACAACGGCAAGAAGGCAGATATCGGTGGCATCCGCAGCTTCATCGACACTGGAACATCTTTCATGTTTGGATCACCGGACAACGTTAAGAAGCTCCATGCTCTTATCGACGGAGCCCAGAGCAGCGATGGCACCACATATACTGTACCTTGCGACAGCAACGGCAACTTGACAGTGACTTTCTCTGGAGTCGACTATGTCATTTCACCAAAGGACTGGGTTTCTCCTCCCAACAAAGATGGCAAATGCACCAGCAACGTCTACGGTTTCGAGGTTGTTAAGGGAGCATGGCTCCTGGGCGACACCTTTATCAAGAACGTCTACGCCGTTTTTGATGCGGACGAGCGCCGAATTGGTAAGTTTACATATTCCAGTGATTCAACTTGTGCTAATGGGAATAGGCTTTGCTACCAACGCTATCACAGATGGCTCAAGCGACGACAGTGAAGACAGCAGCTCTTCAACAAAGACGATGACCGCCAGTCAAGCGACCAAAACATCTGATGACACCGAAGAGACTGGCATCACAACAACCTCTGGATCAAAGGCAAGTGCAGTACCAGACATGGGCCTAGGCAAAGAATCTGTCTCATCTGGCACTGCCACTGCTGACACAAACGAGCCAACCGAAACAAAAGGCTCCTCAGCACCTTCAGGGCCATTATCACAAGCCCGCTTCACATTCATTTTCTGTATAGTATCATTTTTCGCCCTCCTGGCCTAGAAAGAGTCAGATGAGCGGCACTACATTCTTTTTAATACCCAGATACAATCGTTAGAAGCGCAGAGAAGCGCGTATACATATTTTGAGAGCTGCATAGAACACGAAGATATCGTGCGAGGGGATACGAGGACAGAGAGCTCACAGCATGGGATGACAAGATGTGGTTCGAGCTACAACGATACCCGATCGAACAGAGGAGAACATGACGGGTTTCTACAGATGGCAGATGAAGCCATGCTATGAGTATTTTTTAGTAGACATAGACCATCAACGCCAATAGAAACATTGGATGGACTGAATTGCTTTCTGATGGTACCAAGGTGAATTAACAGCTTGGTGAAGATCAGAGTGTGCTTGAACGGACAATTATAGCTCATTCTCAGACGACAGTTCCTAAGGTTTTGGTGAACGCCCCTTGAATACAGCCGTTGAAAAGGAGAGTGTAAATTGGACCCCTATTTTTGAGTCCCTGGAATTGTAAGGGTCTTTGAGCTAGGTTTGAGGCACGATCAACAACGGTGAGATAGCATTATAGCTCAAATAAAGAGAGTTCTTGTGCAATTATTCATTTGATCGTAGAATAGCAAACAAAACTTCTCAATAGAAGCCTCAACCTTTATTTAACACCTCTTCAAATATTCTTGGAATGATCCGTGCCCCTGCATAAGCCTAGACACAACTAGTGGGCGATTCCAGCGATTTCACAAGGGGCATTACGCCAATCCCAGCGCTTATCATGCTGCAAATGACGCTAATGTTTGCTATCCATGCTTATCTGGGGGAAGGACAGACAACCAACCAACCAACCAACCTATCCTTAGAATAGGACCTTTCCATTTACAACTTACAACCATTCGACTTTCTATCCTTTTGCTTCGCAGTCGATCTTTTACACCTAATTATTTGATTATTTCTTCCTTTTGACATATACGCGAGCGAATCGAACATAATCCTTTATTCGTCCGGAGGAAAATGTACACGCAATATCAACTTGCTACTCCCCTTCGACAATGACGCACGCCAGGAACGATGACCCCCCGAACCCGCACGGCGAAGACCGCGGTCTCCTAGAACACGGTCACGATTACGACGACGACTACTTTGGCGTGGGCGACGACGATTATAGCAGTGGAAACGCCAGCGCAGACTTAGGAAAGGCTTCAGGCAAAGTTGAAGCTGATGGCCAGCCCCGGACTCCCGGCCGCGTGCGCTTCGACTTGACACCGGAGATTGTGGGCGTTAGCAATGGAGAAGCTTTTGGCGGGTTTGCGGATCGTGAGAGACGGTCTTCAGATGATGCGTACTTTGATGTTGAGGAGGTGACGAGTCCGGGGCGGGCGCATCGTGTACCGCTTCTGACGGACATTGAAGCGCCGAGCGTGGCTCTTGCGAATTCGATGGGGGATCCGTCTGAACAAGCTGAACATGAGATGAACCGACCAAAGTCAGGGCTCAAGTCAGCCTTCATGAATATGGCGAACTCCATCATCGGTGCGGGCATCATTGGCCAACCATACGCTGTGCGCCAAGCCGGACTGGTCGGGGGAATCTTGCTGCTGGTAGGCTTGACGGTTGTAGTCGACTGGACGATCTGTCTTATTGTCATCAACAGCAAGCTCAGCGGGACGAGTCATTTCCAAGGAACAGTTGAGCACTGCTTTGGACACTCCGGGCTGATCGCTATCAGTGTTGCGCAATGGGTCTTTGCGTTTGGCGGAATGGTCGCATATGGTGTCATTGTTGGCGATACGATTCCTCATGTCCTAGTCGCCGTGTGGCCGAACTTGTCGAATGTGCCTGTAATAGGACTCTTGGCAAATCGACAGGTTGCCATTGCGGTGTTTGTGATGGGCATTGCCTATCCCCTGACGCTGTATCGCGATATCTCTAAGGTGAGAATTACAATGCGGATCGTCCTGTTGGAATTTGGGCTAATGGAATTTGGGCAGTTGGCTAAGGCAAGCACGTTTGCGCTTGTTGGTATGGTGGTTATTGTTCTCACCATCCTTATACAAGGTATCTTGACACCATCGTCAGAACGGGGCTCGTTTACACCTTCACTTCTCCTCTTCAATGGCGGTTTCTTCCAGGCCATTGGTGTTATTTCATTCGGTAAGGACCTGTCTTGATCATCCGAGCTTATGACCAGAGTTGCTGACCTATGTAGCCTTTGTTTGCCATCACAATTCGCTCCTGATCTACGGGTCTCTCAAGACACCTACCATTGATAACTTTTCCCGAGTCACTCATTATTCAACTGGTATATCGATGGTGTTCTGTCTTGTCCTCGCTCTAGGCGGTTTCCTTACTTTTGGTGACAAGACGTTAGGCAATGTCCTCAACAACTTTCCAGCAGACAACACCATGGTCAACATTGCACGTCTTTGCTTTGGCCTCAACATGCTCACCACCTTGCCCCTGGAGGCATTTGTCTGCCGTGAAGTGATGTTGACATACTTCTTCCCTGACGAGCCCTTCAACATGAATCGTCATCTCCTCTTCAGCACAAGCCTTGTTGCGTCAGCTCTGGTGCTAAGTTTGGTGACTTGTGATCTTGGTGCTGTGTTTGAGCTTGTTGGAGCCACGAGTGCTGTGGCCATGGCTTACATCTTGCCTCCGTTGTGCTATATGAAGTTGACGACGCGAAGCTGGCGGACATATATGGCGGGTGCAGTGGTCGTGTTTGGTATGATTGTCATGGTCATTAGTGTGATCCAGGCTGTGCAGAAGATGATCAACAGTGAGTTCCCCTGTGTGCCCTGTGAAGATCTGGATCTTGGACTATTGGTCAATGGAATATGTACTGACACTCCACAGGCAAAGATGGACCGGCGCAGTGTGTATAAGCACCAGGCGTTTCTTACCTCTACCTTTTCACTTTTATTCAAACAACATTATAGCATAACGAAGCACAACAAACATAGACCCTTATTGGGACAACAAGCGTGTAAGATAGTACGCATGAAAGCAAGATGCGTGACTGCAGGGAGTATCGCTGCTTGAGATATATAAGTCATGTAAAAAAGGTGGATGGTTTGGTTGCAAATTTATCAAATAAGATCAAAGAAAACCATGTACCATGTACATTGGATTGTGTAAGGAGTTACATGGCGTGATATCGGTATTTCAATCATTATAGAGTTTTCAGTTCTTCGGCAGATGAACTCGTATTCTTATTGCTCTTCTTATCTATGCTTATGGGTGAGGTGAAGCTATGATATCTGGCTAGGCAATCACTATACTTTGCCCAACATGTTGAAGCCAATATTTCTGGACAATAGCAGCATTTCAAAGAAACTATTCCTTTCAGACCTTATGTATTCTCGACATCCATATCATAAGAACAAATTACTTCATACACCGCTGAAGCTGTTATGACCTGCTCCTCACACGATCCTCCATTCCCCACCCATCTTTCAACCTCCGCGGGATAACCAAACATGACTTCCACTGTCTTTTCTCAAAACAAGTCAGCATCCATACAGTGTGCCACGTTACTGCCGTACCTCACAGCAAGTGGATCACAAAAAATCACCACAAAAAGAAAGTGAAGCTACAAGCACAAGGAGAGGGGTGTCACACGCAACGAATAGCAGGAGGGGGTAAAACAAAGCAGAAGCCCGCTATTTGCGCTTACAATTAACGAACCCCGCTTTGGGATAGAGAAACATACGTAAATCTCGTGTGAGAGAGGAATGATTTGTTTGAGGTTGACGGTTATATATTAGGTTCCCTTTCCCCCCTCTCTGTGGTCCCTTCTTCAGTGCTCTCTCTCTATAGTCAAACTTCATCTCTTCTTTCTATTCTCATCACATACTATTCGTATATCAATCAGTCAAGATGCAGCCTCTTGTTGACTACCACGACAACACTTGCCCCAAGTGCAACGCCGCCATCGAGGGCGGCGGCAAGACTTGCGGTAGCTGCGGTGCTGTATGTCTAATACTCGCCCTCTCGTCTCTATCTGACATGATGCTGACTGCTTCTAGCACTGCCCCGTCTAAACTCCACAAAGACCAAGAGACAGATTCACGATGATATGATGAGACGGACGAGAAGTTGCTTATACCGGTGTTGGGCTAGGTCAGGGATGCATACAATGGAGTGTGGTTGGGGGTTTGGGTGGTTGCTGTGATGAGGCCGCTGTTCGATAGCGTCACTCTTTTTTTGGGCCGTTGATATTCATGCATTGGGTGGTATTGTGAAGCAGAGGATACGCTCGCTCGCTCATTTGTTTTATCTCGATACTGAGGAAACAAGACCGATATTTACCTCATATCATCGTGTGTGCATCGTGAACTGTCCCTCTTAAGCTGCGCCGCGCTCGCATAGCTGATCATACCAACTGCCTCACTTCCGCAGTGATTGATGGGATTACATCACTGATATCACCCAAACCAAAATAGGCTCGGCGCCGATCAAAGAGTCTAGTATGGGATGGGGGCCACATGACTAGACATTGGCACGTGGACAAGGAGGCTGTCTTTGATAAGACCAGTCAAGATAAGGATACCAAGACGGATAAGCATCTTGGTTCAAGCTGGCTGAGGAATGACGGCCAGTTATAAGTAGTGTAACATGACATGCCAATGCATAACAAGACACAAACAAGACAAGCTAGGTCTAGGTAGATAGGGATGGTCACGTCGTTCAAGAGCATACATACATTAACATCACAAAAACAGATAGACAGGATATACAAAAAATCAAGAGATTAAACAGGCAGGCCCTACGCAATAGATGTCCCATCTCCATGGTCTAAGTAACGGTCTCGAGGCTTCAAGAGAAAAAACGAAAAAATTTATGGCCTGGACCGACTTGGTTCCCCCAGCCGGACCCCATATCCACACACAAGCAGACACAAACGCTCTCGCCGTAACAGCCCACGGAGCCTCTCCCGGCCTCCTGACACTTCTCCCTGATAGTTCCTCATCTGTCAGTCTGCAGTGGCCGACAGACCTGGCAGGAGAGCGAGGAACGAGAGCCACTCCTCATCCTCCTCCTCAACAGCCCCCCAAACAAGAAAAAAGACATCTGGCCCACCTCCCCCATGCGCGACAAGCACATACATAAAACAAAGGTCCCGCTCGCATGCCAGTGGTGATAATAAAAAAGACGAGGTATCTGCCGGGAAAAGTAACCGCCTGGGAGATCCAGGAGGTCCAAGAAACCATGGGCTCTGCCGACAAGAAAACCATCAATCCAGCGAGAAGGGTCGGCGCGTAGGCCGATGGACCAGACATGAGCGAGACGATATCAAACTCCAGATTCCGAGAAAACCGATGCATGCCGACAGCCTTCTCCTTCTTGGCTGCCACGAACCCGTATCCGAACTGCCGGGGCCAAGTCGAGGTTGAACTGGAACGACAAAGGATTACAACGCAGGGTCAAGCCACGGCACGTGTGCGTGGGCTGCGCTCAGAGGGCTTCCATAGCGCCCTTTACAGAACAAGGCACTTCTTGTGCTTGCTACCACGGGTGCTTCGCGACAGCAGAGCAGCGCGAGTAGCGTGCTCGAACACCTCGCGGACACCCTCGTTGGTCTTGGCTGAGCACTCAAGGTACTTGTAGGCAGCGATCTTCTTGCGAACCTCCTCACCCTATCGACAACTGTTAGCATGTTTCAAGAAGACGTGCAGCAAGCTGGCCAATCAAGTTTCGAGAGCTTGATTGGCGCTTGTTGGGGCAATGTATCGTACCTCCTCGGGGGAGACAGGCTTCTGACTGGTCTTTCGGAGCTCCTCGATGGTCTTCTGGTCGTATCGCAAATCCTTCTTGCAGCCGACAAGAATGATAGGGAGACCTTGGCAGAAGTGCAGAACCTCAGAGATCCACTGTAAGAGCACGTGTCAGCAAAGCTGTATCAATAGCAACTGAAATCCAGCCAACTGGCACTGGAGGGCGAACAAACCTTCTCCTGGACGTTGTCAAGAGAGTCGGGAGAGTCAACAGCGAAGCAGATCAGGATAACGTGGGAGTCGGGGTAAGACAGGGGTCGAAGACGGTCGTAATCCTCCTGACCAGCAGTATCCCATAGGGCGAGCTCGACGTGCTTGCCATCAACCTCGACATCGGCGACGTAGTTCTCGAAAACGGTGGGGACGTAGACCTGAAGGCGGAATTGTCAGCAAGGAGGTTGTTGTGGTGATGCCCGTTGCATGATAAGGATGTTTATCAAGCCGCGTGGCTAAGCGTGCGAAGGTTGAAAGGCGACGCCGCAATAAAGTCAATTCTTACCTCAGGGAAAGTGCCCTTGGAGAAAACACTGGAGGATTGGTTAGCATCGTGTTGATCAAGTGGTTTAGAATAATGATAGCGATGATGGTAATGAAAACGGCGACGGAGGACGGTGAGGTGAAGCAAGGGGCATGTGCGTCTATCACGGTAATGATAGAGCTGATGGCGTCAAGCGATGCGAAGCGCTGGGCTGTCCAAGAGACCAAAAACCATCATATCGCCCTCTTCTTGAGACTCTATCTGATAGAGACATTGTGATGCCAACGTGGCGATGGGATAGGAACGTGATGGGCGACGGGAGGTCGACTTTGAAGTCGTGTCGTGTCGTGATAGAAGGCCAACTCACATCAACAAACAGGTTTTACCACAAGCACCATCGCCGACAATGACGAGCTTTCGGCGGATCTCAGCCATGGTTATTGATTAGATGTGGTTTTTGGTTAAAAAGTTGAAAGAAATGGACGAAGTTGCTGGCGTGAAATGCGAGCTTGAGCTTGAGCTTGGGAGATGGTGCAGGTTGTGAGTTTCGCGGAGGGCGGCGGCTGCGGGTCGATGGGGATGGGAAATGGATGGACAGAGAAAGAGGAGAGTTTGAGTTGGGTTAGGTTGGGACTGGCAGTAGAGAGAGCAGTTAGAAAAGAGACGCGAGGAAGAAGGGGCTTTGGTTTTTTGGGTGAAATAGGCTTGGGCTTGGTTTTTTTCTCGCTAGGACTGGGGGCCCGACTGCACTGCAGGCACTGGAGCGACAGCCCGGGGCGGGCGCCAGGACAGGATAGGACCCAACAGCGGGTGGGCAAGCACAGGACAGCAGGCAGCCAGGGCAGTTCCAAGGACGGGAGGTACCTCGGAATAGCGCGTCAAAAGTGCTGGAATCAAAGTACCAAGTGCCAGTGTCAACGGTCTTGGTGCCGGTGATGCTGGGGGTTGGGCAGGGTTGTTGAGAACAAGCAAGGCGTTTGCAAACCGCACTGTGTTTTGATAGCGTATCTAAGAGCAGACAATGACAGCTGAAAGTAGGTTTCGGCTTTGAATCAGAACCAAGTTTAGAGGTTGATTCACTTGGCTAATGCTGTATGCCTCTAGCTTGTCATATATCCTTTGTGCTCATTTGAACTATCATATTGAAAGTGTCAACAGCCGTCCGCGTAGATAAGCCTCCTGAACATCACATCTTCAATCAGGGATTGACAAGGCTGCAAGCTTTGTTGTTTCCCTCTGTTGCTGGGGCTGCGAGCTGCTGGGGCCCGGACTGGGCTCTTTGATGATGAATGTTTCCCCTGGACTGGGCTGGGCTCAAAAAAGAAACGCTCACTTGACCAAGGTACACTTTCACCGATATTCCCACACAAACGGTACTTCTGCTCCGTCACATTACGCGGAAAGGGTCCATCCTGAGGCAACCAACGGCGTGGCCCTGGCTTCGGGTGGTGGGTGGCAACAACCGCTAACACCGTCTCCTTTTCAGTGAGTGATTAGTGGAGTCTCGTCACAGTGCGAAAGGTTCTGGGCAGTGCGCGTCACAAGCCTCCCTCTGCTAAGTTATTTCCCAGGAGGGGAATTAACTGACCCATTTTATCCATCTTACCGAGAGTGCTCCGCCAAACTTTCAGTGGTAGATGCAAGACGGGACAGATTGGATAGATGAGCGGGAGGCCCGTTGTTATTCGGTAGGTTGCTTGGTTGCTTTGCTTTGCTTGCATGCGGTGGTTGCGTTGTGTTGCGTCGTTGACCATTTACGTGAGTCTGAAACAGAGAATGCCAGTGATAATGGTGACGAGATGAGATAAGAGCCGGCCTGCTTGATGAACTGGTCGATAACATTGGACGACAGACAATATCAAGGGCCAGGGTAACGGCGTTGGCCGTTTGGTCAAGCCGGTTTAGTTTGATTGACGGACTGACGGTCAATGAGAATAAGCTGCAAACTGCAAAGATGGCTTCTTTGGGCTGTATGCTGTCATTCTTCACAAGTGACAAAGGTACTCTTTCTGACTCTTCGCCGGCCTACCAGCCATCCTTCTGCACAATTCCTATCGGTCTGACGTGCTCATCAGTCCTTGGTCCATCAGACAGTCCTGCTGCGGTGTAGCTGTTGGCTTTAAGTTGCTTGGTGCTTCACTATCATCTCATCTAGACACGCACGATGGAACACTTTAGGCTCCATAGCGCCGAGGCTGAAACCGTTGCTCGGTTTCTATCACTTGAAGAGGATGAGGCTAATCAACCAGCCACCAACCTCAGAGGTCCGTGATTGAATCTGTCTTTATTGGAAAGCATTAAGAAGCCTTCTTGTGGATTGCCTAGATCTGGCTTTCTGTGATTTCCAGCTGGGATCTGGCGGCTATCGCCAACGGCTGTTTGAACTGTTGTGGATGGCATGAGGATAGCACCCATTTTAAATTTTTGATAGGACGTTTGAAGTTGATGACCTTGATTTCCGGTTGATTACTGCCGGGAAGTGGACAATGCTCTCTCTCCTGCTTTGACTCCTCTCTACCTCCATCGCTAACACATTCTCATGTGTTTCCGCGTCATCAATCACCGCCTATCTTCACAAGACAATCTATGCAAAGAGAAGTGAAGCTGGCACAAGCTTCTAACCCCTGGTCCGTCATGCAATGCGCCCTGTGCCATCCCGCCCCCGCGTGCCAAAGCCAAAAGCCTAGAGCGACTGACGGCCAGTAACAAGAGCTTACAGTGGGCAGAAAAGTCCTACGCTGGCCCAAAAGCGTAGGACTTTCATCCAACCTCCTCCCCTGATCATCTTGCCTCAAGCCTCAAGGACCCTGATTGACGGGATATGTATCACGGACGATTAGGGTCAGTCATGATACTTGGACATCTGTATATCCAGTCTAGAGGCACGAAAGCTGAAGCTCTTAATCCTAAGTGACAAAAATATTTAGGTAAGTTAGTCTAAGCTTAGGTGGCTCTTTGATGAGTTTATTTTATTTAGCATCCATCCTCTTCTAAAGTCTTAGGTTTTCTTGCTCCCTGGGGCCAGAATCTTTTGATTGTGTCTGTCACATTCGTGATTCTGGCCGCCAAATACGTGCTGATCTTGAAGGTCATCCTCAGAGGCCTCTCAGCGGCAATGCAACCCCAGTCTTGATGATTGATCAAAATCTGAACTTACGTATGATATATTAATACTTCGTTGCTATTCAGGGTGATATTGGATGAGCAAGTCATTCTGTCATACCCACATGATTTTCGTCCCAGAACGGTTTCAATAGAGGTTGCATGACGAAAGAAAAACAAGCATTGCGATGAGATAGAGTCGCGGGTCACAAGAGCTGGACCAGTGGAATACTCACAGAAAGAATCACTGAGATCTCTGTGCCTGATCAAGCATGATTATCTAAAGTTGAGTGGAAGTAGACTAGTTTGGTTGAACATAAGAGGTATGGCTTTGTGTTGAAAATCGCATAAGTAATTGGGGAACTTTATCTCTCGTAAGCTATAGAAGTGAGAGTCATGTGAGAAAGAATTGCAGCCCGATATCACAGTTCTTACAATAACACAACATGAAGCTATCATGAGCATAGTGCGGGATACAGTGCTTGACCACTATCCGCACCTACACTACTGCGGCTAATTCCGTTGGACGTAGAGAATTTCCAGCTCAACCACGCACTCCACAACGAATTATCGTAACGCCCAGCGACAATTCGGCGCCAACAGTTTCAATCCGCTCAATGAGCTGCTAGAGCCTGCAAACCCCCTCGATAAATACTCGCAGCTCATTCTCCGCCATGCAGAAGCTCGCCAAGCGGGTCGCCCAGGCCCAGCGCCAGGCTGGCCGACGAGCCCAAAAAGCCGCCAAATCTGAAGAGAACAACTACAAGCTTCGAAACCGACAAGCCATGCGAGCGGCTGTCTCTGAGGTCCGACAGAATCTGCAGGATGCGCGCCGGGTGAGGCAGGAGGACTGGGCGCTGGGTCCTATTGCTCCCAAGCGGGATCTGGGCTTCAATGGTTATGGCATGTTTACGGAGGGTGTACGAACGGATTGGTCCAACTATGGTCTTTACAGACCAAGGCCTGAGGTTCTGGCGAAGAGATGTGCTTGGGCTGGTGGTTTGAAGCAGCTTAACCTTGCTGTTTCAGACCGTGTGGTTATCATGGATGGGCCGGACAAGGGCAAGATTGATCGCATCAAGACGATCAACCCTCAGGGAGGATATGTTACTCTCGAGAACTATCACCGGGTAAGCACAATCATTGGTCTTCGTAAGGCTTGAGTAGGGACTAATGGTTCTTAGGCTATCTCTGCTGGCATGTTTGGAAACGACAGTCGCTCTCAGCCTATGCCCCTCTCGATCGGTTCTATTCGTCTCGTCTATCCTATCGCCAACCCCGAAACCGGAGTCACAAGAGACGTCATTATCAACGAGCTTAAGGCCATTCCCCCGAACATGAAGTCCCCCAACATGAGCTTCGACCGATGGGAATACGGGAATAAGTGGGATCGAATTGTCCCTGGAATCAACGTTGTCATCCCCTGGCCCGAGGTTGAGGCCCCAGAATTCGAGACTTTCGACGGTGATACCATCCGTGAGACTGTCGACAACCGAACATTTTACTACAACCTACTCTCCCCTCCCATGCCCGAGACCGTCATCGACGAGTTGAGAAATAAGTTCTCCAAGTTCCGAACACGCCACGAGGAGTGGTACGTGCAGCAGAAGGAGGCCGAGGCAGCAGCAAAGGAAGCCGAAAAGGAGTCTATCAAGTCCATGCAGACTCCTCTGCAAGAGTTCCACGAAATGCAGCGCGAGAAGCGTGCTGCTGAGGGTGAGCCCGAGCTCAGCACAGAGATGTTGGAGAAGCTTGGTGCTATTCTTGCTCAAAGGAAAGAGGCTGCTGCTCTCAAGAAGGCTGGTGTGTCAAAGGTGGCGGCTGCAGATGCTTCGATACCCCCCTCAACAACAACACCTCCGGCTCAATGAATGACATGAGAAAAAGGGAGGTTGAGAATTGGATAGTGGATGGCGTGCCAGGGGTGGTACGAATAACGTGTAATTATATCTGTGCAACAATGTACATCATGAAACGTAAAATAGACACATGGTCTTGTCTCTTCATTAGAACTGAGGTCTGGTCTATATGTGTAGTCGTCAAGCGGTGAGCTGGTTCTCATGACCCCCGAGAAGACAAGGCAGATCTTCTCCATGATTTGGTTTCTGAGCCGGAAGTTTACAAGCCGAGACTAAAAGCTGACAGCTTTGAAACTTGATTTCAAGTGCTGCAATGGGATTCCATGTTGTGGGCCAAGCATAACGACACACCGATGTTGGCTCATTCGGTATGATCTGTACACAGGTCAGTATACCGCCTTGGTATGCACCTCAGGAGCTCAGTTTCAGCGTCGATAGTCCAGGATGTCTTGGACCATTTGTATGCCTGGAGACTTGCAAGGCCTCCTCTGGCACGCGTTATCTAGTAGTTTGAACAAGGGCGATGGTTCATCCATTTGCCTCGAATGTATATCTACAGAACAAAACTCAAACTAATCTTACAAAACAACATGTAGTCTGTTACTTAGCCATCAATACACTTGATTAAGCCTTCTCAAGTCTCCTATAGCTTGGAACCCTTCGGTCCTGAGTAACCGGCCCCATTTCCAGTTGCCTTGTTATCCTCAGCCATGGACCTCATCAACAGGCGATCTTGAAGAGAGGACGTGTCGTGAATGAAGGGCTCTAACATCTTCGTGTAGATGGTGATTCTGGAGGATTAAGCCATTAGCTCAAGTTATGATATGATGAAGTATGTGTATCTCACGGTGGAGTGTCACCCTTAGGGATAATGTCAGTGTGGGTTAAGTCGCAAGGCATGGCGGAGGCGAAGAGGACCTCGGAAATTCACTGAATGATAAAGTGCCCGAGTTGGGATGTGTTAAGGAACGTGATGAATATAATTAAAAGATAAAAGTAGGGGAGCCGTTCAGCGGTAGTTCTTCAACATTGGAAGATGAGAGAACTCAAAGCTATGTCCTGAAAGAGCCATGCCTCAAAGCATGAGAGTTACCAGAACGATACGGAACTTTCTGACCTTTTATAATTGCTTCAGGGGATACCTGGGGATCAACATGCTCGAGTTACGTCCTGTCGAGACAAGATACTTACAACAGCCTCAACACCATCAAACATTCCGGGCATCGAAACGCCCGCATTTCCAAACACAGCCTTTCTACACCGGTGATCCTAATATGAACGAAACACGAGAAAGTGCAGGCGGCGCAAGGAGACAGAAGAGGGCTAGAAAATTCGGTCTGTTGCCACAACCGAAGAAGCGGTCTCAAAGTTGATACCAATTTGACATCTGCATCAACATGTAGTGGTGTGTAGACTGCCTAACCAGGCACCTGGCTCAAGAATGTCTCAGGCATCTCCAGAGTAGGTAATCTTTCCACGTTGTGTATTTCTTGTCCTGTGGAGGGAAGTGATTGGGACAGGAACAGAACCAACACAGGCCCACCCTCCCAATATGCACTTTCGTTTTCAGCCTGCTGCATACAACGGAGAAGCGGTGAGCTTGCAACAATCATATGGATGGATAACTTCTTGTCAATGATGCATTACATATTCGAAACGGGGTTACATTCATGTACGCAAGTGCCGTATCTGGTTTTTCTGCATCGATCCTTCGATGCACACACGATTCTGCATGCTTTGCATCGCTTATTTGATTGACAGCCGGGGCTCACCGAATAACTCCGTCCGCTAGAGAGAAGAGAGAACTTGGCCAGTCATGTCATGAGGCTCTTCGGGTAACTTTCCAAAGGACTCAGCCTCGTGGGGAGGCTCGGCCTTGTTTGAGGCCACCCATTCAAGTATCCCGATACAGAGCGGTGTGCTCTATTCCATAGCCATTGGCGTAAAAATGATAACAACAGATATCATCTGGACATAAAGATGCGGCCGTAAAGAGCCGGCCGTATTTTGAGTTGATCTCCCATATGCTTGTCCTTCTCCAAGGATATCCTTAGCCTACGGATGCGATCCGGCTCTTTGGATATCCACTTGCGGTTGCTGACACTTAAGGCAGACGCACCTCAATCCCAATCCGTTCAAGATTAGCATACATAAGGATAATTTATGACTCGTTCCGATCAAGGATATCTCGAGAATCTTCCCCCCTCTATGTTTTGAACCCCGGCAGATCTTACATGCCGCGCATAGCCACGTGGAATAGAAGGGCCGTGCCATGAGCTTGGATTCAGCTGGAGAACAACCCTGCTGCGTACGCCATATCAGTCTTAGCGAATCTACTAGTAACCAACAAACACGAATTCGAGAACAGATCGACACGTCTGTGAGTCTCGATAAGTTTCAGATGCATTAAGACTGATTTCTAAATGTTGTAAGGATATGTTCTAGGGAGGCGTACGACCTGCCACGTTGGGTAACTTGTGCGTAACTTACAAAGTCGTAGCAACATCAAATAACAAGAAAGAGACAGTGACTGAAGTTTTTGGTCATAGTACTGCAGTCTATACTCATTTGAGTAGTAGAAAAGAAGATGAAACGCCTAATAAGATGTGATGCTGTGTGTATGCTAGATCGGGAGGGCTCATAGCTCTTGTGGCAAGGGAAACAATGTAGTGTGTATGATTAAGATGCAATCAAACTATGGTGTTGTAGAGATCTATCATAACCCAGGCAGGGGGTCATTGTGTCAAAGCTTGCCCTTATCCTCCGGGGGGTCACCCGCCTTCATCTTTTCTGACGAGCCCGTCGCAGGCACAACACTAGGATTCTTCACCACAGGAAACTGAAGTAATCGCTCCTGAAGAGAAGAAACATCGTAAATGAATCTGTTGAGCATGCATGCATCTTCTGGAGGCCTGGGTGCAAGAAGTCAGTTGCCTGGTGACTGGCAGTTGCTGAGTGTTACTTGCTCTTCTGGAGTTTCCAAAGCAGGGACATGGGTATTGATATCTTTTGAAGACATTTCTTATTAGATTGGGTGTGTGAGCTAGGGAAATGTGACTAAGAAGTGGTAGGAGAGAGATCCTCGGAGGGTATCCGGGGGAAATGGTTTAAAAGCCCTTCACGGCTTAGATCTGAGGGGGAACTTGAAGAAAAGGGGGTATCAGGGCCAAGCAAGAGGTAAAGTAGTAACTTCAGGGGATAAAAAGAAAACAGAGGGGAGTATAAGACAGGAACCGGGCAGAAGAGGGGAAGCTTTTATAGCCCTGGAGTCAGTGCTCCGGGGTGTAGCAAGTCGGCTCCAGGTCAACTTGGTCAGCTCGAGCACTGAGAAAGCCGGGGGAAATGGTGAAAGCGGAACAAGATTGGCAGAGCTCCGTGACGAGACCTTAGCAAACACACAACGGGCGCTTAATACCACATGGCTAGAACCAATGACTTCCGAGCATCCGGCCCCGAGATGTGGGTACACACACACTCCGTGTGATTCGGGAAAAGCGGGGCTTCCGGGGCTCTTCCGGTCAAAATCCCGGTTCATGGTGTTGCGACTAGGCGGCCTTAGATTAAGTGAAAGGCAGACAAGGAAGGTCTCAAGACTTTCGGTGGGACTTCGAGTGATATTATTCCTTAATAGCTACAAACTTTCGTACGGTATTCAGGGGTTGGCGACGAAGACTGAAGTGTGTCAGATTTATACTAGGAACTACGACATATATGATGCGAATTCGCGATTAAAAATAGTCCAATAGTAATACATTAACGAAATATCTTAGCTCAATCCATCTGTACGACTGACGAATAGTGAGTAAGCTGTAAAGGCCGCCAAACAGTCAATCAGGTCTAGTAAACACTGCAATGAAAGAAGCTCAAAGCCGACCTTGCGGGGAAGGAGGTTCTTGCATCAGAGCATCCAGATCGTGAACTTCAAGGTCGCTGTGGTTTGACACTTCCGCAGTTTCAGACGTTCTATTGGTTGATTCTGATGCAGTGTTGTTGGCTTCGGCTCTGCACAGCAGATGCTGCTGGACGGAATCGGTATCGTAGATATACGGCGCCAGCATCAAACCGCGACATTTGGTCCTATATAATGTCAGCATGAGACATCGTGGAAGATGTTTTGACTGACGGCTTCCGCTCGTTTGTACTGTTTGTCGGAGTTTGTGAGTTCTGGGAGACCATGGCTGGTAAACACACACCGTAGTGCTCTTGTCGTGATAAAATACAAAGTAGGGAGAAATCTGATTGAATAGACGACCCGGGTCACCGCTTCTCAAAGCCCAAAATGGCGAGTAGGGGAGAGCAAGAGACGGAGAACGCAATGGAGATCGAACTTTAGTAGCAAGCGGTCAGAAGGGCGGTTCATCTCTTCAATTTATATAGTTATCAAGTCCTGGGTTCCTCACAGCCATTTCTCCTATCCTAGTCTCTATCACCTCTCAGGCTCAATCATGAGTGGCTTGATGGCCAGACGAGGCACCTGCATGAATCAAGATTCGAATGCGCATATGCCGACTGGTAAGAGGACTCGATCGGATCTATCATATTGCTTCGATCGAGAACCGTTACAGTTCAGTGACGGTGTGGCAGAAGGGGTTTATGATTGGAAAATATACTGCAGGATACAGGCTAACTGAGAGAAGAAAGATAATAGATCACATAAACGTGTTGCCCACGGACCTGACAACGGGTACAACGACCAGCCCCCCCGGGGTTGCGCCAAGTTCCAATGCGGCATCGGCTTCTGGACTCCTACTGCTAGGTGTGTGTGCATGTAGGACTTCCTGCGGCAGAGTGAGACATGGTGCAGGTGTTACTGTTAACATACGATGCGATGCAGCCCAAGATGAGATTGGGCATTCAGAAATAACGGATTGGAGATGAGGCAACTAAGCCCAGGCATCGTGACTAGATGTTTTGTTCAGTCCCGGTAGTATGGGTGCCAGGATCTAGATAAAGGTTTAGGGGGGTGCATATGCAGTCATCCAGCCAACCTCAACACGGTACCTGTACAGAAATGACTCGACAACAGTCTTAAGGCAGAGCATTATGACTTCCGAACCCCTTGACCAGCTGTTCACTCCCCAGAGGGCTGAGAAACCACAATTGTGTTCGAGACCAACCGGCTACCATCGACTTCCTAGGAAGTCACTTCGGTCTACGACGAATTTACCGATCAACAATAATATGATTATACTGTAGATGATTCTCAGTGCTTACATAAATGATTTAATCGCTTGCCTTGAACATTTGACACTGGTCTATTGACAAGTAGAATGTGGTAACTGATTGACCTCACACATAACACAAAACCACCCCACAAGTCGACGTTGAACACGTTGGTGTCAGCTAAGCCGATGTGCTAGTTTCGGAATTGTAAATCTTGATCGCGCACTCTCGTGGGAGAATGATAAGTGACAAGAGACAAAAAGGACGTAAAGCCTTCCGTAGCCACACCCTATCACATCTCAATTGTGTGCTGCAGCCTCAAATAATCACTCGCTGGCTCCCCTGTTTAAGATCAGATCATATTGAGGACACGGACACAACTTGCATATAAGTACCGTAGAGGTGTGATATACATAGTAACCGTAATCTCTCAATATTCGCTGTGGCTTGTCTCAAAGCCAATGATCGACGGGCTCGGCTGTTCATCCGCTCAATCGTCCGCCCGGTATGTATACTGTGTGCTTGCTTTTTATGACAGCTAATCCGTTGGCATCCATCATCTTTTCATTTTCCAAACCGGCCTATATTATTTCTGTTAGGAACAGGGGTTCGACCGTTTTGGACGTTCGTCGAATCGGTGCCTTATTGACTCAACAACAACAACAGATACGTCTCCATGGAGCAAGAAAGCCTAAGTCCCTCACGAATGTATTTTGTGTAATAAGATTACAATAATCAAACCTAAGGTGGTTTAGTGGTCTAGCATTCTGAGTTGACACACGGGGACGCCTACTGCGCAGAACCGTGCTTGAAAGGGAGGAGGAGACTCGGGTTCGAACCCTGGCTTTAGGAACTCTTTTTGGCTCTGTTACTTGATATCCCGTTTGATGCTTTGGTTGGACTTCGGGATGTGCATAACTGTGGCTTGGGAGGTTTCAATAGCAAACGTTAAAGAGCCACTACACAAGAAGGCAAACAGTATAAAATAAAATAAAAACATCACTAAATCAATATTTATTAGGATAAGACTTAGCATGTTAGATCTGAAAGGGTAAGATGTCTGACGTGCATTGTCCGACTGAGAATTATTGAGATTCATAGGAGAGTGTTAATTGTGGCAGGATGGATGTTTAGCCGGTCAATATATTCATAGCCTCCGGAAGGGCGTTAGGCTTCCACTCAACACTCATATACTAAGTACGTGTAATGGATTCGAAAGGCATTCAGAAACAAATGATGATGGTCCATGTTGAATGTCCGTATAAGTCGAACAAGTCCCACTTTTCCCGGCGGTGGCCCGCTCGCCGCCGGCCGCCGGAGGGTTTCTGTCTCCACCCACTTAACCCCTCCCCCACGTCAGTATTTGGAGCTTCAAGCTGATAAGGGCAGCCTCTATATTCTTATCTGAAGCTTCCCCTCCTTAGTTCTAGCAACAAAACTTTCCTGTAGCTAGGTTTACTCAAGAGCTGTTCATCATGTCGCACTCTCACGACGGTCACTCTCACTCTCACGATGGAGGCTTCAATGCTGTTGAGCATGGCCACTCGCATGAGATCCTTGATGGTCCGGGAAGCTTCTTGGGTCGCGAGATGCCAATCGTAGAAGGACGAGAATGGTCCGAGAGAGCTTTCACTATTGGCATTGGAGGGTGAGACTCTAACACAGTCGTAATGACAAAGCTGACTTGATTAGCCCCGTCGGTTCCGGAAAGACTGCCCTCATGCTCGCCCTCTCCCTCGCTCTCCGAAAGGAATACTCCCTCGCAGCCGTGACGAACGACATCTTCACCCGCGAAGACGCAGAGTTCCTTACCCGAAACAAAGCCCTCCCACCTCCTCGCATCCGCGCTATTGAGACCGGTGGTTGCCCGCACGCTGCTGTGCGTGAAGATATCTCCCAGAACCTCGCTGCATTGGAGGACCTGCACCGCGAGTTCGACACCGATATTCTCCTTATTGAATCAGGAGGCGACAACCTCGCTGCGAACTACAGTCGTGAATTGGCCGATTTCATCATCTACGTTATTGATGTCAGTGGCGGTGACAAGATTCCTCGAAAGGGTGGCCCTGGTATCACGCAGAGTGACCTCTTGGTTGTCAACAAGACCGATCTGGCTGAGATTGTCGGTGCAGACCTTGGTGTTATGGAGAGAGATGCTCGAAAGATCCGAGAAGGTGGACCAACAGTCTTTGCGCAGGTGAAGAAGGATGTTGGCGTTGATCATATTATCAGGTTGATCAAGAGCGCATGGAAGGCCAGTGGTGCAGAGGAAGAGAGACGAAGCAAGGGAGGTCCCAGACCAACAGAGGGTCTGGAGCAGCTGGAGTAAACATCACATATATATCAAAAAGAACACTATTGGAAATAATCATATAAGAGGAAAGAAAAAAAAACGCCAACTTTTAATTCTAAAGGTATACTGGGTGTCATGTCTATGCCTGGTCATCCATCATCATATCGCCATCAGCTTGCACTGCGCTGGGCTCTATCTCCAATAACGGTCCCTCCACAGGAGTAGCATTTCGTGGCCACACCCGCTTGTACAGACTGACGCCGATGGAGTCTTGAGGGTTGATACGTCCATCGAATGTCGCCTTGAAGTAACCATGTGTACCGAGAGGCTCCTTGACGAAACCACTGCGGCCACGCTTGGTCCATAGAGGTAGAGCCTTGAACCACTCGACATCCTCTCGGTTGAAGAACATATATCGGATGGTGACGATCCTCTTGTGAATATGGTAAGGATGACCAGTGAGGATGATGCGCTTGGCGATGACGCGAGATGTGGATGGTGGTAGAGCGGTTCCTGTACCGATAAGTGACAGACCAATATGAGGACCCTCCTCGTTTTCATTCTTCTCAACCTCTTCAGCTGTGGTTCGCTTGAAGAACAGAACAGGCACAGCACCCCATGTTAGAGGACCCATGAAGGTCGCAATAGCTGACTGACCGGGGTGGAGGAACCGGCAGTACTTGTGAACATCGTTTGGTGTTTGACCAGGCTGGGAGAAGAGAGGCTTGATCACCATTCGGCGAGGTCCACACTGGACAATAAGCTCCTCCTTGGCCTTGATAGACTTGGTAAAGTCGGAGCTGAGGTTGAAGAGGTAGTTGACAGCCGTCTTCTTGTTCTCATGTCGTAGAAGAGAAAAGAGAGTGAGGGGCTTCTTGGGGTTGTAGGTCTTCTCCTGAATAGGAGAGATGCCCTTGATGTAGATGTGAACACGGGTACCAGGCTCAACGCCGCCGACCAAAGCCTCTCTTGTTGCTTGAGATTTTGAGGATTGATAGTTTGGAACTTGAAGAAGACGTCTCCACTCCTCAGGTTCATGTGCGCGATCCTCATCCTCCTGCCAGGTACTGGTTCGCAGACTCTTCAGACCACGATATCTGGCCAGACGCTCTCGGGCCAAGACATGAGGGTGCAACTCAATCTCATCGGGAAACTCCATATCGTCCTCAACCTCATTTCGCTTTCCAGCTCGATATTGTTCAAGTTGCTTAGCATCCTCCTCCTCATCTGGCTCAATCATCATCTCCGATTGAGGATATTCTGAGGGAGCGCCCTCAGTGGCGGGTGCAGGGGCATAACCCTCAAGACCGTCCTCAGGGCGGGCCTCCTCCTCGCCGGCCTCATCCTTCATCTCGAAGTCCTCCATATCGGACTCTGAGTCAGAGACATCCTCCAGATACCAAGCTGACTGGTAGTTGGATGTACCCTTAGGAACCTTCTTCTTGATCTTTCTTGCCTCAGCCTCCTCATCTGAGAAATAGTGGTGATCATCCAGAAGAACACCCTTCTTCTCAGTGGCATCAGTTGTCATAGCGTCATCAGCGTCGTCCATCATGACCTCCTCAGGAGCCAGCTCCACCAAGTCATCACGATCCTCAGAAGGCTCCTCCAGAAGCTTGCCAGCCTCTTCAGGGTCAACGGTCATCTCCTCTCCCTTCTTCTTGATCTGCTTGGGCAGAGGAGCAGCCTCAATCTTCTCAATCTGGAAAGTTCCCCAGTCGCCAACCTGAATAAGACGGTCGGCCTTGAGGCCCTTGCCTCGGACAACACCAGTGATAACTGTTGAATCGGACTCGGAGTAGGCGAACTTGATATCATCCGCAAGCATCCAACTCCTCTCGTCTCTCCATCGGATGCCCTTTGGTGTTGTGCTGCATAGTGATCGCATGAGGTTGGCACAATCTTGTCGGTTCTCGATGCTGTAAAGCTTCTCTTGTTCGGGATGGAAATGTGTGATGAAAGATTTGAGGGAGACTAGAACACTTTGTCGCTGCTTCGCGGGCTCAACCTTGTCAAGACCTTCAACGATAGTGAAGAGGGTGGACATGCCCTGGCTCTCAACACTTCGCAAGATCAACTCTCCAAGTTCATCGACCTCAACGTTGGCGGACAGAACGACAATGACGAAATCGGCAACACGGGCAGCATCGAGACAGGCGTTCAGGTCTCGCTCGATAGGGATGTATTGTAACTTTTGCTTGAATCGGTCGACTGTGACTCGGTAGTTGCCACTCTCGGTGTTGTCCTCGATGTCGACGCTGCTGTTCAGCTGCTTGATCGCAGCGTTAAGGTCGGTCCCAGCGCAAAGGGGAATGACGGCGACATGTCGAGGAGCGCCATCTTTTCCAGCGAAAACCGAGGTTTCCTTAACATGCTCCTTGTGCTTGTTCAATCGGGCCTGCTTGGCCTGGTTTCGTCGGTCGAACTTAGACATGACTTGTTGGTGAGGAGTTTTCCTGTTGCCCTTTTCGTCGGCAACTCGGCCTGTCTTTGTGTCAGAATTGGAGTAATAACAAAATTTCAGGAGAGTCTCACCCTTTGCGCGATCCCTCAACTCATGCTTAGAAGCAGCCCGTGACTTGAAAGCCTTGTGTGTAACCTTTGTGGTAGGCCTATGAGAATGAGCCACAGCGACGGGCATTTTGCTCTCGCCACCGGCTTTGAATCGAAATGGTAACGAAGCCAGATTGAGGGACAGAAATGCCGAATTGAGATTTCTGTACAAATTGTAGGCAAAATGATGGCAATGTCGTCGATATTCTAGGCGGTGATGGCGGGGTTAAATCCAAAATAATTTTTGTGCCTATCGATAGTGGCTTATTAGTGGATGACATAAAGAACCCTGATTGTTAAATGGGCGCTGAGTCTCAGAGGAACCAACGAATTCGTCACTAGATCTCGCGAGCCTATAGTATGGAAGGAAGTGACTACTTGGATCTCTAATCCACAGTTAATTAAGTCTGACTTTATTATTTCGATGACAGCCCAAGTCAATGAGCATAACTTTATACCAACTAAATATGATACTGGAAGGACCGTTTATTCTGTCGACAAGAAGTGGGGTATCTCATCCAATAGACTCGACACGATAAGCGGTGAATTTTTTTGTCGATAAGGAAAGTTGTATGCCAATCCATCTACCATCCCGTTCAAAGTTGCCTTTCTTCCAGTCGAGCGCGTTGACAATACGAAAATATGGAGGTCGACACAGTTGATGTGCCCACTTCAAAGGTGCGCGACAATGGCGCACTCGCCGTTCAAGGCACTAGAACAGAACTCGTTCCCCGTCATGAGCGAGAACGTGCTCGTCGAATCCGAGAAGCAAACAAAGCCTACGGTCGAGGGAAGAAGGTCAACATCAAGGCCATCAAGGATAAGAAGCTTCGAAGCAACATGAAGCGCCTTGAGGGAAAGTACCAGGATGCTGCGCTGAAAGCTAAAGACGCCGAGATTTTGCTCGAGAACACATCTGGCTTTCTCGAAGCTGAGGACGAGCTCGAACGAACATACAAAGTCCGACAAGACGATATTACTTCGGATATTGCTGTGGGGACTGCGCAAAAGCGATTCGAGCTCAAGCTGGACGATCTGGGACCATATCACTTCGATTACTCGAGGAATGGGCGGGACCTGTTGCTCGGTGGTCGAAAGGGTCATGTTGCGACGATGGACTGGCGAGAGGGTAAGCTTGGTTGCGAATTGCAGCTGGGAGAGACCGTGAGGGATATTAAGTGGCTACACAACAACCAGTACTTTGCTGTTGCACAGAAGAAGTACGTTTATATCTACGATCACAATGGCGTGGAACTGCATACTTTGAGGAAACACCAGGAGGTGTCTCATATGGAGTTTCTGCCATACCACTACCTATTGGCGACGATCGTGAGTTTCACCTTTCCTACTTACTGCATGCACAACTAACAGTGTCAGGGCTCCGTCGGTTTCCTCAAATATCAGGACACATCAACAGGACAATTAGTCGCCGAAATTCCCACCCGATTAGGTCAACCATGTTCCCTCAAGCAGAACCCTTGGAACGCTATTCTACATGTCGGTCACCAGAACGGAACAGTTACACTATGGTCGCCCAACACTCAAGATCCTCTTGTTAAATTGTTAGCGCATCGGGGACCCGTACGAGATTTAGCCATTGACCGTGAAGGTCGATACATGGTGTCAGCTGGTCAGGATCAGAAGATGGCAGTCTGGGATCTGAGAATGTTCCGAGAGGTCAACAACTACTTCACACGCCAGCCTGCTTCTTCACTGGCGATTTCAGATACTGGCTTGACAGCTGTTGGCTGGGGTACTCAAACAACCATTTGGAAGGGTCTTTTCGATAAGAATGCCCCTGTTCAAGAAAAGGTCCAAAGCCCTTATATGACCTGGGGTGGTGAGGGCAAGCGCATTGAGCGTGTGCGCTGGTGCCCCTTCGAGGATGTTCTAGGTCTCGGTCACGATTCAGGCTTTTCTTCCATCATCGTCCCTGGCGCTGGTGAAGCCAACTACGACGCACTGGAAGTCAACCCCTTCGAGACCGCCAAGCAACGACAAGAATCCGAAGTCAAGGGTCTGCTGAACAAGCTTCAGCCCGACATGATCGCCCTCGACCCCAACTACATCGGAAACCTGGATCTGCGATCCGACAAGCAGCGCCGCGCAGAAAAGGATCTCGACACCCCGGCCACAGATATCGCCGAGGAGATCCGCAAGCGAGCAAGAGGCAAGAACGGCGCGCTCAAGAAGTATCTGCGCAAGCAGCGAAAGAAGAACATCATCGACGACAAGAGATTGCAGGTGGACGAGATCTGGAAGGAGCAGCAGGCAAAGAAGGACAAGAAGCAGCTCGAGGCGGAAGCGGATCTGGGACCGGCGTTGGCGAGATTTGCGAAAAAGGAGTAATAGACTTGGACGTACAAATGCGAATAATACCCTTTATCACAGAAAATATGCTTCTTTTGAGTGAAAAATGCGGGTTTGTCTATCAAATTCCCGCGTGAATGTCTATTTTGCAGTACTTTTACCTATCCGACCCGATTTGTAATCCCGTGCGTGTCTTCGTGTATCCCCAAAATCCTTTCTATTCTTTTCGAGTCTTCACCATTTACAGCAGCTTAAGTCCACCAGTGACCTGGTCAACAAGGCTTCTAGGCGCAGGTCCAACGCCCAGCACCGTCATGCTACCCGCCTCAATTTGTGTTCGTCCAGCATCCTGGATGACCTCAGCTGTGATGCCAAGAGACCGAGCCTTGCGTCGAAGCTCGAGCATCTCATCCTGACTCTTGACTTGCACGGCGATCTTGGCCTGACCGAGACGTTCCCAGCGCTTGAGGATCTTAGACAGGGGAGAGTTGGAGGGGGCGCGGGAGAGGGCCTTGTAGCATGCGAGGGTAGCGTGGGAGCATTGAGCAGCGATTTTGCCTACAACACATACTGTTAGCACTCTGCATAGACGATTTCAAGAGTAATTGTGTTAACGTACCCTTTGTCATGCCCAGATCTGTTCGCACAACAAGAACAAGCTTGCACTCCTCTCCATTGTCCCTCAGAACAGGCTCCTTCTCCTTCTCAACATTCTTCAAACCCTGCCTCTTATCGGCGTCAGCGCCATTAGCCCAGTTGGGAGCATGATCAAGAACAGTGTCATCCTCGTCGATATCGCTTTCGTCACTCTCGACAGGATCGTGTATGTTGCGCCGGCGCTCCTCGAACAGAGAGGGTGGGATGAGGTAGCCTCGGATAGTATAGATACCGAAAGCGTAACCGGTGAGGAGGGCCACGACGGCTGTGGAGATAATTACTCCTGTTTGTTCGCCTGGGTTCATCGCCATGGTTGGGGGTGAGGAGGAGGATTAGAGGCTGTGAGGCTGTTTTCGGTGGTTTTGGTGATGGAGCCAAGTGCAATAGGTTGACGTTGGTTACATCACGTGGGGCAGCAGTAAGTATGGATGAAAATCGATTTCATGAGCGTTTCAAAACCTGGTCAAGATCATGTTTCCAGGTTTATTCATCACCCGGCTTCCTTATTTGTCGCTTCCAATTTAAATTATTTCTTTAAATCGATAATTGTCATAATACAACGCTCCCGGTGCAGCCGTCTTTGACTCTGCCGAGTTAACTGTGCAACCAACTATCTACGTCCCGTCTTGTTATACAGTATTCACATGAGACTCGCCTCGTTGCGATTCAAAACGCTCAAAATGATATCGATTATCTTCTGAAACTCCTCACATCACCAGTACACCTCGTTGAATGTATCCAGACTCATCGACCAAGGGGTGGCATCCAAACATCTCGGAAAAGTCGTTCAGACAGGCACTTCTGGCCTCCATATGACCCTTCTTCATACTGATTCCAACTTTAGGAACAAAGTTGACATACTTTTCATGTCCATTGATTAGGAGAGGTCCTTCGCCAGTGAGCAGCCCGTGGACGTAGTTCATGGCAAGATCCTCGCAGTTGAAGCCCTCGTCCACATACTCTCTGATCTGTGTCATGATGGTGTCGTTGGAGGAGTAATAGTCGAGGAACGACACATGTGAGAAAGCAAGATTGGTTAACACCATGTTATACTCATCCTCCCCCCGTCTGCTGGAGCAGAATGTGTATTTGTGGTATCCAAACGTATTGACGGGTGTGCATCGAGCGAGAGCACCGACCATTCTATTCCTGCCAAACTTGCGCCATGTCTGAAAGACGAACTCGAGATCGTTCGGGTGATAGTAGACATCATCGTCCGAGAGCAGAATCGCTTGTGTCTTGTAGTCGGGATCGGGCCAGAGCTTTTCGTTGAGACTGTTGCGCTTCGACTTTCGGAATCGGACAGGGACTCCGTATTTGGAAACATAGTCATCTGGAGGGTAGTTTTCGAGATCGTTCCAGACAACGACTATTTCGAGGAGCGAGGGAACTTCCTCGCTCAGGATGATGTTGAGCGTTTCTTGGAGTTCCTTCGGTCGACGATACGTTTGCATAGCAATTCTGGAACACAATCATTGTTAGCATTCTAAAAATGAGCTCGGAAAGAGATTCAGAAACATACGTAAACTTATCGTCCATCAGGTTCTCGTACTTCTTCTGTGAAGCCTCCCATATATCTCTTGTCCCATTAATCCCCTTACTCTGACACGTGGGATATCTCGAGATATGGCTGACAAGTTTCGGTATAAAGAAACCAGCATTCGTCAACTTTGCCAAAATAACAACGAACGAAAGAGCAAAGAACACAGCAGATGTAATAGTCGCCGCTCTTCGAAATGCTCTCGATTTTACGACCTTTGGCGTACGAAGCTTCACCCACTCAATCTTCTCTGCCAACCTGTTCCTCAGGGGCCTAGTCTTCTCCATGAAGGAGGAGTTTGAAGGCTTCAACATTGTTGCTTGTGGCAGAAGCCGGGAATGCTGTCCCATGATATCTTTGGGTATCCCTATATAAAGGGGAAGAGTGTTCTCAAGGGAGAGCACACGGGAGAGGCGTCTGGTATGTGTCGGCTGCGAATTATTGGGCAAGATAACCAATTCGATTTGTTGGAATCTTGGTATATGACTCGGATTCGAATTATAAGTGCATGATGGCGGACTTGGCACGCTTGGAGAGAATGCGAGCTGAGATTAGAGGCGAGAAATGAGAAGAAGCAAACATGAACAGACGAGACATCAAAAGACAGCGGCTCGATATCATGAAGAACAGAAGCAAAATGGACACTTCTTTGTTGGCATCGACTTACACAAATACATCCTCCCTTGCTTCAAACTTCCCCCCTTTGATGGCAACCAAAAAATCAAGTCTAAATCTAAGCCTAAGCCTAATTCTAGTGAATTATAGTGCAGCTCTTGGCAGTCTCCCGCAAGGTAATGTACACGCTACCAATGATAGTAAAGTGTTGTCGCACGTAGAGACATGTTTATTTAATCGCCGTTCATGTTCTCTCAGCAAATCGGTTGACCCAATGCTACGGCTCACGGCTGTGGTTCGTCTCTTTCCATGTCTTCCGCTAGACTCGACGGGGAAAGGAGACGGCGATCTTGATTGTGCGATGTTATCGCAACGACCATCGCGTGACTGTTGTACTCCTGATTTAAATATTAGGAGTTTAGTTTTAGTCTATTTTATCTAGAGGATGATTAATTCAATAGTTTACGTTTTGAGAATTATGCCAAGTCCGTAGACCCTTGTCTCGTAGATCAAAGTCCGGTAACAACCCCCTGTATTTCCATCGTTAGCGGCTGAGCGCCACTATCAAACCCTCCCCTGCATGTGCGTGCTTGTGATGCTCCCGCACTTTGCCGACGTCAAACTCACGACCAGTCTAACATTACACAACATAACTGCTGATATCTTGGCATCATGAGCGCAAATAAGGCCCTCATAGTCGGTATCTCGGGGTGTTCCTCGAGTGGGAAAACTACCCTTGCACGGCTGTTGCGGGACATTTTTCCCAATACTTTCATTCTTCATGAGGATGACTTTTATAGGCCTGAGAATGAGTATGATACAATCGATATTTTGACATGAACTATATCTAACTTCTATAGGCTACCAACCAAAAACGGTCTCCTAGATTGGGATTGTGCTGAGGCCCTTGATATCCCGGCTATGGCCGAGTCCCTCGCTTATATCCGCCAGCACGCTGCCTTTCCTGTAAGTCATATGTCTTTAGTTATGATGTTTATGTCTGACTTCATCTTTTAGCCTACCCTTGATTCCAAAGAAGATCAAAACTCCGTGGGCAAGTGCCCCGTATCAGAAGCCAGCATCGCCGCCCAGCGTGCCAAAGTCGATGCCGCTCTAGGCCCAGACCATCCCCTCCGCAAAAATCTCCGTCTATGTCTCCTCGATGGCTTTCTTCTCTACTCCCCTTCTATGGCTGCTATAAAGCCCAACTTGGACATCAAGCTCTTCTTGCGTACGACATACGAAAAGGCTAAGAAGAGAAGAGAAGCCAGAGACGGGTATGTCACCCTGGAGGGCTTCTGGGCAGATCCTCCCGGTTACGTTGATAAGATCGTCTGGCCTAACTATGTAGAAGAGCATGCTTGGATGTTTGAGTATGGCGATGTAGAGGGGAAGTTCAAGACGGATGTTTTGGATAAGGAGGGCATCAAGGTACAGAGTGATGTGAGTGCTGATGGAGATATTGAGAAGACATTTGAGTGGACAGTAGACACGATTTTGGAGGAACTTGGAAAGCAAGTATAGACGAGCTAGGGTGTCTATCTAGGTATCTACAAGCCATTTCTAGTCTTATCCTTCTTGATTTACTCTCTCCAAAGAATTCCCGTATCCTCAGGCCTCAAAATTTCTTAGACTTTTTCTTCTCTTGGAGATCAGCTATCTTGTGATCTTCTGAAACGTGAACTGGTCTCTTTTTGCTTGGACGGTCGTCCGATGTCTCATCGTCTGAGAACCCGATCAAATCCTCCTCCATGGGATGATGGCCTAAATCCACTTCCTTTGGACGGTCGACCGACATCTCGTCCTCCGAGAAATCGATCAAATCCTCCTCTATGGGCCTACGAGCTAACTCCACCTCCTTTGGGTGGGCGGCCAACTTCTTCGTATTCTCGTTCTTCAGTGGCTCGACCAACGACTTCGTCTTGTTCTCTTTCTTTGGAGGAACAACCGGCTCCTTGTCCTCCGGATTATCGGTTAGAATGCCTTCCATTAAACGATCAGTGGACTCCTTCTCTGGCGAAGTATCGGCCGTGACCTCGTCCTGTTTCTGTGCAAGGTCATCTCTCTGCGAGGCGTGTTCCTGATCCCCTTCCTAGGAGGCGTCCATGGCATCTTGTTGCTGATTTACCGCATTCATCTCCTCTGTCAAAAGTCGAATCGCATTCTCCGCAGCTTTGGTCATAGCCTCAACCTTGTTGAGAGAACCTTCGACTTCTCCTACCAACCGCTCTCCAATTGTGACTCCACAACTCCATCGAGGCTCGGGTTCTTCGATCAGGGTTGTAGTGTATTTCATCTTTTGTCTATCAGCGAACTTAGGAAGTTCCTCTTTGGGATGCTGAACGTGTATGTCCTCCTTGATAACAAATTCCAGATAGTCCATCACCTGAAATGTTTCAAGAACACGCGTGCATTCTTCGATAGATCCCGAGTCGACCCAGACGGCACCGAGAAGAGCTTCAAACATATCCGAATAAAACTTTTGGGGGTGAAGGCGTGCGAGGAGCGCCCAGGGGTAGTGACCATCACCCCACAAAGCTATGACAAGCTCCCGTCGCATGGACTCGAATTTCTCCTCGGTTTCTAACATGACATTGGCCATTTCGGAAGAGTTAAACCTCATGAACTTCCAAAGTGGAAGTGCAGTAGTTTTGGTTACAAGCTCACCATCGGACCTAACTTCCAAGTCTTTTCGTTGGATAGAGTTGACTAGATTCACAAGTGAAAGGAACTCCCCATTCACAATGGCCGTTTTGATCATATGAAGGCGACCAGTAGGAATTGGCGGATAGTGCTGAAACATTTTGGTGACAACGATATAATCCAGAACAGCGTCCCCCAGAAACTCGAGCTGCTCGTAGGATTTTTCCTGCATGGCTGTAGCATATGAACCATGAGTAACTGCTTCGATCAGCAGAGACTTCTTCTTGAATTTATACTTGATTAGGTCTTCAAGGGGTTCAAGGTTGCTGGGAAGCTGAACGTCGCTAGGAGCTGCAGCAAAGAGAATGTCTCTAGCCACACCCTCTTGATGCCAGTTGCAGCTATCGCCCAAAAAGACTGAAATGCATTTAAGGGCCTTGGTCAGCCCTCCGTCTTGGTAAGAGGCTCCGATAAGTGCCTCTACAACATCGGCCAAGGTCTTCGATCCACCCACTGGCGCGGGTCGAGGGGCAGGTTTTTCTTTAAGAATGTCATCAAGATAGCGTGGCCTCCATTTCAAGGCGGTGAAAGGCTTCGAAAGAATGAACTTTGAGAGCCCTTTCTCAAGACACACTCGTTGGAGTCGTTCGTTGGATACGAGTCGATCTTTAAAGTGATTCAGAAGGCCTTCGGGCCATGACGGGTCTGTGATTTTAGTTAGTGTATCGACCTCCACAACAAGGGGGTAACTTACGTTCAGAATAAGCCTGAGTGACGGTGCAAAACTTCAAAATAGAATCGCCCAAAAACTCAAGTCTCTGGTAGTCGACAGGTTCACGAGCGCTAGGCGAGCTTACGGCCTCAAGCACCAACTGCAAATTCTTGATGCCAACTGGCTTCAGAAGTGTAGAAGATAATTCAGATGCAATAAGCTGCACCTCTAGCTCATGTATGATATGTGGAATGAACAGACCGCACTTGACGACTCGTCTCTTGACCCTATCAACACGGGCATAAGAAATGGGAAGCACACACTCGTAAGGTTTAGTGCTTGACTTGGCCTGACCATCCTTCAAATCATGAAGTAAGTCGACTCGAAGACCCCATCTTTCAAGAACTAGATACTCTTCATTCAATGGACCTTTGTCATATTCATAGAATGGGCGTTGCACATCATAAAAATCAGGTTTTGAGGGAATCGTGCCGACGTAGTGAAACGGCGTTTTGTATTGGTCTCGCACAAGAACTCTGTGTTTCTTCGCCTCTTCCACCCCGTCTCCGCGGAAGGGTAATGCACCCATGTCATCCCGGGTGACGTGGTGGGCAGGGAAGATGGTCGTACTGGCTATGGACATCTTGATAACATGCTCGCGATCTTCGACCGGCCAGCGGTGCTGAAAGTTCATAGCCAAGAGAGCCGAAGTTTGATCTGGTTCTTTTGAAGATACCTCATCGGGTATATCGACAAACGAATCGCATACGATGGACCACTTGGAGCCATTCCCAGGGTATAACGTGATCTTTCGAGGCAGGTCGATTAGAGCAGGTAACATGACGTCAAATAAACAAGGGCCGGGAAACTCGTCATCGGTAAACTCGAACAAGTAGAATTGCTTATCACAACCCGACTTCCAGCGTTGGGCGATCTGGATCCAGGGGTCGAATAGGTGCTCCGGCATTAGGTCGGTCTTTTCTTCCACCTTCTCTGACTTAGCATTGAGAGGGGCCAGGTTATCTGTGACCAGCCCTGCTTCGTACAAAGCGACGTATGCCTGAAATGCGGCATCTCTCATGGCATTCCGTTCAGACTTCCACCCGCAAGCACTTTTGAACGTACGAAGATTGAGTGGCAACCCTCCTGGCAAAGTAACCGTAGCTCTCAAGATCGGTCCGCCGTATGGAGTCTCTTCTTTATGGAAGACGTAGTCGGGGAGTTGACCGACATAATCTGAGCGGAAAACAATTTGACAAAAGCGATCCAGGTGTTGTCGAGCATTGTCGAGGTCGAGCCGTGCTCCTGTGTTCTTTACGATATAGTAGGTGGAATCAATCTCCTCTGCCCGTGCCTGTTCATCCAATCGAGCCAATTCTCGTTGGTCATCTTCGTAACGTTCCTTCATGCCTTTCTCCAGTTCTTCCCAGGCGCGGATGTCTGTGCTTGAGCTCAGCAAGGCAATCATTTTGGATTCCTGCATGCGAGCTCGTCCACGGCGCTGGATGAATGACTTGAGGGTAGCGATCTCGTCGAAGGACACAACTAGGTTGCATGCGGGAACATCAATGCCTTCTTCTAAGACACTGGTAGCCACCAGGAGATTGATAGTCCCTGATCTGAAATCATCGAGGACTTGAGGGCCAGGGCCACTGGAGTACTCATAGACTTTTTGTTTCTGAAGTCCGTAGCTCGAAGCCCCGACTATTGCACCGACGCGGTAACGATCTCGAATAGGGGGGTAGTTGTTAAGAAGCTCGCAAAGTGTATGCGCTGCAGTGCGTTCCTTGACGAATATGATTCCAACTACATGGTTCTCGGCCGCAAGAAGTTCATGGATCAGTCGGCTAGTTTTGTGTGAGACGGTTTGAGCGGTTGGTGGTGAGTTGTCAACGACACCGATGTTGATTCGGCGCAAGTGTCCTGCAAGATAGGTCCTGTCCTCGTTACACCATGCATCGGTGAAAGTACTGTATGCGTCGATTCTGTCAAGGAAGGTCTTGATCATCTGTGAAATGTAATGGTCTACTGCCCAGCTGCCAAGTTCGGCAAGGATTTCTCTACTCTTGTTCCAGAGGCCTCTGATTTGCTGTTGCGAGAACGTGTCGTGCTTCATAATCACGTTCATTAACTTTTCCCGCTTTTTTTCATCATTAGCGACAAGATCCTTTAACTTAAGAACCTCAGGATCCTTTGCGATATCCATGTTCGAGTATTCTGATTGCAGTTGTTGCATCAGTGGCGTACGGGGAGGGATCTTCGTAGCATCGTAGAGTGAGCGAATGAGGTGAGGCTTGTTGACATGCTTGAGTAGTTGCTCCCGATGAGTGGTTGGAGTAACGCAGATAGCGTCCATTGTATTCTCTAGTTTTTCGATCTCCTTAAGATCTGATGAGATAATGGGACTGGCAGTCAAGCCGAGTATGGCAGGTACTGGCATACCCACGTTCTTGTGTCGATGGTAGAAGTTCATCATGATCTTCCGCCCAGAGCTGTTCTTAACGCAATTATGGGCTGTCACTGGTTAGCCAGAGTAATTATAAGGTGAACAGCCACTTACCTTCGTCAAATACTATTAAAGCGAGCATGTCCATTGTGACAAAGGCGTGGTCAAGAGCATCACGCAATATGGAGAATGTAGATACGATGATACGAGTGCCCTTGAGAATTCGAGGCCAAACTTCTGGCGACCATGCATCGATGTTGAGCTGCCCCGTAAGCAGTCTCATGGGCACCGATGGCATTTGTCTCTTGATAACATTAAACTGTTGTTCGCAGAGGCTAACAGTCTTTCCTAAGAACCACACAAGCTTTACATAGTCAGTGACTGGCCATTGGGTTGTTAATTGATCCACGAGCCTTGTTGGGTGAACTTCTCTCGAGTTCCGCTTGAATGCGAAGAACGGCGCTGTAGTGTTCAGTCAACGTCTCACTCCCAGAACACTCTGCGATGAACATACACTTGTGTCTTTCCGCTGCCTGTATCCATCTGATAATTGTTAGACGATACGATTCGAACTAATGATGCCTGAAGGTACTTACCGCAACAATCACGTTTCTCTTCAGGCTCTGCTCCAACATCTCTCGCTGGTAGGCACGAGGCCTGATGATGTCCGGGACTGGAGATGCATCTTTGGACTTGTTTGCGGCCTTTTGTTTTCCATTTAGGGCCTTGTCGGTAGGGATTAAGGTCACTGTTTCTTCGACATCGATCATTGGTGATGGTGTCGAGGTGGTGGCAGGACTCTCCGACCGTGAGGAGTCTGCACTCCCACTGTTGGGAGACTTCTCTTCATCGATTTCCATCATTTTCCTATCATGGGGGAGTAGTGAATAGTAGTTTTGATGTCTTGGGCGAGCAAAGTGTTGAGGTATTCTGGTGCGCTTTGGTGAGGTTATCTTCACGCAGGACAGTGACTGGTGGAAAGCTAAAGAACGAAAGAAGGTTTGCGGGTAGTGTTTTGCTCTCAGCAGCATGACAAGGGAAAAGGAAAAGTCTATCAAGAACAGAGAAGTATAATCAAGAGAGATGGTGGGAGGCCCACCAAGAGATGTTGGTGTAGGAAGCACTGATTCACAAGCACTTGAGAGTGCGGAGGGACTGCGCAGATTAGCAATTGTGCATCTGTCACTGCCGAGCTGAATAAGGAATAGTATCCTCCTCATGACTTCGAAATTACTGCTAGAAAGTCAAGTAGAACAACAATTTATATTTTCCTGCATCACTAAACACTCCTCCTTGTATTTTTATGTCCGCTTCCCTAATAGAATTGCCAGCAATTGGGTGTTCTAGCACTGGAGTGCTCTGTAGTCTGCCCATGCAGGGGGTAAGATTAGCACCGTTCATTCTCACTACCACGCTGAACAGGCACCGAGAATACAATGTAATTGCAAGAAAGTCAAGAAAAATAGGAAATCCTCCGCTGACCAACAGTTTCTAGGGGTTCATGACAATCCGGTTTCTTTTCGCCGTGTTTTTCATCCATTTTGGTATAAGCTGACCTCCCAGTGATCAAGTGACGATATTCATCTGGAGCTGCCACAGACTTTCATCACAACTTCACCTCGACCTACCACTGCCAAGCTGGAGACGCCCTTCCACGAACCATCAACATCTCAACTTTCTTTGCGATTCTTTACATACACTGACATCCCAGATAGTCATGGATCTCCCGGTACGAACCCCTTCCTCAGATCAAACCATGGTGCTATACGCAACTGGCTTCAATGCGTGGAGCCAGCTCACATTCGACCCTTCGCCAGCGGACGAAGAGCCTGACGACGTATTCACTTTCACAAAAGTATTGGCGGCCAGGTCTGTTGGACTAATTGCTTCCGAAATGAGCTATACTGCGGGTAGGTCTTTTGTTCTGTAACATGGGTCCCTTTCTAACACTCTCAAGTACAACAAGATACTTCTTGGGCCATCACTGGATCATCCCCTGGCCAGCTTCTTCACCGTGAAGATAACCAAGTATTTCTATTCGACTCTCCAAGTGCTATTTCAGGGGATGGGAAGGTCTTGGCAGTTCAGGACTCGGACTGTTCACCCTCAAATCAAGTCATTGTTCAGTATCCGTCCTTGGCAGCATGGAAAGCCAGCAAGAGTACCAATTCCTGGCCTTGCAAGGCCTCTGTCTGCCAGATAACAGCTTACGACGCTGGCTTCATTATTTTTCTCGAGGATGAGACCGTCCTAAGCTGTGGTGACCCACGATTCCGAGACTGCCTTGGCCGTGAAGTTGACGAGTCCTGGTTAGCATTCATGAACAACTACAGAAAGGCCATTCTGATCGTGTCATTAGCCCTGCCAACGAACCCGGAATCATACAAGATCTGAGTGATCTCGGCGAGCCCATCAAGAAGATTGCAGCAGCGGGATACACAGCTGCAGCTTTGACAGAGAGTGGCGGATTGTATCTCTGGGGCATGGCAGCCCCTGGCTCACAAAGCCAACACAACGTATTTCAAGATATCAGCGAGCTACCAAACTACTTCGAAGTTGATGGAGACAAAGACGTGCAGGATATTGGACTTGGAGAATCACATGCCATTGCTCTTACGACTGATGGCTGCATCTACGTTATAGGGAATAACACTAATGGCCAAATTGGTCTTGGGAAAGATGCTCAAGATCCAGTTTCATCATGGGCAAAGGTAGATTTTACGCCCCCTGAGGGTTGGGCAATTGTTGCCGTTGAGGCTGGCCCCAGATCATCATTCATAGTCACAAAAAAGGTAAAGCAATCTCAAAGCTCATAATGAGCTGCTCTTCTATCAGAACCAGCTCTAGTGAGCCACATGACCCTCTATTGTACAATGCTTCTCGTTGTGATCATTTGCATAAGGGCAATCATAGACTCGTCAGGTAATCCTCAATCTCTTGAGGGGTCAGCTTTCTGAAACGGGGTCCGACAGCCCCATCAACACCCTCAAGACCCAGAAGATGGTCTGCGGGAGCACCAACAATACCTGCAATGTGTTAGCAAGACTCCCACTCTCGGCTCTTTCTGAAAACTTACCAATTTCGATGCTGTCACCGTTCATCTCACCCTCGATGTTGTCCTTCAGGGTCAACAGCGCAATGTGGATAGCATCCTCAAGCTCGAGCTCCTCCGAGTATCGCTTTTCCAAGAATGTCTTGGCCTTTGTCGCACTCTTGCCAATGGCTGTAGCCTTCCATGGGTAGTAACTGCCAGAGGGATCGACCTGGTACAGCATAGGGCCGCCCTTGTGAATACCGCCAGTCTTTCGGTTGACCTTCTTCTCCTCGCTCTCCTCGGTGGTCTTGTTCTCCTCCTCAGGCTCGATGCCCTCATCCCAACCAGCAACCAGCAGACTCACACCGTAAGGTCGAACACCGGCGGATTGCGTGGCCTCCTGCATCACTCGGGCGACATCCTGCACCAATATTCTGGTAGGGGGGTACTCGTTATAGATGCGCTTGTAGCCGGTATGTGAGACCTTGCGTGCTCGGTCCACCAATACTCGATAGTCAGGGCCCATGCCGGAGTACACCATGCCGATGTTGGGGGTGATGTCGCTGATCTTGGAGAGGGAGCTCTGGTCGGCCAGAGGGGATGATGACTTCTTCTCGGTGGCAAGAACGATACCGTTGGTGGCTTGTGCAGGTTAGTAGTAGCTCCTTCAAGGTGCTGGAGGTAGCGCGAACCTTTGATGCCAAGGGCAGTGATACCCTGGTTTACAGCATTGAGGGCATACTCTATTTCGTCAAGTTAGTTCCAAAGCTTGATTTGATCATGAAACTTCGATATGCAAACCATATCGATGCTATGCAGCAGTAATTACGTACCAATCTGCACCAGCTTTCCACTATATCTCTGTCAGTGATGATGCTCGCACATCAACAGTGTCGTCACCAAAACATACCTGGGGGAGAAGGTTGTGAGAGAGAAGGAGTATCGGTCCGCCATCGCTCAAGGTCCTGCTTTGATAGAATCGGTATGGAAGAAGTGAGTGCTGGATTACGGGCGGTTATCAATTCGTGGGGTTGACGAGGAGATATCAAGCAAGGCTGCAACTGGAGCTTTGGTGTTTGGCCAAAGCAGCTGTAGCCTCTAGGCAGGCCCAGCTGCGCGTCGAGCTCAACCACTGGGAGCTCTGAATGCGGGGCAACAGATTATCCGAGTGCCGACTAACCAGAGTCTACGTGCGGTATCTTACACTTCGTATCCTGCCATTCAGAAGGTCACTTATTAAACTTTCAATGAAGAAAATATCTATAAGGAGGAACTTTTCGAACTTTGACTCAAACTCCTGTAACTCTCCCATCAATTCCTTGCCATTAAACCTGCTGCCAAGATTGGATCCTCATCTCGATATTCCCGGGATCATACTTTTCCCGAACCGCGCCAAGTTCCAGAGACTCCACACAAAGCAGCTTTCTTCGTGCGAGCTTGGTATCGGCTATTTCGGCTTCCTTCCTCCATCTTCCTTCACAAGCAAAAGAGGCTGAGCTGGCCTCTCCATACCTGAGGTGACTTATCTCCTCGTTACAATCTTGGCGGGCGGCCAGGTGTTTCCTCCGCTCTCCTACTGCTCTCCTTGACATTTGAGCTTCGCAAAAACATGTAGGTTGCGCCTGAAACGCCTCGACGGCCCACGACTCTAGCACATTACTACTGTGATTTTATCACCTACTGCTGTTGCCCTTACTTCTCTTTACTTCCACAGGTTCACGTAATTCATCATGGAGACGCGCCCTACTTGGGATTGGTCCTCGGTTGGGGATAATTCTGCTCGACAGTCTGAACCAGAGCCACGTGCAGCGACACCAGAGCCCACAACGCGATGGGCATCTCCTCCAAAGCCTGATACTACCTCTAACCAGGAGTCTCGAAGCAGGCCGAGACAGAGGCGCTACGGCCCGCGCACATGTCGTATATGTCTCGACACTGAAGAGCCCAGGTTTCCTGAACAGTCAGCAACGTTTGGCATTCCTACAGGTTCATCTCGACCTACATACGTCTCCGACGATCCCGAACTGGGAAGGTTGCTATCACCATGCAAGTGTAAGGGTTCACAGAAATATGTTCATGAAGGATGCCTGAGCGCCTGGAGACTCGCAAACCCCATGGAAGCAAGGAACTACTGGCAGTGCCCGACTTGCAAGTTTACGTATCGCATTTCTCGACTACACTGGGGCTCCGTTTTGAGCAGCAAGTGGGCGCAGGTTGCTTTGACCGTCTGGTTCTGTATGCTGAGCATTTTTGTCCTCGGATTTATTGCAGATCCCCTCTTTGATCTTTGGTCCGACCCAATTGGAACAATCGGCGAAACTGTCACAAGCGTGGTCACAGATATCGAAGCCTTGAGACAACCTCCACCACAAGTACCAACCTCTTGGTTCGAGCACTTCGTCAAGGGCTTCTTCTCCCTGGGAATTGTCGGACTATTCAAGACGATGCTTACTGTGTCTCCATTCAGTTGGTGGCAGATCCGAAGCAGCGGCGTGGCAGGTGGTGGTGGTAGGAGAGGAGGCACTGGCCGAAACCGTGTCGAGAACATCAACCTCATTTTTGTACTCATTGGTGCATTCACTTTCCTTGTGGGCATCTGGAAATTTGTTCAGAAGCTGAGTGCTCGCGTGCTCAAAAATGTGAGCGACAGGGTTGTTGATGTCGGCGAAGACGATGACGAAGATGAAGATATCGGCGATGGACCGAATCAAGGAAGTAAGAAAGGTCAATGAAGCTAAGAAGCTTTTGTTCTGAAGCAGTCTTTTGTCCCATGGCCCCAATGCTTTTTCATCGTGCATGTATCTGCACACTCTTAAGTTGCCTAGATCTTGCTCTTCCCTGTCAAGTCAACTAGTCTGTGTGCAAAGATTTACGCTCTGCTGCGCCTTGGGTGAGAACCGTTTTGGCTCTTCACTCGCTGGTCAGCATGAGATTATCAGCCTCCATTCACGCATCGTGATGCTTTCGGGCGTTCGTAACGGTGTGAGGCATCTGCTGGGTACACTACCCTCGTACAGAAGCAGTGAGCAGATTGCCGAATGTTGGTTGATACATGCCTGTATTATTATGTATCATGAATAAACAAGACCTCTACTGTGGTCGTTATAATCAATTACTACCTCTTTCATCACCATGCTAAGTGTTCTCTTGTTAGTGTCGATTCCGCTTTCACTTGCTCATGGAATGCATATATGCTTTCCAACATCTCGTGATAACAATCAGCAATCAATAAATAATCCTACACTGCGGCTAAAAGAATGGTCTGATCAGACATATGGCAGCTTATATTTAGGTCATACCTCGATACGAATTCATCGTATTCTCGACGCATGTTTCCTGACCTCATCATGTTTAAGTCGGACTTTTATGCCCCCGACACCGAGATGACGTTGGAATTTGGTGTTCTGAATGGACCCCTGCCGTTGAAATACGGGTAGGGTAGCCCAGCATGTGGGCCAGGGCCTCATGAATTCGGCCGCTCCAAAAAGCCATCTATCATCAATCAAGTGCGCCAACCATGACTTCCTGATTAGCTCCTCCATTTGCTGCGGACCAGATTGTTCGCCCTTGCTCGCTCCTTGAATCCTTGCTGCGATCACAGTTCCTTTTTCGAATCCGGTATAAACGAGTGCCCGCTCTCGCAGTTACACAAGAACCTGATCTCCCTTCGCGAAACGGACGATCTACAAACACCTACGGTGTCGCTCTGACTGCTCCTAAGTCAAGGAGGCTATTCTGACCTCATTCGCGACTTATAACATACTCTATCTGAGGTGGTTCGACCGAACAATCGCCCAAGATGCACTTCGCATACCCCCCTCGCAAGAACTCCAACCCACCACCTTTCAAGCAGCGCTCGTCGCAAATACCGCCAATTCTGCGCCGAATTCGCAAAAGAACAGCGCTTTTACTTCTTCTCGGAGCTATTGGATTTATATTTTTCCTGTTTGGACTAAAAGGCGAAACGTCGTACCGCGAGCATGTCCCATCAGGCAATCCCCCGGTTGTCGTTGTGACGGTCTTGGACAATACGCAGTACAGCGACACCTATTTAGAATCGATTAGACACAACCGAGAGCAATATGCGTCAAGGCACGGTAAGGCAGATGTGGAGATGGCTTGTTTATAGCTGAGGCTGACATACTTTAGGATATGAAGCCATGATTGTACAAGCGACTGATTACGATACTGGCAAATCCCCGCGATCATGGGCCAAGATTATCGCGATGCGCCATGCGCTGTCGAAATACCCCGATGCCACATATGTCTGGTTTCTCGACCAGAACGCTTACATTATGGAGCTCGACAAGAAGTTAGAGGAGCAGGTGATGAATCCTGCGAAACTAGAAAGCCTAATGATTAAGGACTGGTCTATAGTGCCACCGGACAGCATCATTAAGACATTTTCCCACCTGAAGGGTGAAGATGCAGGCCTTGTCATCAGCCAAGACGAAGCAGGGCTGGTAACTAACAGTTACATCCTCAAGAATGGGGAATGGGCCAAGTTCTTTATCGAGACATGGATGGACCCTCTGTACCAGAGCTACAACTTCCAAAAAGCTGAGCGACATGCGCTTGTAAGTTTTACACTGAGTCATCTGTCGAGAACACGACCTAACCTTGTAAAGGAACATATTGTCCAATGGCACCCTACCATTCTCTCCAAGCTTGCGCTCATCCCCCAGCGCACGTTTGCCTCATACGGCCGCAACAAGGAAGGTAATGCGTACCGTGACGGGGACTTTGTCACCCTCTTGGTCGACTGCACAGTTACAGGGCCGACATCATGTGATAAGCAATCACATTTCTACCTGCAACAGTTGAAGAACAAGTTTGGCGATGCCAGCGTGAAGAAGCTGCAATGAGCATAATGAACACGACATTTGAGCGAGGTCATTGGGCGTTTTGTGATAGACTTAGAGGGGTTTTATAGGATTGGAGATGGAAAAGCCAGTAGGTTTTTTTTTTTCTTGGCGTTGGTTGGTGACTATCGGTGAATTTAACTTATATGAATCTGGACATGTTCTATCTGCATGGATATCAATACGTTGAGCTTTAAGTCTTGAAGGCATATTCTTGATCTTGTTATTTCATTATAAAATTCAAGGTTGTGTCCCTTCGAAGTCAAATTACGATCTGGAGAACCTGTGATAAGATATGTGAGGAATGGCACTAAACTTATGCTGCTTCACGAGGTCAAGATTGGATCCTGGGAGTAATCTATGAGGTCTCATCTCGTCTAATTCGAATGGTATGACGACAAGCTGGATTAGAGAGTTTATGTTCTGATTCTAGAACGTGCCGCAGTTGAATCACCGTAAAGAAGCTGGGACCTCTTCTGTAGGATCTACAAGGGTAAGTTCTTATCAGCCTCACTCAAAAGTTCATGGCCCAACCAGTTTAGAAGATATGCTTCATGAGGGGAATAGTACCGAGTGCGAGTGCGAGTATAAGTCTGCTTTGTTTCATTAGTCACTTGACTTGATGATAATCATAGGATCCCGGTATTGTCTACCGGTAGTTGAAGCTCTTTCATCTCTGTTATCCGAGCTAGACGTGAATATCCATGCAGTATCGAGGATCGGATCCCGAATAGACTCTGTATCTCGAGTATCAAAGCTCTCGATGAAACCCTCGCCCCACGATTCAGGCCAAATATTCCGTTCTGCCGACCGAATGCGAAATCTCCAAAGTCGAGGAGTGGTATCTCGCAGCGGGGTTGTAGCCCAAAAAAGGTAGTTGATCACAAACAATTGACTTTCTCAACAAGACAATCGCTTCAAACTGCGACCGCTCATGTACAATTACGGCGTTGACAGGGATCCTCCGGCCCACGATCCGTTTCAGTGGAGAGTCAGACGCGTTGGAAGGGTTCAAGCGCTATAAATTTAGGGGCTAGACGCTAACGGCAAGGGTTCCCGCGGAGCCCGGGTCGCCGCCAAGCATGTGACGGGTGCTGAGATGGCGCTAAAAAATATCCAAGTACTGGCTATGCCCCGCGATATTGGTTTGGAGATAAACGACGTCAAGCTCCTTCTTCGAGCTCGTGTTTATAACACGGCCAATTCTTCTCCAAAGTTTCCCCAGATTTTTCGTCATTCTTTATCGTTTCTAATCTCTTGCTTTGAACTCTAGTCATGACTTCTCCAGCTCACATTGGGACCCTGTCCCGTCTTCCCCTGAACTTGCGTGGTGGTATTGAGAGTGTTGCTCGTGGAAGACACAACGTTTCTTGGCCGTTATTGAACCTCGATCTGTAAGTCACGATACTACTGCTATACAACCCCACAAGCCCACCACAGGCTATCAATTGATATATCTAATACTAATCATGTCGCCTTACGCTTTAGATTACGCAATGTTCTCTTATTCCTCTTTGTCTGGCGATGGGGTCGTCGCGCATTCTGGCAGCTCCGAGGTCGCGGAATCATCGGCTCCGTTGTCGAACTCTACGTCAACATTCGTCGCATCCTTTACGGTTATTTCCTCCGAGCTCCAGGCGTGCGAAACAAGGTTCAGCAGCAGGTACAGGAATCTCTAGTCAAGCTATCCGACAAGCTAGTTCCCAAAGACCAGATTCGGTACCTCTCCTTGCCAAAAGATGGCCTCCCTATCGACAGCGTTCGCGCCGAGCTTGAGAACCTTGCCAACATGGATCATACCCGCTGGGAGGATGGATATGTCTCTGGCGCTGTCTATCACGGAGAGGAGGAGTTGATGCAGCTCCAGACTGAGGCTTTTGGCAAGTTCACTGTTGCCAATCCTATCCATCCTGATGTCTTCCCTGGTGTTCGCAAGATGGAGGCCGAGGTTGTGAGCATGGTCTTGAGCATCTTTCATGCTCCTCCTGGTGCTGCTGGTGCTTGTACTAGCGGAGGAACCGATAGTATTCTTTCTGCTTGCCTGGCTGCTCGTCAACGAGCTTACAATGAGCGTGGAATTACAGAGCCTGAGATGTAAGTCAAGCTGCAAGCTTGCCATTGACCAATGAGACTGACCATCAACGATAGGATTCTTCCCGAGACTGCCCACACTGCCTTCCACAAGGCTGCTCAGTACTTCAAGTTCAAGATTCACCTCGTCTCTTGCCCTGCCCCTGACTACCAGGTCGACGTTAAGGCTGTTTCGCGTCTGATCAACCCCAACACTGTTATGCTTGTCGGCTCTGCGCCCAACTTTCCTCACGGTATTATGGACGACATTGTTGCTCTGTCCAAGCTTGCTCAACGAAAGAAGCTCTGGCTCCACGTTGACTGCTGTCTCGGTTCCTTCTTGGTTCCTTTCCTCGAGCGCGCCGGTTTCGAATCTCAGCTCTTCGATTTCCGACTCAAGGGTGTTACCAGTATCAGCTGCGATACTCACAAGTACGGTTTTGCTCCCAAGGGTAACTCGACTGTCCTGTACCGCACCGCCGAGCTTCGAAAGTACCAGTACTTTGTCTCTCCCGATTGGTCTGGTGGCGTCTACGCTTCTCCCGGTATGGCTGGTTCTCGACCGGGTGCTCTCATTGCTGGTTGCTGGGCTAGTTTGATGACCATGGGTGAGGCCGGATACATCGACGCTTGCACCAAGATCGTGGGAACTACCAAGAAGATCACCGAGGCCATTCAGTCCTCGCCACTGAGCGGCGAGCTTGAGATTATTGGCAGACCTCTTGTTTCGGTCGTTGCCTTCACATCCCGCAACCTGAACATCTACGATATTGCTGACGCTATGGGTGCTAAGGGATGGCACCTCAACTCTCTTCAGAACCCTCCTGCTATCCACGTTGCCGTTACCCTGCCCATCTCAAAGGTATGGGAGAACCTCATCGCTGACCTCGAGGCTGTTGTTGAAGAGGAGCGCGAGAAGGAGCGTGTTCGTCTTGTCGAAGGCAAGGGTGCCCATGGTAAGGCTATGGGTGATTCCTCAGCCCTGTACGGTGTTGCCGGTTCACTGCCCAACAAGAGTGTTGTTGTTGATCTGGCGAGTGGTTTCTTAGATATCTTGTACAAGGCGTAAATGTTTAGGGAGGGGGAATGGAAACAGTGCAATGGCTATGGGTGAGAGCATATCTTACTGTGGGCGTAGGCGTTGGCGTCTGATAGGACGTCGTATAGCATATTTGTTGTTTTTGCTGTTCTGGGGTTTCGCCTATACTGTTTTGGCGCTTTGAAGAACCGTCGTTACTCCTGTATATCCTTACTAGGCTCAAATCAAACCATTTCAAAGTACTTTGAGGGCTGCCACTCATATTGCTAGGCTGTTGACGAACCCTGATGTCATTAGAATAAGACTTAGCCTGTTGGGAAAGGCTTGGATGAATTTGCCAATATGTTCCTGACTAGACCTGTTCCTAGCTTGCGTAACGTGCTTTTGGGTTTTGACTGTAAGATGATGATGGTTTTCTTTGGCCATAACTTGTGCATTTTCACCTCAAGTAAGAGATACATGAGTTGACCAATATCTACAGCCTGATCTTGATCATCGTGGGTCTTTCGGCCCATTGTACAAATACAGCCCAAAATCGGTCTATCGTGATGGTACTCGAATTACAAATGTCCAGTTGGCCAAAACATCTGCCGAGTCAGAGCCTCACTCACCGTTACCCGTCACATCATATGCAGCATAATGTCATCCTCCACAGTCACGAATCTTGCTTTTCCCAATGAGACCAATCGCCCATTCGCCTCCCGCTCTGATCCTCGACTCATTCGGCTAAAAGGAACACCATCCAATAAACTGACCCTCATGGCAATTAGCTTCGCTGGGGGCGAATAATTCCCCTCGTGGACATTGCGGCCCAATGATGGGGGGCAGCGTGGTTAGAGGAAGGGTCCTTTGGTGTGGTGGGTTGGGTGAGTGAAGTCAATCAGCTTCTGGTACAAAAGCAAGGTTTTGGGGGGGGGGGGGGGGGGGGGGGGGTAGCCGAGACTGTGTGAGTTGTGATCCATATTATATCATGTTTAGAAAAAAAACTTGGAGTTTTGATATTATATGTTTATGACTTATAAGTTACAGGTGGGTTTTGGTTTGTATGATCTTTTCGTATTTTTATACTATAAATATTTAGAATTGCCTCTTGTTATAGCATGGAGTGTATTAGTTGCCGTAAAAAAACAGAAGCATGTATGTCATATTGGAAGCCTGACGCCAACATGCAGGGATCTAGGGACCTGCACCTCTCCCACCAACCCAACATGATACAGCAATAAGACGTGAGTTATCTGTAGCATTCACCTTCAGCTCGCCCGGCCGCGCAACGCGATCCTCCTACTACGTTTCCTATCCTGTCTTCCCACGGGTGAGAGACCCTTACTCTCTGCTGGGGGGGAGGGCCTCACTCAGGGCTGCTGCGTAACCATTCCCACAGAAGCCTTCAAAGAACGATGATCCTTGTCTTGTTCTTTCTTGTGTCATTCTGTTTCTGTGATAGTCTAGTCATCAACTAGAACTAAACTAACGTTGTTATCCGTCTTGCATCCATCCCCGTGTATAAGCCCGACACTGTCCCTCCTCAGTCTGTCCTGTCAGCTCCTCTTATCTCTCTCTCCCGCTCTCTCGCTGCCTTTTTTCCACATGCATATTCATGATTAGCCTTTACTTTTTTATTGCTTATTATTTCTAATATTTCGTGTCACTCGACTTCATTCCTCTCCTTCATTCTATGTGTCCTCTACTGCTGCTGTGCTAGGTTACCATGCTTTCTGCTGAACCATCGTCGTCTCCGATCGCCGCCTTGGCTATGGATGGTGGACATGTTGATGGGTTACACAAGGGGAAGACGGAGAGTATTCAAATACCTCATGTCAAGACGACTGAGAAGGACGATGAATCTATTGCTTCCGGCTCAACCGACTCTCAGTCTCAGCTCAAGAAGAGACTCAGTGCAGATATGTCGAAAGAACAAGTTGAAGATCTGGTGCGGAAGTTGACCATCGATGAGATGAAGACAAGATGGTTTGACGAGATCTTTGAAAAGGTCAAGTCTGAGCGTAAGTTTACATTTCAGTATCCCTCTACTTCTCGATACTAACCCACTACGTATACAGTGGTTGAGGAGCATTCACCAGCAGATACACCTTCATCTTCAGAACCTCCAAGCCCCAGATCAGACGCTGCCAAGCCTGCTTCTCACGAATCAACTCCCCGAGAGTCTGTTCGCGAAGAGCCGAAGAAGCATGAATCAGCGTCTTCCTCCTTCGATTCCAAGAACAAGTCTCACAACAATCCTTCCTCCAGCCGCAGCTCCCTCGGTAGCCCTACCACATCTTACATCTCCGACTCTGCCTCTTCCCGTGCCTCCAATCGTCCTTCTTCACCACCGAAGCCAGCTATCAAAGAATCCTCACCTCCAGCTCCGAAGCCTCGACCATGTGTACGATTCTCCAAAGCTCCAATCATCTTGAATGAAGGCCCCGAACGTCGACACTCTGAACCACGGCCAGCATCACGACCTGCGCCGCCTCCAGAGCCGGTGAAACAAGGTCCAGCACTATCAGCTGTTGACCTGAAATGGGGTACACTTTTCGATGATAGAGGCGAGCCGACTAAGAGACTTGGTCAGGTTCTCAGAGGAATCGCCAACTATTTGGTATGTCATCAGGACAGGGGCATTTAAGTGACTGAACTAACATCCACAGATCTCTGAATACAGCCCTCACAACTCACTTGTCGTCACTCCAGAAAAGCTCAATGCATTCTATCTCGAATACAAGCTTGACACAGAGACGTTTCCCTTTCAGCGTATGTATAGAATCACTGTATAACCACATCTCATCTAACTCTATCAGAAATCTTTGACTGTCGACCACACGGAGCTCTTGATAACCTAGAAACACTCTATCAACACCTCCGATGTGAGAACCACCTCATCCAAAGACGCCCTGGAGGCATGCCACACATCCCATCCCTCACGCCCGCTGGTTTCGAGCGTTGGATGACATGTCAGCTCCGTGCATTCCCAGACCAAGAAGCCAAGCGTCTTAACCACATCATGACCGATCTTCCCATCACAGCTGATGGCGTTCTTGTCGATGACAAACCAGAGCGTTTACCGAAGCAGATTTCTCGACACCTTCTTCCGGCGACTCGACATCGAGAGACTCATGACCTTGTGGTTGATGCTATTGCGGGATGGATTAAACATACTGAAGAGAACGAGTCTGATTACAGACGGACTTCTTCTGAGGATGTTTATAAGATTAAGGAGGAGAAGTCGGGACGGTATAGACCTGATGACTATCGAGAGCGTGAGAAGTATCGACGAGGATCTAAGGATAACCACAGACAATCGCCATTATCCTCCTCCAGCCGTTTTGTCTCCCGCGTCGGTTCAGACAGCACCATCCGTCCCTCAAAGGACTCCCCTGTATCTTCCAGCTCAAGCCACAGAGCCAGAAGTCCTGTATCAAACCGTTATCGTCACTCGGCATCTGCCATCGACAGCAGCTCCAGCACTGTCGATGCCTACGATATACCCTCATCCAGTCATCGCAACAGCCATCCCGCCAGCAGCAGCCGACGGAGTCGGGACAAAGAGTATAGATACTCTTCAAGCCCCAAGTCAAAGTCTCCGATTGAAGCAACTCCACGAATTCTGCCCCGTCGAGATGCTGATCGTCGATCAAGCTTGATCTTTGAAGAGACGGGCAAGGATCCTAGTGGCATAACTTACGACGAGTATCTACGGATGAATCAACGACCGATGAGAAATGCCGTCGTAGATGATGGTGGACACTATCGCACTACTTACTGAAAAGCAAAAAATCTTCATGAATATCTTTTTTATTTTATTTTTCTTTTTCTAATTTTGGGAGGTTTCTTGTATGTAAAAAGTCATTGGACCCTTTCTGCGGAAGGACTGGGATCTTCTCCTTTTCCTTTTTTCATTTCTCTGGAATTCTGGGTGGATTTAACGACTTCACATGACAAATTGACGACACGCATGACCAACATTTTCATATTAATTAGTTATTCTTTCTCCATCTTTGTGTGGTTTGAACAGTGTACGATGATCTTTTGGTGTGGAACAACGAGGCTCTAGTCAGGAAATACCACGCTCGTTGCACGTTTACTTTGTGCTCTGTCCCTCCGATGATCGTTTCAGAAGAATTGTTTCTACTACGGTTTACAGCCACGTGGTCTGACTGCTTGTATTATCTAAAGATCGATAGTTTGTGGCAAGTTGTGTCTCGTGCGAGCTGATATATGTTGCGGCTCAAAGGAGTGCTGTGCTCTACGAGGAAGCGGGACGGTGATACTGCTTTCTTATGTGTATGTGTTCTTGAGTATCATCAACGGTTGACCTTGATGGGTACAGGAATGCAAAGACCAAGAGCCGATGGCGATGGTCCATTGATATGGAATGCCGCTTAACGAGAGTGTGTCTCAATAGTCGAGCACTATCATCAGTCCATAGCGCGATGCTTCTACAATAGGTATTTCTACTATGTTAACTTAGACAGTCATGTCATTGATCCTATCTTCTAGAGTAAACTCATGACTCTTTTCATGCCTGATATCATGAGTTGTTAAACAGTAAAAACCCGACACTAATAATGCGAGTAAACCAGACATGGGGTTCCATCAACACCGTGCCATTAATATATTTTGAGGGCATTGCTGCCAAATGTCAAGAACGATCGCTATGCCGTAATGCACCAATTTTATGCAAATTTGAGAAAACACAACAGTGCTTGCTTCGGGAAAGGGTATCTGATGTGAACGATAGCGCGATGTGCCGCGTGAGCAGTACGTGATTGTGGTGAAAGCCATTACTTTAATTGTGAATTTGTAGGATGTGACGATAAGAACGATTTCGTATGAGAGGAAGCGAAACGTCATAAAGCGTAAAGGCGTGAGTCGGCGCGATGATGAGAGAGATGAATATCGTAATTCGTGAGTGTTGCGCATAGGTGTTTATTATCCGCAAACTAAGAGAGCCGGATGTCATGCCGGAGAGCCGGGATATGGAGAACCGAGACTAGAGAGACTTGCGATGCTGGAGCGATTGACACGTTTTCGTTTTAGGGCTTGGTAATCCTTTTTGAATGAGGATATGCATCTTTGAAGTTCCTTGTCTGGATGTGCTGGCATTTGAATCTCCACGGCTTTGAGGCAGATGCGGAGATACTGAAGTTCATCGTCATTTTCGCGCAATTCTTGCTCGCTGTTGTTTGTTAGAAAGGTGTTGAGAGAAGGGTCGTAGGTAAACTTACAGATGAGCTATTCGGTTTTGAAGAAAGATAATGCGCTGAGCAGCACGTTCGGCACGCTCGATGAGCAGACCTTGGATATGCTGCGGGATATGTAAGTATATGGATAGTCGAACGGAGAAAACAAAAACGTACATCAGACTCTTCTTGTCGAGCCTTGAGATTTGCGACCAATTGTGACATCTCCTCGTTGAGCTGAGTAACTTCCTGAATAACCTTCTTGGCCTGAGCAACAGTCATCCCCATGTTGGCCGGAGGTTCCGGCTCTGGCTCCGGTTCTGGCTCAGGATCCCTTCTAAGTGATGCTCCCAAATCTGAGAACCGTGTCTTGAACGCGGAACCTGGTGTGCTGAAAATGGATTCACCAGGACTGCACATATCCAGACTCAAACGTTGATGAGCCTGCCGCGGTGATGGTGTGGAAGGTAACGAAAATGAGACGGTCTTCTTAAGCATCTTTGTGCCCTCCAGCTGATCCAGTTGCGCGGTGAGAATGTCGACGCCACTATCGTCGAGTAAATCATCGTCGCCTGAAGTAAGCTCATGCGCGAGCTGACTCAACCTCTGCGCCAAAACATCGCGACTATTTCGTGGCCGGTGGGTCCGACGAACAGAGGGAGAAGTGTTGTTTGGTGAATCGTTTATTGAAGATAGTCTTGAGTGGCCAGAGATGTCCCTTTTGTGAGGACTCACCCGTCCTGTGGAGAATCCGAGACTTGAAGCCACACTCGGACTGGAGAGTAATGAAGGCGTCCTCAATCCGGGAATGTCTTGGTCCGGGGCAGAGTCATTGTCGTCGTGATATCGATTGCGAAATTCATTGCGATAACCGTTGCTGAGGTTTCCGTAAGAGAAATAATTGGTGGCTGGTGTAGTGGCGGTAGATGATGAATTTGAGAGAGGTTGTTTTCGATCCGGCGTCGAGAAGATGAATTGCTGATCCGAGACTGCAGACGCCTCGTCAGCCTCAGCTGCAGCTGCAGCGAGAACAGCAGCGGTATCCTCGTCTATAGCAGCGAGATCCATGATTTGTTGGTCGATACGGATAGATCTGATGTAAAGTGGTGTGTTTATGTTGATTTTCTGCGGTGGTAGCACCTCGGGCAACGGCAAGGTAAGGTACGGGACGTCAAAGATAGCGGCACCAACCTCGCGTCTCACGTCTAATGCGAACTCTTTACCTTTTGAGAGCTTCAAATCGCCTAAAGGAGACCAACGCCAACGACGTGTTCAAGAGTGGAGCACTTGAAAGCGATCCCAGCTTCACCGACTCGACTGGACTCGCCCTGGGAGGCTGGACACGTCCACAGTCGCAGGGCCAGGCCGGACGTCCACCAACAATAACCGGGCTTGACCAGCAAAGAAAAATTAAGGGCCCCGCGTGGGCCGCAGTGCAGGGAGGAGACCCAGGCAAGAAAGGGGGGCGGAAGAACAAGCGAAAGTACTCGAGAAAGAAGCGACGAAGAGATGATGAACTCTAGTTATCAATAGAAATTCAACTATAAAGAGAAGCCACCAAATCTCCAGTTTGACTTCGACGCGGGCGCCGTTGGTTTGACTTTGGCCGAGTATGGTACCAGTAACATTTTCCTAGTCTTTGAGGCGGGGAATTGTGGCCATGATGGGACGGGAGATGGAACTGACCCATATTTTGTCCGGTCCAATCAGACAATATTGAAATCAAGATACGTCATCTTTTCACGTGTTGGTCATTCTTACAGCTCAGTCTTAGACGCCCAACTGAATGTCTCTCGTTGAGTTGTCAGTCATAGGTTTCAGAACGATGCGCCTTTTTTTCTTTGCTGCTGGGCATCAATGATGCTTCTGTCTCAGCCCTTTTCAACGAGGAACATCGCAAACGGTGCATCACGTGACTCGGTCAGTTCTCGATCGTGGAACCCAAACCATCTATCTCACCAACCACGAAGCACATGAAAGTGCATGCATGAACTACAAGTCTTCACAAGCATCAAAACAACACTGGCTTGACTATGTAGAGGCTCTATATAAGGACTCGATAACCCTCATCTAGTCAGGCACTCCCTGTCCAGGCCTATGTTCAATGATGTGCTTGCCTGTGCTGAGGTGTGGGGTAGTTAGTTTGACTCGAGAGCGATCTCCCCAGACCAAGTTGGGTTCAAAGTCTGGGGAAGCTGCTCTTCTTTGCAGTCAAGTCAACCAACATGAGAAGATAATGCATTGAATCGAGATTCTACCCGTGGACTTGCTTGTTTCCTCCGGCAGGGGCTATGTAATGCAACAAAGATCCTCGTGATACTGATCCAAGCGGTGTCAGATCAGGATTGACGTATGAACACCCAGTATAACATGCCATAATAACCGCCATATGCGATTCTACAAACTTTTCAAATTCGGAATCTGTAGGACTCTAATCGAATGAAAGACCCTTGTTTCGAGAGCTGAGCTTTGGCACATCTACCGTAGCACCACCGCTTGGAGCACATAACCAAGGTCTAGGCCGAGGTCTTACGCCCTTCTCTCTCAAAAGTATAGCCGTAATCCTACAGTCCATTGAAAAGTCTGGCAGAGTGGTCTGTTGTTTTATATGCGAGTCCATTTCCGTGGCCTGACCTTCCCCGGGGCTTCGCCGAGCTGAGAGGTCCGTACCCCGACATTAAAGCTCGGAGACCGGCGGTGATGAGGGGAAGTGTAAATGACAGGCTTCACCTGGAGATTGCTGGTTTAAAGTCATGATACGAATATTTGCTGAGGAAAATTCATGACTATTAAACTCAATGGATGTTTGATTTACTCTGTCAAACCCCCTGGACCGTAGTCTTAAGCTTGAATATGTAAAAGTTGCTCCATGTCTCCGTGAATGTGATGCAGCTTCTCCATCATGTGCCATTTACCCCTCTGGTCTAGAGAAATACTTCCCCATACTTGATCCCACTTGCAACCGTGCAGGCTCAGTTTACAATAGCAGCAATTGGACAGTTCCTCCACTAGAATGACGTTTTTAAAGTGAAGAAGGAAATGGTCCCCCCGGAATCATCATTAGGTGCTCATTCAGTTCCGTCCGAGCACTTCCGTCTTCTTCCACCTTGGCTCGTCTCTTTTCTAAACTCTCCTCCGAGTTGTTCCATTTTCATGTGCGCGTCTGGTTTGTCTCACGCGACACTGTAATAGCTTTGTTTTTTAAATTCTCCGTCGTTGAAGGCACAAGATAGAGACCAACCGACGAATAGCATCTACGTACCTCCACTCTCCGGCCACTGCCTCGGCTTCTCCCGCTATTTGCACGCCTCTCGTTCCATTCGCGGGGCCACCATCATTGATACTCACTCTGCTCTGCTCTTCCACTCTCCATATCTTATCCTCGACTCACATCGTCCTTTCTTTCTCTTCCTCGCTCGCCAATTCTCTCGGACGATACAGTCGCTCGACTTCTCTCGTCTTGACTCTTCAATGACGACGCCGTGAGCTTATCCTCCGACCTTTCAACTTCCTCGGACGCTCTTCCGCAGCGGGAACCCGGTCTCTCCCTCCGTCCGTCCGAGCCTGCCTCCGAGTCCGATTTCTCTTTCTACGGCATCGTCACGCTCTATTCTCCCACCTTTTTTTGCTCTCTGATTCGACCCACGGTTGCCCATCATGTCGTGGAAAGCTTCAGAGCGTCTGATGGATACTATCCGTCACTATGCTCGGTTTCCCGCCACTGGTGTCAGCTTGCGCCAGATGGTCCAGTTTGGCGAGAAACCCTCAGTCGGTATGTTTTGGTTCATTCACGTGTCCATTGAGCACAGTTATTGACTTTGGGCTGCGAAAGGAACCCTATTCCGAGCTTCTCAGTTCTTAGCCGAGGAGCTTCCAATCCGTCTAGCTCATCGCGTGCAAGAGCTCGACGAGCTCCCAGATGGCCTTAATGAGATGCCCTCTGTCATTAAAGTCAAAGATTGGTACGCCCAATCGTTCGAGGTATGCGTCATTGAAGTCAATTGCCAAAACCCGCAGTATTAACTCGACCGGTAGGAAATCACACAGCTACCTCGGCCACAGTTACCCTCGGATATCCGAAACCGCCTCATGAAACCCAGCAAAGCTATCGGTCGCAATGCTTTCCGCCTTCCTGCCGCAACCCCCAATCCCTCTATCGACGAGGGCGAAGCCGACGGTTGGGGCGGTCTTCAGAACGACAATGGCAAAGCCAAGGCCTCTGCGCGCCGGTACTTTGCTATTGTTGACGACTCAAGCGACTGGCCCGCCGATCTTCACCTGTACAACCAACGTTTCGCTCAGACTCTGCACCACATCAAGCGCCGTCACGATGGCGTCGTTACCACAATGGCTCAAGGCATCCTCGAATACAAGCGCCGTCGCCAGCGCATGCAGATTGACAGCACCATCCAGTCCTTCCTCGACCGCTTCTACATGTCCCGTATCGGTATCCGCATGCTTATCGGCCAGCACATCGCATTGACAGACCAGAGCCATCATCGCGACCCCACTTATGTCGGTATTATTTGTACCAAGACCAATGTCCAAGATCTCGCTCAGGAAGCCATTGAGAACGCCCGATTTGTCTGTGAGGATCACTATGGTCTTTTCGAAGCTCCCAAGGTCCAACTCGTCTGCAACCCCAACCTGAACTTTATGTACGTTCCCGGTCATCTGTCGCACATGCTCTTCGAGACCCTTAAGAACTCTCTGCGCGCCGTTGTCGAAACCCATGGTATGGAGAAGCAAGCTTTCCCTGTTACAAAGGTTATTGTTGCCGAAGGCAAGGAAGATATCACCATCAAAATCTCTGACGAAGGCGGTGGTATCCCTCGAAGCGCTATCCCTCTCGTTTGGACTTACATGTACACCACTGTCGATCGCACACCAAGCTTAGATCCCGATTTCGATAAGAGCGACTTCAAGGCCCCGATGGCTGGTTTTGGATATGGTTTACCCATCTCACGTTTATACGCCCGCTACTTCGGCGGTGACTTGAAACTCATCAGTATGGAAGGGTAAGTGTTAAACAAACATACTTCCAACCCGCCTGAACAAACACGCCTATTCCGATTATGAACAAATCCGTCACTAACATTTCTTTCACAGATACGGCACCGATGTCTACCTCCACCTGAACCGTCTTTCATCATCCTCCGAACCTCTGCAATAGCAATTACATAGCGCCGGCGCACAGAACCTACAGGTTCCCCCCTGGGTTCTTCGCAAACGACTACAAGGCCGAAGCCGCGAGATATCGGAACGGAAACAGGTGGGCGATGCCGAGGCGGTGGTCAACGCGCCACCACGAAGCAACTATACCAGTCCACAGGAAGTCTAATGGGTTTTTTTCTTACAAAAAGGGAATTATCGTCGCCCGCGGGAGATCCGTGCGCCGGAGCAAAACACAGACGAAAATATATCGTGATACTACTATATCAGCAACTACTACAAGAAACAATAAGAGGAAGAGCAACAAGAAGGATCAGACGATGACGATTACGAGGCCGCCCACAATATGCCCGCAGCTATACCACGCCAATAGGAACGCACAGCTCACTTGGATATTCGAAAGAGGAGGAAAGAGACTAGTCGATTCGAGGGACGAAGATCCTACTACACCAGAACATCGCACCATGTGGTTCACACAACCCGAGGGACCGCTCTCCATGGAGGCCAGTCTAAAAACCAATGTTGGGAATCTCTACAGTCTTACAAAGCGTGCCGTTGCACGCATGTTTGGACAATAAACACCATTCGAGCTACGTTTGGTTATCATTATATTCTAGGTAAAGATCCCTCCCGCTTACAGATGGGAGGAAGAGGAACATCGTTTTATGCAACGATGAGGGCACATTGTATGATGCATTGGGTGGGTATGAAGGGGAAGAAGATGGTGACGATCGATATTATGGGAGGCTGTCTTGTTGACAGAACATGCAAGCATGTATATGGAACAAAAATACTTCTACGGGAGTCTCGGTCATGGGTAGGAAATATCATTTGCACTTTGTTTTTCTGGTTACTCGATTTTGCAGCGACTCCTATAACTGTGGTCGGGGAAAAGTACCGTCTGATTCCATGCTGATAAGGATTCCTTAACTTTCTGACGTGACAACACATGAGATTCAACGCAGGTAAAGCAACGCAAGTCAATTCACTAAGCTTTTCTACCAGTTCTTGGGCAGGGGGTTGCTAGCCTCAATCGTTTCCGTCCACTTCCATTTCCATCATGCCTCTCATTCAACGAAATGGCTCAAGTCTGAGCTGTTGTGAGGGCGAATAAAGCAATCATTTCCCCTATTCCATGGCGATCGCAAAAACAAGACCAAAAAAAAAAAGTAAGAGACTAAAGAGACTAGTCGGAGGTCTCAGTCAAAGAAACAAATCTGGGTTGTGCTGCATGACGGCCTTCTTCTAGTTGCTCAGGGCGTCAAACATGTTGCGACTCTGCATGGAGTGGCCGGATCGCTGGCGCCCGGGTGAGTCCTCAGCTTGGTCCATGATGTTAGGCTGAGTGAAGTAGCGCTAAAGAAAGAGTCAGATAATAAGTCGTTGCTTGCCATGAGTGCACCTACATCGTTTATCTTCTTCCACTTGTTGTTGGTGTAGAAGTTGGCCTGTTGCTGCTTTCTGAGGTCGGCCTGTGAGATACGATTCTGTATCAAATGTTAGCCTGAGATCAAAGCCTTATTGATTCAGTATACTTACTTCCTTTCCGTTCCCCCACTTGTCCTCACGCCAGGTTGAGGCCTCCTTCATAGGAGGGATGTCGTCCCAGCCGTCTACGATCTTAGCACCCTGGTCGCTTTCTTCGGTAGTTGATACTTCGGATGCCGAGCTGGACATGACGGTGGGGTTCTTGGACGCAGTGTGCCTCTGGCCCATAGGGTCCCAAGCGTTGAAGGTGATCTTGCGGGCGGCAGCCGCCTCCTCCTGGTCCTTGCGGAGAGTTGTTGCAGTCGAAACACTACCGGTGGTGCTTGAGGTGGCAGTTCGCTGGGCTATTTTCAGGCCGCGAAGGTGGGGAGGGAAATCGCTTGCCATTCGAGACACTTGCGGAAGAACAACCTTTGAGCTCGAGGATACAGAGTCTTCGTCAATAGACAGGCTTGCGAGACGCTCTGGCAGCAGTCTCTGGAGATGAGGGGGGAGTGTAGCACGGCTAGAAGTTGTTGACATGTTATCGCCAGCAACACTGGATGTCGTGGACGCAAAATTTAGAGTCGTAGAAGAGTGAATCGTCTGGGATGAGCCTCGGACGACTTCGTTGAAGACTTTGTTGTCGTCTTCGTTGTTTGGGTCTAAGCCAAGTGACTCAGGTGAAGTGATAGGTGCCTGTCCGATGTTAGTGATTCCGTTCGATCTCCTTATGTCTATTGCTTACTCCAGGGAGATCATCTTCATCGAAGAATTGGGCAACCTCGACAGGCGCAAGGTAACCTTGGCTCATCATCTCTTCTTCCTCTACGGAGACATGACCCGTAGCTTTGGGGATCGGAACCACTGAGGGCTCTGCGACTGTATCCCATGCGACACATTGAAGACATCGCTGTTTCACGTTAGCTAGATATTGACACCACAGCTCAGAAAAGTCCTTACCCAATCCTCAAGTCTGCGCTGGTTCAGGGAGAAGGCATCATAGGGGAGTGTTCGGTCGCAGCCGACGCACCCATGCTCCAAAACGGGAGTTGAGTTATGTTCCTTGCAGATCATTCCGGTGTTTCCAGGATCCACCTTTCTACCGGAGTCTATCAAGAAGCGGGTGTTCCTCTGTTGGGCCTTGGAGAACATGTCCAAGGGCTTCCACTCGTTACCTGAAGCGCAACGAAACCTGGCAAGATTAGCAAGTCAAGCACGAAGACATACAGGATAAGGGTTGATGTTACTGAGTTGGCGCAGCCTCGTAGGCTTTACTATATATCACTTCTTTTAGCTTTGTTTAATTCTGATGCTGATGGACAAACTCACGGCTTGTAGCCTCCTTTGTTGTTGTTGCTGGGCATGGCGATTCGTGAAAGGAGGTAATAGAAGAAGATTCAACTTGAGGTCCCAGTGCAGATGAGATGTCTTCTATGTTTGCGGATGATTTCAGCTGCGAGTGGGGAAATGATAGAAGAGTGTTAGAAGGATGTTTGGGTTGTATGCGCTCCTGTTGACTGCTTCAGGTCAGCAAATAACAAACTGACACTCGGCGAATTCAGCAACCTCAGTTGCTGGTGTTGAAAACAAATGAGATAGTAGAATAAGGGACTCTTTGGTAAGGCTGATGTCGGATCAAAGTAAGAGATCCGATATTGTTGAGGGTTGAGTGGTGAGGAGGAAGGAAGGTGCGAGGCTCGTGCGCCTAGGAGATATTTATTGGCAGTGGAGGCTCTCGCAGCGGCTTCAGTGGCAGTGAATCACTCTCCTCAGTTATCATTGATGAACAATAGCTTGCAGGCGGGTAGTGGCAGTGTTTGGGGAGTGCCTGTTTGCTCTTCCTCCCTCAGGTTGATACTACAACCTGAAGCATGCACTTTCAAGTCTCACAAGTTTACATTTTGACTGGGCAATTCTTATCAAGTATACCTTACACTTCCTCCCTTTGAGTACAAACCTTTTCTGTTTTTAACCACTGTTGTGTCGGCCTGTTATAGGGGTCTAAGTGTTGAAACTACTGTTAGGTGAAGTTGAACAGCTACCTAGGTAGATAACCTCCTGTATGGTTGGAAGTAAGTAAGGAGAAGGTAAGAGAAGCAGAAGAGGTGAAATCATCCTTTCGAATATTTTGCTGTGTATTTGAGTAAGTGAGTTGCTGCAGCTGGTTCAGCAACATCATATCAAACAACCCATGCTGTATACATCATCGATGATGTTTGCCATGAGGATGGAGCCCATATCATATAGAACAAGTTATTGAAAATCACTACTGCTCACAACTCATATTAGATGGTCGCTTCATTGGCGTAAGCCACTTAAAAGGCAACGTTTTGCAATTTCTTTGTTGGTGTTGATGTGCAGCATCCCGCGGCCATCAATCCCCCTTAACAGTCCATGCACTGACAGATCAATCCTGAGAGCATACATATCTGAATTGCAGTTACAGTCACATCAAATATAGTTCTGATACATGTGTCACATGTCATATTCACGAAAATCAATAAATGAACTTGTATGAACGTAAGTTGTTGACAGTTTAGGAAGTCTAAGGTGGATGAGGCTCAACACTGGCCCACAAGCAATGTTCATCTGCCACATGGGAATCATCGTCCTAATTGCACCCTACACCCTCTTTCATCTCATCGACATCGATCAAATTGTCCCCGGTAACTAATCACCATGCATATCAAGTTCTTTATCCAAGCTTCCTATTTCAGTGACAAAGACAGGGCTAACACGATGCCCAGTCGCTTCCGACATTTTCACCGCCATCTACCCTACAGAAAATCGAATGAAGGCTTCACCGCTCAGGCGGAACCGTCCATAGCGTTAAGTTAGCTCACTGCCCAAACCCCAGACGATCAGCTGGCATGTCCACGAGCTTGTCGATTTACAGTTACCCTGATCACGATAAGGCTATGCGTTGTCTGCGGACTGTGTGCATCTTCGATGGCTAGAGATGCTCAGGTCAACGAGTGTACCGCGCTGTATGATTGGCATAACCATCTCGGCATCCGAGCGTAATCGTACTCACTGCAGGTATTTAGAAAACTGCAAAAAGGACTGACTGCAGTACCTGTCAGTTTATGGCAAGATAATTCTGCATCTACCCTGCAACTTGCGAGAAGCTATTGGCCTTCATCGCGTGGCTGGACGGGAGCATGCAAGTGACCGCGCCAGCCGACAAGCAAGCATCAGTCTCTCAACATGCTGGGGTCATGCCATGTTGCTGCAGTGATCTCAACGGACGTGTCAAGCTACTGAGATATCCATTGACTATTCGTTGCTAACGGCGTGTCTACGGTAGAAACTGGTATCCATCGTCAGGTTGAGCTTGGCGAACGACCCATCTACGGTGGCAGGCTTCATCCATCTTCTCAAACCCACCATCGATAGACTCGTTCTAGAGAGGCGACAAGGTCAGGCCTAGACTGCAAAAAGACGCCCTTACCGATACAGGTTGGCGGTCTTCCAGATCAGGTCGATCCCATGTGGACGATACTCGTCTTGGCCAAAGGATCTGGGGTAGGCAGCCTTTTGACTCGCGCTTGTGCAAGCCTCAGCACTGGGCTGAAGTTAGATGTCCAAAACGGCGTGACAAGCTCTGAGCCATGAGAAAACAAGAAGTTGGCGCTCTACATTGAAACAAGACTGGTAGCAAGACCTCCGAGAGAGACGGGTGCTCTGGAGATAACCCGCCCGTTACAAACAGCTGGTCCCTGAATCCGTGCTCCACGATAAGCTGTTGTCGATCCACCGAGCGAGCATCGGTTGCGATGAGCATCACTGGGTCCTGGATACAGTATGAAGAAAACAAAATAGATCGACAAGACAACGCGCTTCGTGTCCAATGGTCGTGTCAGTAACACCACTGATCAATGACTTCACCATGAGTGATGCCGCTGTGACAGTCAACCCAAGCGGGCTAAGATCGACTACCATAGCTCTCGGGATGGACAGACATCGCCACATTCGTCCAATTCCACGCAAAGGAAAAGCATGCATTAAGCCTGGCCAATACGGAACTGCCAGCTCAGGTCCCGGTTGGCGGATCATCAAGAAAAACGCAAGGCTCAGTCGGTCATGGTCACTCAGGGCAAGCGGAACACGTCAAAGGTGAACCCGACAATGCGGTGACGGAGCATGGGTCCATAACTGCTGTACAGCCGAGCTTTGAGTCTCAACCTCAGGATCACAGGCCCCTTTCCAACGCCGGAACCGCTGTTGAGAATTTGCTTTTTGATAACTGACGATTTTTCTCAGACGATGCCGATCACCAAAAGCTAATAACTCATGCACCGTTCCTAGATTCTCGGACCTTCTGAGTTCACTTTACTGCTGATAGTGCACACGCTAGAGAAGACCAACGGGCTCGGGGCACTGGTGGAGCAGCACAGGGCGTCCCATCGGGAAGAACCCTTTGGCGCCTGCACTCCACAAATGTCAATTGATGAAAAACGTTAGGTCAGTTGGTCTCAAGGCTGGCTAGGCCTTTGAGAAACGAAAGAGGTGGCAGGAAAAGCGAAAGTGAGGCATTGGGACCAGAATAGACGAGGGCTGGAAATACGAATAATGGTGCAGGCATTACTCTTGTGGCGCAGGCTTGATCACGATCTTCAGCCAATTGATTTGATCAACAGACAGGGCAGAGTCAGCACTGCAGAGAAGAGATGGTAGCAAAGGTTTCATGGCTGATGACGGTGATGATGTGAGCCGAGCTATTCAAACAGGTACAGGCACACTCTTCCAACTCAATGGTAGGTTGTTGGAAAAGAAACGGCATAATGACGACAATGTTGGAGCTAAATCGATGGGATCGAGGCACAGTTTTCAGATACGGCACGGCACGTCACGTTCAGGCACATTTCGATCTCACAGCATGTTGAAAGCTCAGTACTGGTCATAAGCCAGACCCAAAAGGAAGTCTTCGTTTCAGAAAAATGCATTGCTCCAGCCTCCATCTGTGCGTGCCGCGCTTGGGCGTTGAGGACCATCATGGAGGCCATATCCCGCGGCAGGTCGTTCACAGGGTCTTCTCTGAAATAGAAATCATGATCCCTTCAACCTCAGCCACCATCGGAGGTCCCTTCAAATGGTCGGGCTGGGAACTGAGTGAACGGGCCCGTCAGAGATCTTAGGCACCGGCTTACTCGCATCATCTATCATCTGTGCATTCGGTCGCTCAAGTGACAAACGTGTCGCGCAGGGAACTCCTGGGCATACATAGCCTTGGGTCGTGACAGCGCATAGCCGGTTACGAAGCGACGCGCCAGCTAGAGCTTTGATTGATTGAATGATGGACTGGGTTGAGAATGCAGGGACAATCGCATCAGAGTTCACCCCGCCTGCTCTCCTCGAGACAATTAAGGCCTAATCTTGATAACTACCGTTATCTATGTACTTGGCCATTATGACCGGCTGCATGATTCGAGGCTGGTGTACAATCGTCCGTCAACGGCTTTGAAGACTTGCCGCGTTTCAAGCCGCGGCATTGATAACGAGACCAACACCGAGGGAGGCATCCAATCTACCGTTCACTGCGTGAGATAATCAAAAAGCAACGAGAAGGGAAATAGAAGGGGAACATCAATGGGGACGACAATCATTCACGACCGCTGCACTGCGCTGCGAGATGGATCGACGCCTAGGTCGTCCAGTCTGTTGGGCCAGGATAACCTTTCCTTCGAGAAGGTCTGCTAGACAATTCCACAACACCGGTGAACCCGGAAATGCTACCGTACGGTACCATCGTGACAAGCTCGCCTATAAATTTGTTGCAGGCAATCTCCGTTCCCCGGGCGTGTGTCCTTTGCATTGGGTCGATCATGCAGCATCGTGACAGACAGACGAGTCCAGGATCGGGAAATGTGCCCCGAGTAGGAATTAGCAATGCACGGTGCAATCGTGGATATGGACACAGAAGAAGATTGACTTTCACGAGTGCGAGTCTTGGTGTAGCCCAGGGGTTTCAGACAATGGGGATGGATGGAGTGAAGTGGTACCTGGACGTTTGGTACCTGCAGCAGCTTTCTGGAAAGTACCGAATGGAAGGGCCACTCACCCACAATTAGGCATGAAAAAGAACCCGTGCGGACTACACTGTACCTGGCAGGCGGATGTTTGGTAATTAACGGCCAGTGTGAAATTGGCCGGGCCCTGTCGAGTTACGGTCCGGCGGCTGGCCCCTGGCAGACGGCCCCACACCCCGGACGTTGGCTCGAGGACCGGTGGGATGGGATGGATCAGCATGAGACTGAGAAAAGAAGCACCCAATCTTGGTCGCGAAAGGATCAATCGCATGGATAATGAAATTCTCGAGTCTTCTCAGACCCTTGATCGAACATTTCTCGGCATACTGAACACTCTCTGATCTTATGCCAGCCAGACAATAGATCGGGACTACCCTGATGTAAGTGACATCCTCTGATATGTGATATTTGTATCTAAATGACGTTACAACCACTGAACAAACCTGCTTACACGTTCATCAGGCACAATGACACCATGTGTATCGATCATAATGCACAAACAGAGGCTGGAGTGGTTTCCAGGAACCACTTTAGGGCTCACAAGTTGAGATGATCGACCGTGAAAGGCTTAAAGATGGGACAGAACAGAACCTTCAGCTCTAACGGCTAAAAACCCGGGTGGCGTCTTATGCCCAGTTATGCCCAGAATGGCGCTGCATAATTCGCACTACCAACGGACTTGTACACGTGTGTGACAAGGGCCTGGACGTTTCGGAAAAAGCTGTTCCTTGTTTCCATCACATCAACCTCTTGACGCTGCATTGCTTACCCTCTTGTCACAGCTTCAGCAAAGCCCTTTGTCATTCCCAAGCGTGTTAAGTGATTCCCCAGCGTGTTTCGTCACTTCAACGGTCACAATGCCCCTCGTCGATATTCCCCTCTCCTATCCCCTCCCCCTTTTCTTTTTGCCCTCCAGGCCCCTGTGAGCATTAATCCCAGGGCACGTCCCAGCGGAAGGAAAAGCACCCAAGGCTAGGCTGGCTGTTTGATTAATGCCCCCCCGGCTGTTGGACGACGGCCTCCCGCACGTACCAATTAACCCACGAGGGCCCTGAGGTAGGAGCCTAAGGTTTGGGGATGAACGAGGGGCAAAGTCCAGAGGCCATTTCATGCGACCCCGAGACAGCGCCAGGACGTGAGAGGGCCTTCTGTAGGCTCTTACGGATGGAATTTGACAAGAGCGCCACTTAAGTAGTTGGAGATTAGGTATGAACCTGGATGCTCGATACGAGTTGGAGGCTCTTGCAGGAAAGACCTGCTTGACTGCGCCATTCATCTGAACTATTGATAGATAAGTTGCGGTTGTGCAACGGCCAATCTTCGATATGCAACCCAGGGTGCTGTGGCGCGAGGCCACGAGAATCGGCCGAGGCTGAGGCGGCAGAGCAAGCGCGTGTAGCGAGTAAGAAAACGCGTCTGCTCCAAAACCCACGCGTCTGGCGTTCTAACCGTGTGCCAATTTCACCATTTTGCTTGGCTCACTGAAAGCCAAATTACAGCCTGTGGGGAAACACAGCATTGTGATACCAATAAATTGTTCACCCGCGCCGTTAATCTTTGTTCGGGTTCGAGGCATGAGAGCGGTGGTTCTGGGTGACAAGACAGGCTGGATTGCTCATCTCCCAGGGCCTATCAATCGTGATCTACTGCCGCGGTTGGTAACGTCTTTGGGCCCTTGGGGTTACTGTCACAAATTGCGACAATTTGCAGCTCGGAGAGCCATGCCCCAAAAAAGAAATAAAACACGGGAAAACATTGAACGGTCCCGCCGCGCCACGAGATTGAGATTGGGCTTGGACACTAGGATGCTCATCGCTTTGTTCCCCGTGATTGTAAGTGAACTGACTATGATTATGATAGCACCTCAGGCACAAAAAGTTCCCAGTCAAGGTCGGCAAATAAATGGTCGATGTCTGCAACGCCGTCATCACCGGTGCAAAATCCAATCCTAGAAAGCTTCTAGGGGGGGCCAGGGGAGCTTCCCCCGGTGGCCCTAGGTCGTTTCTTGTGGTTTCGTTCGTCCCCAATTGTTCGGTCATCCATTTTCTTCAGTGCTAGCGAGGTTACGAGAGTCGTTTCCATTTATCTGGGACCGCGGTAGACTGACCCTTATTTCCAAGACCAAGAGCCGACTGGACTGGGACTGACTGGGCTCAAGATGAAAGGACTAAACCGCCCGTGATCTCTGTAGTGTCATATCATTCGCCGTCTGCCACTTTTCACGTCGGGCATTCTGGCCCATACCAGTGGGCAGCCAGAGTTGAGAGGGCCACACGACACCATGAAAAAGACACCCTAAGGTTCGTTTGGTGTGCTCTTCTGACTCTTCTGACCCTCCCTAGGAAGTCTTCAAATGATCCATTTCTCAGAACCTTGCACACCCATTGGATCTTGTGCGGTTGCTCTTGGATCCTAGTTTCATTCTTCGCTTGTCTACGACAGTTTAACATCTTATCCTGAGATTGGGAATTTCGCGTGTCGCTGTCTCCGATCTGATAATCTCTCTGATGGGTTTCTTCCTCCCTTTGCCCATCTTTTTGCAGAATACCAAGGTTGAACAGCGTGCTTATGCTTATTTCTGCATGGGATGGCTGTGAATCAGTGCTGTACTCTGACTTGCAGCTTGAGATCAGCGCGAAATGAGGTACCAGTACCACCAGGGCGCCGTGACTCGAACTAAGTTCATAAGGCTTCGTTAGCAGGTCACTCTCCAGAGCTTCTGAAGGACTCCCGCGTGCTCCCCGCCAGCCCAGTCTGCTCCCGCTGCCATGGGCCTTTTCTCCTCTCAGTGCGGGCTCTCACAGTGCTCGCCGTCAGGTCTCTTTCAGGGCTGCCTGGGGTGCGTAAGTGCCCTGACCGGAGCACGGGTACGTACCCGGATCTTGGCGAATAAAGCCTGAACTGAAAGTGTCGCTGTTGAGCTGGGTTTTCCATTTCTTCGACAGGGGCGCATTTTAGAGTGGAGAACAGAGAGTCGTGATGGCGTACAGTGACATGTGCTGGCCCAAAATCTACAGTTGGCCAGTGACATGGATACCTTTTTTCCCAGCCACCTTTCTACAGCGCGCAAGGTTCCGGCAAGGTCCCGCCGGCAGCTCGCAAGTACTTGGACTTGACCTCCTTTCCCGTTGGTGAACCCTGGACAGAGCAAAGTCTCCATTGCTTCTTTTTCCACGCTTCGCTGCACTCCACTCACTTTGGCTGTTGACGGATACCACGACACGCCCACATCTTTTGGTCTCTGTCTCTTCTCACGCCCCCTTCGTGTCTCACCTGTCGACGCCTCTGGTACTGACTCTGGCTTTGGTCTTTTTTGGGCTTTTCTGGGGGGAACTTGCTTGCTTCAGTATAGGTTGGTTGTTCGCTCTATCTTGTCTCCCTGGACTTTAACCACGTCAGGGCTCACCCCATGTTCAGCTCACCTGCAGTTCTCTCTCTCTTTTCTTCTTCTTCCCCTCTTCTGACACATTCAATAATGGCAATGACAATAAACAACATCTATTGACATCGCGCAACAATCGCTGAATCAATAACCCCCCAGGTCATTATTCAAGCATCCTTCGCATTAATCACACTAAGAGGTAGAGCGGGAAACTCTTCGCTGGGGCCTCTCTTTTGGGGAGCAGAGCAACTGGGTTACCTTACCTTAACGTATTCGCTAGTGGCCTGAGGATCCTGCCCCGATCGGCAGGTTCAGTTCAGTTCAGTTCAATTCAAGCCACTCCCCCCCTGGCCCGTGGCCCTTGGCCCTTGTCAAGAGCTTTCTTTCGCTCTCCTTTTCGTTAATATCGACCCTATCCACTTCTGCAATCACCCTCACTTCAAGTCACTCCTTTTGCTCTTCTGGAACCCGGACCCTCTGGCGAGATCTCATCTCTTTTGATTGACGTTTATTCTCATCCATCGTCGTCTCGATTAATTCTAAACACTCACATCCCGTCCCCTCTTTCTCGACCTCCCATTGTTCAGTTCCATTCACTCATCTATCATCAACTTCGTTACCTTTACTGCCGCCACATCCCCTCAATTCGATTAACAGTGCTACTACTACCACGAGTAATTGCTTCAGGGACCACCAACATTGCTATATACAATTGCACACACTCGCTGCCACACCCACCCACCGTCAGGTCCCACGCTCGTTCGCCGCCGTTTTCCAAAATCAACTTGTCCGATCTGAATGCTCCGATAAAACGATTTCTAGCTCTTTGAGAGAGCTTCTTGTTTTTGGATCCGATTAGGTATATTCACTTGGCTGCCGTCCAATTCGGGGACCCTCCGAATAACATTCGTACCCCAGGACCCCAACTCATTCGCGTGTCACACTGCATCCGAAATAGAGTCCCCTCGATCACAACCGACATGATGACTGTTCAAAATGACTTGACCTATCGGGGTGTTTCTGGTCAACAGCTTGCCCTCGAGGATCGATTTGAAGTATTGAAGGAGATTGGCGATGGAAGCTTTGGCAGTGTCGTTCTGGGTAGAGTTCGGACGGCTGGTGCCAACGTTGCTCGCCGAGGTACAGTGGTAAGTCAATACGATGTGCACCCTCTTGTGACAGCTCCCGTAACCATTTCTACAGGTCGCTATCAAGACAATGAAGAAGAGCTTCGAGTCGCTAGCACCATGTTTGGAACTCCGCGAGGTCGTCTTCCTTCGCACTCTCCCTCAACATCCTCACCTTGTTCCCGCTCTCGACATCTTCTTGGACCCCTACACCAAGAAGCTCCATATCGCCATGGAGTACATGGAGGGCAACCTCTACCAACTGATGAAGGCTCGCGACCACAAGTGTCTCGATAATGCCAGCGTCAAGAGCATTCTTTTCCAGATCATGCAAGGTCTCGAACACATTCACTCTCACCACTTTTTCCACCGCGACATCAAGCCCGAAAACATCCTAGTCACTACTTCTGGTCACAATGAATCTGGCAACACCTTCCGCCGATACTCAGCTCTCGTTACTCCTCCTTCAACACCACCCACATACACCGTCAAGATAGCCGATTTCGGTCTCGCCCGAGAGACACACTCAAAGCTCCCCTACACTACTTACGTATCAACAAGATGGTACCGTGCTCCCGAAGTTCTTTTACGAGCTGGAGAATACTCCGCTCCCGTCGATATCTGGGCTGTTGGTGCTATGGCTGTTGAGATTGCTACATTGAAGCCCTTGTTTCCCGGTGGAAATGAGGTTGATCAAGTTTGGCGAGTTTGTGAGATTATGGGCAGCCCTGGTAACTGGTATAACAAGTCCGGTAACCGCGTCGGTGGAGGAGATTGGCGTGAGGGAACCAGACTCGCTGGCAAGCTTGGTTTCTCATTCCCCAAGATGGCTCCCCATGCTATGGACACCATTCTGCAAACACCCCAATGGCCGACCTCCCTCAGCCAGTTCGTCACTTGGTGCTTAATGTGGGACCCCAAGAACCGCCCAACATCATCACAGGCTCTTGCTCACGAGTACTTTGCCGATGCCGTTGATCCTATGCGACCCAAGTCTTCTGCTTCTCGAATTCTTGGACGCAAACAGTCTGACCTCAGCCGAAGCAGCAAGGAGGCTGCTACTACTACACCCACATCTGTGAAGCAATCTTGGTTCCGCAAGTCTCTCATCGGACGTTCTGAGAGCACTGACCTGGCTACCATGCAGGCCCAGACAAAGGATTCCACTGCCCCCAGACCCGCACCTGTACATGCTTCATCGGCTGTTGAGGCATCCACTGCAAAGGTTCGCCCAGCTGCCGGAAAGAGGACCACTTGGACAAATGGCCCATCAAACGTAGCGCCCATGCCTATTCTTCCCACTGCGCGACCGATCTCGCCGATCCCTGATGCTGTAAATGCCCGCGCCAACAACACATACGACGACTCTTACGCTAATGGACATGGCCAGGGGAAGACCAAGAAACTTGGCCGACAGCTCTCTGTCGCTTCAAGCACAAACAACTACACAGAAATGCATCGGCAACAGGCCGAAAGGGCACTCAATGGGAATTCTGGCCTCGCCTCCCCTCCGAGTGGACAGAAGGAGAGCTTCTTTTCACATCTCAGAAAGCGTGCGCGGCGGTTCTCGGGACGACATCAGACCCCCGTCTCACCCGCCTATGACGACGACCTGGAGGCCCAGGTTGGATGTGGCCCTTGGGCTAGCAACCGGTCGTCCATGGTTATTGACCAATCGCAACAACAGGCTCCCATTCCTAAATCCGAGGTCTACGAATCCCTGGACAAGGCCCTCCGAGATGTTCAGAACAACCTCGATTCGCGACCTCCCGTTCCGCCCAGTCACCAGATCTCGCCTACCAGCACCCTCAAGCGACATCACTCGCTTCCTCAACACCAAGCCCGGTCAGTAGACAACCTGATCGGTGCTGCTCGAGGTGGGCCCATCTCTAGCCGAACAAGGAGGGCCCAAGCGACACATGGCGTACATCAATATGAGGCTCCTGATGAGGAAGACGAGCTTCTAGACGAGGCTTTGACTTCTACTCAACGGGCCGTCAAGCGCATGGAGCAGAACCAAAATAAGCCTCTTCGACAGTCGGCTAGCAACATTGGGTTGATGAACCCATACCCTACGCCGTCACCCTCAGCCAACGGTAATCAAGTCCTGTTTGCCGATGGTCACGAGGCTGTTACCCCCAGGCCACTAGATCTTAACAAGAAGACTGATAACCAGTATAAGTGGCCCACGCCACCATATGAGGAAAGCGAGTGGGCAGCATCAGCAGCCGCTAGTATCTGGGCTGCTGGCAGTCGCTTCTAAGTGTTTCGTCTTGACATACTGTTACGATTACGTCCAGTGGCGCCGAAAAAGTTATTGATATCGACTCGCATGGTCATGGTGTTCGGGTGTTTGGGTTGAGATATGCAACCCTTTTCTGATCTTTTTATCATTGTTGTAACGTGGGCGGTCCGTTTGATTTTTGGGCATAACTGGCTTGACTATACATACTTTATTCCTCCCTTCGATTCAGCACTCAACATTTTCACCAAATACCCGGCCGCAGTTTTATGCCGCCTTCTGCACATTATTATTACTATTACCTCTTCGCCATCTCTCACTTTTTGAACCGTTTGCTCTTCTTCGTTTTTATACCTTGAGTATCAAATACCCCCTATAGACCACAGGCGAGCGCAGCCGCAGCAATCTGCTTGAAGCAATACCATACACATACCACTCAATCAATTTCTTTCCTTTGTCTCACTACTATATAAGAAAGGTGGAAAGGAGTCTGAGGTGCTTGGGCTGAATATGACCGGCCATTTTCTTTGTCATATCCTTGGGTTATCTTTGCTTGAATGGACAAAAAAGGGTCAAACAGGACGCCTCCCCAGGAGATGGACAGAGTGACGGCCAGAGCCATCGTTTGCTTATTGAAGCATGTAAAAAAAGTCAGCGAGCATTTTATTATTCCCCCACCTTCTCAGTCAATGCATTGGGAGACTGTCAAATCAATAGATGGAGTTTTTCGCCGGCCAGGATGCCAGACAAAGCAGTTTGCAATTTTATGATCAAAGTATATAATTTTACACGCCCCGGCAACAGGAGAAGGGATGCCTTGGTATGAGGAGGGGACCATGGGGTTAATCAACAAAATATCAAAACAATTACTGTTTCATGCGCTCTATGCGATTTCTGCTTTGACTGCCCAATGGCCTATGTGAACTAAGCATCGTGGGCTTCATCGAGAATGTTGGCGGTCTCATTAAATCGATAAGAAGGTTTCTGCCTCCCTTTAGTAGTGGGGGACCAAGTCAGAATAATGAGGCAACATTTGTAGAAAGCGGGGAGGCAGCCAAATTAGAGATTGAAAGACAGGAGATGAGGTGGCTTGAGTAGTGACATGCATGGTATTATTTGCACAATATTAAGCTGGGATGAGGAATAAGCAAATCTCTTAGGCTTTATAATATTACTATAGTTCACACGAGTGACCGTCAGGGTGTCATTGTTGCGAGACACAATGTGATCAATGGCATTGAGTTTGGTGAGATGAATCTGAAAGACATCTTTGTGAAACGATTGAACAATGTAACTCGAGTGAGAGTTGAGTTGAATTGAACTGAGTTGGTGAGAAGATATGGATGAAGTGATCATGGTCACGTGGCCGGCTAGACGAATATCACGACGCTTACCTTAGGCAGCACTCACCTGTCCTGGTAAGCCAAGCCAAGAACTGACGACGAGCAGTGACTATTACGAAACGGAGACGATCTCTGTATCTCTTTAAAACGTGTCAAACGCTCTTTTTGTCCTCGGGGGTCGTTGACGACTTTTATCAAGTGTTTGTTCCTGAACCGTAACGCTAGACGTTTCACACGAAGCGACCATCGAATCAACTGATTCATGTTGGACGGACTTTGAGAAAGCCGAGAACTTTGCGACGATCTTGCCCGTGGATAATCTAAACATCTCACGAATTTTGGATCATCTCATTTTCTTGAATATCGCTTCTTTCTGATCACTCACCATCATCCCAACCAAAGAAAGGCTGGACTGGATCATTTTACGCGGGGGAGGGGTAAATTCGGTGTTGGCTAAAGGATTCATGGACTAATGGATGAGCATTTAACTGAGAATCTCGGACCTCTATCAGTATCACTACCAATCAGCCCATCATGAGTCTCAATCTGCCAATGCGACCTAGCACAAGCAGTCAGCGGAACCGGGACAGTCGTAATAATTACTTCAACAGTTATACCCCGCCAAGCTCCACGGAGGCTATCAATGGGCCTGTTAGAGAATTGGTTAGGGAGCAGACGCCTCTGAATGATCGCTTGATTGTGGGTGTTGATTTTGGAACTACGTTTTCAGGGTGAGTACCTCAAGCTTAGAGAAAACATGAAGCTAATGTTCGTAGTGTTGCTGCCGTATACACTTCTACCCCTGATGATATAGAAATCATCAAGACTTGGCCTGGCGGCAATGGTATCACATCGGACAAAGTCCCAACGGAGATTGCCTATGACTTTCCTCCCAATGCACCACAAGGCACTGAACCAACAGTAAAATGGGGTTTCCAGTTCAAGCCTGAGGAGTCACGTCTACGCTGTATCAAGCTCTTCCTAGACCGTTCTCAAAAACTTCCCTTCTACGTCAGCCCCCTCGACACAGCCGCACAGCTCAAGCGTTTCAACAAGAATGTCGTCGATGCAGTAAGCGACTACTTAACTCAGATTTACAAGCACACGATGGACACCCTCACCCGTAGGTACGGCGAGTCGTTCATGGCGTCGACAAAAGTTGAGTTTGTACTCACTTGTCCGGCCGTTTGGAGTGATGCTGCAAAGAACACTACACTGCAGGCTGCTGAGAGAGCGGGTATGGGGTTGAGGTCTGAGATTCAGATGATCAGTGAGCCTGAGGCTGCGGCTGTGTATACGCTTAAGGCGATTCAGCCGAATCATTTGAATGTGGGTGATAATTTTATTGTTTGTGATGCTGGAGGTGGTACTGTTGAGTAAGTTTAGCAACCCCTTCATCTAGCATGGTACTGACAATGCGCAGTTTGATCGCATATAAAATTATCTCACTCAAGCCGCTCCGTGTAGAGGAGTCTGCGGTTGGAACAGGAGGGTTGTGTGGAAGTGCTTTCTTGAACTATCGATTTGAAGAACATGTTAGAGGCCGTCTTGGCCAGACTCGTTTTGATGAGATGAAAGCTAAGAAGGGCAAGACATGGCAAATGGGTCTTCGATACTTTGAGGAGTTCGTGAAGAGGAACTTCAATGAGGATGAGCACCAGGAAGTCAATGTTCCGTACGTACATCTCGCCGTCTCTATCTTGACCTTGCTGACATTTCTAGCTTCCCTGGCCTTCCTGACGATGAAGAGGCTGGGCTGGACTCGGGCTTCCTCGTCATGACAGCAGAACAAGTCAAGGACATATTCGAGCCCGTGGTCAAAGAGGTCTGCGACCTTGTCCAGGGCCAAGTCACAGGCCTTCGCTCAAAGGGAGGCATTGTCTCGGGCATCGTGCTGGTTGGAGGTTTCGGTCAGAGCGATTATCTATATCGTCGACTCAAGAACCACTTTACCAGCGCTGCTCCGCCGCCGTATAGCGAAAGGCCTACACACGCCAATGCCAATTCTACACAGGAGACAGGCTCCATTGAAGTGATGCAGCCTGTGTATGCTTGGACGGCGGTTGTGCGAGGTGCTGTCCTGAGGGGGCTGGAGGGCAACATGGTCATTTCTCGTAAGTCGAGAATGCACTATGGTACATCGTATGCTACTGTGTATGATGAGGATAAGCATTCGGTCAGTGAGCGATACTGGTCTCCCTTATGGGAGCGCTGGATGGTCTCTGACCGGATGCAATGGCATATTGCAAAGGTACGTCTCCTCCTTTCATGGACTCATTCCCATCTTCTAACACATCTCAGGGCGAGGCTCTATCACCGCTTGCGCCCATCGCATTCCACTACACACGTAACTTCCGCCCCGGTCAATCTCTCATCGTCACCGACGATCTCATAGCATGTGACGCGGACGAACCACCCGCAGCTTACACTCGCGACCTGATCCACGTGTGTACCCTTACAACAGACCTCAACGCCGTTCCAAGGAGTTTGTTCACGAGATTGACGACGACGAGGGGCGTTGAGTTTGATAATTTGGATTTCACACTGGAGATGAGGGTTGAGAGTGCGGGCTTGGGATTTGAGTTGAAGGTCGATGGGGTGAGGTATGGAAGGGTTGAGGCTGAATTTCACTAGGGCTTTGATTTAACGGAGTTATACGTGAGATATGGGTTAGAAAATGTGCATATATATCTATTGACTGAGTTGATCTTGGTTCTCATCTGTGTTCCTATTTGATGAAGTGGCAAGTGGTGACATCGTAGGTTTGGCCCAAGTGGTTGGCTTCTTAGCTTCTCGCTCACCTTTCATTGTCTTAAGTCATTGAATCTTGTATCGACTCTACCCCGGGTTTGTTCTCGAGTTTAGCATTGTTTGAGAGCTAGCCTACTCCTTTGTTCGCCTCGAGACCCGACTTACATGAGGCTTGACTTACAACAGGCGACCGCGAACACGCACGAACACAACATGCTCAGCCATTACTTTCTCACTTCCAATCTCCAGAACAGATACCATGGCTTGACAGCCTAGCAACAACTGCGCAATACGAAATCTCATGCCACACATATAAAACCACTGCCCATCACCTTTACCTTGGAATCACAGATTAAACAATACAGTCCCAAATATGTTTCAAAATTACAACTAATATTTTAATACGCACAAGGCAAGTAAACACTCAAGATGAGCTCCTATCTAAGTTTCCAATGGCCCAACCCCCAGGGCGTCTGCTGCTACCGCTCCTTCGACAACCCCAACGACCACTCCATCATCGCCATTAAAGTCCCCTGGCTTCAATGGCCCAACGACCCGCTCGAGGATGTCCATTCACCCTGGTGGGTAATCCGTGAGAAATCATTCGCAGTTGTAAGACTCTGGAAGAAGATTCTACACGAGAAGCTCGAGAGTGAGACGCACCATAAACATATGAAGATCACTAGCATTGTTCTTATGAATGAACAACTTAGACTGACTATTGATGATTTAGGAGAGGGAGATGATCATCTGAAGTTGTTCTATGGGTTTGCCGCTGATGAGATTGCCAAGATGAATGAGGTCAAGGGGCTGGATCTTGGGAAGGATGTTGTTAAGTGGGTTGGGAGTGGGAGAGATGCTGTTCCTGTGTTCAGGAGGATTAGGAAGAGAAACACAGCTCTTGTCTAGGAGGGTAATTTCTGGGTATCATACCTGTAGCCGTAAGGGTATTTATGGTTCAGTCGTTTCAATCAATACATAATGCCAACTTCATTCGAGACTTTTCATCGTGAGGATCTGAAGATAACTGGTTCCGCCATGACTTATAATACATGATTATTTCATGAATACCTGCGGTCTATTATGGTGTAATCATGCCAAGAAAAGTATGAGAACTCATCTTTGTCTACACTCATGAGGGGGATGTGATGAGTTTGATACCAATATTTAGTCCTTATTTTGTAGTAGTGATAGGAATTTGAAGCGATAACTACTTAACAGGCTACCTAGCTCGCAACAAGACAACTCATCTGATTTATGATTGTACTTGTTTTAATATGAAATGTCTCGATTATTGCGGACATTTATGATCTTCAATACGTCACTTGAAGATGGCTTGCCCTTCCACTTTTCAAGGTGGGGCACAGACATCAACAATTCTTCAACTTTCACTCTTTCACACTCATTCAATCCTCAAGATGACTTCTTCGGAGCATGCGTCAGCCCTATCAAAATGGGCACATTCTCAAGGCGCAACTATCAATCCCTCTGTTGAAGTCACTCATTTGCCTGAAACAGGCCTCTCGTTCCGCGCAAAAGCGCCTACAGCGTCCTTTGACACAATCGTCAGCATCCCCTCGTCTCTCACGCTCTCATATCTCAACACTCTTCCTGGTCGTGATGACCCTAAACCTTTCCCTGCGGGATTTCTGGCGCAAACGCCACCGCATGTCATTGGCCGTTTTGTTCTCATCAAGCACTTTCTATTGAAAGGAGAGTCTTTCTGGGCGCCATATATACAGGCTTTACCGCAGCCTGATGACCATGATTCATGGTCTCTTCCGCCATTTTGGCCAGATGAGGATGCAGAGTTATTTGAGGGGACGAACATCGAGGTTGGCGTTACGAGCATAAGAGCCAATGTGAAGAGAGAATTCAAGACGGCGCATGATCTTTTGGCCGCTGAGTCGTGGGAGCCTGAGCTTCTCAAACAATTCACCTTGCCATTGTACCAATGGGCCTACAGTATCTTCTCAAGCAGAAGTTTCCGTCCAAGCCTTGTTCTTGGGCCAGAGGATCAGCAACGTCTTCCCGAAGGTGTCAAGCTAGACGACTTTTCTGTTCTCATGCCGCTATTTGATGTAGGAAATCACGATATGACTACCAAAGTGGAATGGGTACGCAATGAGAGGATCAAAGGCTGCAGTCTCAAGGTTGAAAAGGCGTATCAGGCTGGGGAGCAGGTCTTCAACAACTACAGCATGAAGACAAATGCTGAGCTACTACTGGGATATGGGTTTATGCTCCCTGACACAGAGGAGTTGCACAATGACTATGTTCATGTGCGGAAACGACAGCCTGCTCATGGTGAGGCTACAGAGGAGTATTACATCTCTCTACGACCCATTCGGGACCCCAGCTCCCTCCTCGCACGCTCAAAACAAAGCGTCCAGCTCAACGACGGTACCCATATTCTGGGAGCCTTCCAGCATGTTCAACACGACATGGTCTGGGACATCTTCTGCACCCTCGCACCACCCGAACAACGCTCGACTCTTATCAGCGAGGGCACAGAGCAAGAGCAGCAGGAGAAGTTTTTCAGTGGCCAGGTCAGTGAAGATGGGCGAATGTTCCTTCAGCAGACGGCGGCCATCATTCAGCATAAGGTCATGCAAGAGCTGGAGAGGTTGCTTGAGACGGACGTGGAGGTTGTGGGCGGAGGTGACCTGACGAGGAATCAGCAGTTGGCGCTGGATTATAGAGCGAGGTGTAGGAGAGTGCTTGAGAATACACTTGAGGCTATGAATATGGAGGAGTTGTTTGGGGAAGATGAAGAAGGGGGTGAATAGATAGATGCCTGCTGGGGACTGTTTCACTACAGGGCTGAAGCTATGAGGTTAAACTTGATAGAGGCTCTAAAACATAGATCAGGATAGATCCGTGGTGGCGCAAAGGAATAGCCAAATAAAAAGAGATAGTCGTTTGCTGAAATTTCTCGTTTGAAGATGCAAACAAATAGTTTCGTGGTAGGTTGTAGTTTAACTCTCCATTCACATTGGCCAACTTGTCCAGTCAGAATTAGATGCATCTCCACTCTCATCAGCTCTTTATCTTGATCTCATTGCAACCTCTGCAACAACAAGATCGGTCAAGCATCCAGCGCATCTCATATATCAACAGAGGTGCCTTCACACGACTTACACGATCCACCCCACCCCCGCCATCATGACACCTTCATCAGACCTCAAACTGCTCGATCTCATCACCGCCATTGACAAGTACATACTCTCCTTCTTCACGAATTTCACAGAATACTAACAATTCCAGTGCTCCCCTCGACTTTGCAACAAACTATGCCCCCTACTACCGTCTCTTTCTCTCACCCGACCCTCGCCCTCATGGCTTCATCCTCCCCGCCACAGTCTCCCTGATGCCATGGCCTGCATCCTTCACTATCGACCACGACAACCGCACCGTCACACTAAGCAAACCTCCATCTGGCTCAACACTTACAGAGCACGCAAACTCCGCGTTTCAAGAAGCTGTTGATAAAGCCATTGGCGATGACCTGTTTCCTATTCTGCACAAGGAACACAGTGAGTACTTTCGCATAGTCGGCGCAAGGGAGTTCGTGCAGGTCGAAAGGTTTGCTGCTCCGTTGTTTGGCATTGCGACGAGGGGTGCTCACTTGACGGGGTATGTACGCGGTGATGATGGGAACATAAGGATTTGGGTTGCGAAACGAAGTCGTCACCTCTTCAGCTACCCTGGTCTTCTTGATAGTACTGTCGCTGGTGGTATCAAGGCCAGTGATACACCACTTGCATGTATCAAAGCTGAATCTACCGAAGAAGCTTGTCTTCCGCCAGATCTCGTCTCATCGAGCGTTGAACCCGCGGGAGCGATAACGCTGGCGAACATCAACCAGAAGTCAAAGTTATTCCACTCAGATATAATCTACGTCTTCGATCTAGAGATGCCGAAGGATGTTATTCCTCGACCGGGAGATGATGAAGTGGAGGAGTTTGTGCTGATGGATTGTCAGGAGGTGGCACAGCGCATGTTAGCAGGAGAGTTCAAGCCGAATGTGTGCCCTGTTATGATTGATTTCTTGGTCAGGAAGGGGTTCATCACGAGAGAGAATGAGGATGACTTTGAGGAGATCCAGAAGAAGTTGAGGAGGGAGATTCCTGTGCCGATGGAGTCTGATGTGTAGTGGTGATGCAACTTGAAATTATTGGCCTATCATGAATCAAAGGCCTGCTTTTACTTGAGCTTTTTCGGGGGTTCATGCTTGAAAGGAAGAGTTAGGACTCCTGTAGCATTTGAGTATACAACCAGGCCCAGGTAGTTGGTGTACGTTGTTACACTCTCTGCTAATTACAATAGTTTCATATAAGTTGATCACATCATACGAAATCCAAGTGATGAATGAGCCTCTTCGCCACAGCAAGGTGCACCGAAGAATCATCGCCTGTAACGAATGTCGAAAATACAATGCCTTTGTGTGCACGAACTAATCTTAGTTCATTTGACTTCTCGAAACCATCACATCATTTTCCCTAGCTAGCAATCTTTACCAGTCTGTTACCAGTGTTAGTCACCAAATTCTCGAAGGCCGCATTGTCCAGGGTAGTCACCCTCACACTGTTTGCCGTTTTGGCGAGGCGAGGTTCCTTCCCGAAGAGTACTCCTCCCTCCCCCGTCAGCCCACCAAAAAAGTCCACCTTACTCCCCCCAAATTTCTACCAGCAAAAGAAAAAAACCCATCAGCGACAAAATCACCGACGACGAATACTGCATTTTACGACTTGAATTCTCAGACAAATAACTCACCGTACTTGTCAGAATGGCGAGATTCAATGGGTTGTTATCGTATTGGTACGTACTTCTCCTCTTTGTCTGCTGACCTTCTTGAACCCCGCCTTGCCACATCAGAAGGCCTCTGCTTCACGCCGACAGAAGCAAAGCACTTGTTTGATATGCACTGATGGCCATTTTTCTCTGCATTATACTCGTAAGTACGAGACTATAATGTCTGTTTTATAGCTTGCCTCCAGTGTCGGCATGACTTGCATCATTTTCAGATCTTTTCGTGTTAGCATGTCTCTTCTCTATTATGACATTCTCCTACGGCGTTCAGCCCGTCACTGACATCTTCCCTTCCACATCACAACCTCTATGATTCACTCACACTCCTCCGACTATATGCTTTTCTTTCTCCTTTTGTGGTTTGATTTACTCTCATGTCTTTCTGGCTCAAAGTCGACACTCTTGACGCCTCAGAAGCATCACAAAACTCGGTTACCTTACACCAAAGACCAACACAAACGACACTTCACTTCTGCACCACGACTGAGTTTATGATTATAAACTCAACCACAAAAACCTTTCTTGCGAAATGCCACGTTGTCATACCAAAACAATCGCTTCGGAAGTCCGAGGTAATTGCAGCCACGTTGTGGCCAGTCGCAGTCAAAGACAGAGGTTCGCCATCATAGCACACGGAAATGCTCTACGAAAATGGTTTGTGCCACTATAAGATGGCTTCCAAATGACACCGAGGGATCGATCTCTACGCGCCAAACAGACACTCAATCAACCTCGAGTCGTTCGAGTTTCCCGGCCAAGCGCCTAGCAGCACTCAATCATATCTGTTCCAACATGTACATCACAGTACGCGACAAAATGGGATAACAAAGTTTCTTATCGCTATGGTTACATCTAAAGCCACAAACTACCGACAAGCGGCTCAGATGCCCGCTGCCATCCAACTTCACCTTGGCGCATATTACCAAGCAACCATGCGTTATCGATTCTCCCCAGTCAGGGTATCTCCCCAAAACTATGGCCTTGCCCCCACGAAACCTCAGCAAGCCGCACCATTGCTTTCCCGCACCAGAAAGCCAGCTATTATCATATCGCCCTATGTCTTTGTGCGCCAGGTACTCCCTGTTGATCCCAAATGTCCATGTTCGTTAAGAACTATGACGACGTCTTCATTATCGATTCATCAGGCTTGGTTATGTCTGCCTCATCCGAGGCGTCATGCTCGAGTATTGTTCAAGCACACCGCGTCGCCCCTTTGAGCAACCATGACACCTGGTGTAGCCATGCGGCTGGGTATAATGGTGGCTGATGCTCTCCGGTCGACGAAACATCCAAGCTCCCAAAAAGTCATACAACTCATACAGTCCATCTCTCAGCCCGACGCCATGTCTACTCCTCCTCCGAGTCCGATTCATCACTGGACTCGGCCGTAGGTGTGGGAGCCTGCAACACGGGTTGATTATCGCCAGGCTCCTGGCCCGGCCGGTACAAGTTGCTGAGATCACGAAGCTGCGCAATCCGTTCCTCTTGTTCACGGGCACTCATGGGCTTGTTCTTTTTGGGCTTAGCCGATGTCGATGATGCCTTCGTATGCTTAGGCGGCGCTGCCCGGGTCACTTCTGGAGAAGATGGCACGTTGGTGTCCTTCCCGAACCCAGGCAACACCTTCTTACAGAGTTCCCAGAGTTTGAGCAGAGCCTCATTGCTCAGTTGGTCGATGTCCAGCTCGAGCTCTCCGTCGGTGTTCTCCTACAGGGTCGTTAGTACATTGTCACTATCATGGGCAATACTGGTGAACTTACATTTTGGCCAGTGTCTCGCTTGATAATATCGATAGCGCGGTCAAGCTGTGCACCATCAAGATCATTGATAGCAGAAGCGATAGCGTCCTTGTCTGCAGCGGTGAGAGTCTTCTTCACAGCCTTCTTGGTGCCACTGGGCTTCTTAGGATTTGCCACACTTCCGCTGGGTTTGCGAGGGGCAGATCCACTGGGCTTAGGCTTGCTCGGCTTACTGGCCTTCTTAGAGGGTTTCTCAGGATGCTTTGTGCGGTGCGCACTGAGAGCCTGTTTCGCCTTCAGAAGACTTTCTTGTACAAGGTTAACGATACTCTTCTGCATTGCCACCATGCTCTCATTGGGCGAGTCGGCACACAGAAGGTCGGTCAGCTTCTCACTTTCCTCCCTCAGCTTTGTCTCCAGGTCCCGCACTTCCTTACTGTGGTCTGCACTTGGAGGAGCTGCTACCTCATCGCCATCGGCTTCCTCGTCCTCATCTTCCTCGTCGCTACCGTGGGAAGCAGCAGGAGCATGTGCCTTGGCGTGTCTGGCTAACCAGCTGTCCTTGTCCTTCATCAAACTGTTGTAATAGTCCTCCAATTGAGAAGCTACATACGACACAGTGTTGCCTTGGTCAACACTACCGTTGAAGGTATAACAATTGGAAAAGATCAGCCGCACGTTCTTGTCAAAGTCCTTAATGTTGGTGATGTCACCACTCTTCAACATGCGAGCCACCTTTCCAAGATCCATGGGCTTCTTGATGATGGAGTAGTAATGTGGAATGTTGAGCCCCTCAGCATCAACTGGTTCCATGAACCAGTTGTTGATGGCGTGGTTCTTGGGGTGCATCAAATCGTTCAATACCTCTTCAGAGAACTGCAGCTCAGGCTTAAGCTTCTTTCGCGAAGGCTTGGTGGTATAGTCAATATCCTTTGATTTGGGAGCACGGACGGTTCGTTTGGGACGATCGCCCTCAGTGGCAGATGAGGCACGGCGCAGTTCGGTAGCAGCGGTATTGGCTTCTTGAGATCCAAGCCGCGGCTTTGACGACACGCTTTCGGCAGCGGGACTAGCGCCAGGTCCAACAGATGGCTTGCGAGCAATAGAATCACCGAGAGAGCTGATACGCGACTCGCGGGGAGGCTTGGGCTTGGGTATCTGTTTGGGCTTGACTGCCTCTTCTTGTGGAATGGTGGCAACTTCTTCCCAGATGCTTCGAATAGCATTGAACGCAGCAGCAGTAACGTCATGGAGGGTTCCATTGAAGTTGCGCGTGTTGTCATACATGAGAACCAGGTCATTCTGAAAATCACCGACCGTAACATAAGCACCATTAATATCACGTAGGGTCCGGTCAATCTCGGAAAGGTCCATAGGCTTCTCGATCTTGGCCAAGTAACTCTCAGCGAGTTGAGGCCACATCTTGGGGACTGAGTCCTTGAAGTGGCCACCAGCCTTTGTCTTCTTCACGCGTCCCAGCACCTTGCGGAACTCGCGTCGTTGAAAAGGGGTGAGCGTTTGGTTCTTGAAATCGGCCTCATTCCATCTGGTAAGACCAGCGAAGCGAGAAACCTCCTTCTCGGGGGCAGACTCAGCAGAAGTCGCTTCGGTGTTGGGGACAGTGGATGTAACGTCGGCGGGTTCTTCAGATTTGGGCTCGGTCTTGGCTCGCTTTGGTGCAGGCTCGTCTGTGGCATCATCCTCACGTTCGCGGGCTACCTTAGAGCTAACGGAAGTGTCGCCAACGGGAGCATCCTGCATCGACATCTCGGTAGAAGGTTTAGGGGCATCCGCTTCCTTGGTATCGATAGCCAACTGAGATAGGCTGGTAGGTTGGACTTCAGCCTCTGAGGCGGGAGCTGCGGCATCGTTGGAGGAAGCGGGTGCCTTGTCTGTTCCCTCGGCCTTTTCGGGGGTATCTGCAGGCTTGTCCGCCATATCGACGTCCTTGGACTCTTTTGTGGTCGCATCTTCAGCGGGCTTCTCATCTCCGGGCTTCTCTGCAGGCACAGCGTCTGTCATATCGACATCCTCCTCTGTAGCCTTGGAGTCCTCTGCAGTATTAGGCTCCTCCACAGATTTGGCATCACCAGTCTCCTTCGTCTGATCATCACCTTCGGTCTTGGGATCGTTCTTTCCGTCCGTTGAAGGCTCTTGAGAGGGCTTCGTCTCATCGCTTGCCTCTGTCATCTCTACGTCCTTGTTGACACCATTCTCGACAGGATGATCGTCCGCTTTGTTGCCATTAACAGGCGCAGATTCGGGTGTGTCCTTTGGCTTTTCAGGTGTCGCATGGCTGATAAACATGTCAGAGAGTGCTGAGAAACGGTGTGCGTGTTTGCGCGATGCATCACAGCCTAACGGCGCATGATGGCACAGGCAAAAAGAGCGCGCCATCAGAACTGAGGGGCAACTTACCCGTTGACTTCGGACTTTTGTTCCTTCTCTGCTGTGACATCGCGCGACGTATTCTCGTTTGCGGGAGCGGTCGCATCGGGGGTTGGTGAAGCCATAATGGCTGTTCGCGATAAAGGCGCGTCAATACAGGTCTAGCTTAGTTGACTTGTCGCGACATGAAATAACGATGCGCACGTGAAAATGCTGAGTTGAGGATTATCGCGAGTCGACGTGGTGTTGATGCGCGATGGAGATTGAGAAGTGGATACGTAGGAATGGAGGCGCGACGCGCAGTTGCGAAATTGGATTAGAAGGCGGGGGGTCGCGATCTTATATTGGTAGCTGCTTTGAATTCTAGTAGCCTAGCGGCAAAAGGTAGGCGGAGTCGACGGCAATAACTCGTAGCCTGTGAGAGGCAAGAGCAAGGTAGGTCGAGGTAGAAAAAAAAGAGGAGTAAAGCCGAAGCAATGACGCTGACAAGGAAATCGAACAGCTGATTTCGCGACGGAGTCTTTTTTTGCGCGGGAGGGTGCAGCGCAAGTGTAGTGCAGTGCAGCGGAGCAATAAGTACAATACAAGGTAGAGTACGTAAAAAGGAAAAGAGAAAGAAGAAGGCCAGGAATTGGAGAAATAAAAAATGACTAATCAAAAGACGAAACAGTTTAAGCAATTCAGAGAATACTCTCGAATCACAAAACCTATTATTGATTATGGTGTGAAAGTGAATAAAGGCGATTGAAAGATGTGTTTGTACCTATAAAAGGTATTGGGAGAAGGCGGTGGTTTTTTTGGTGGTGATCGCCGGCTTCGAGAACAATAAGAACTGGAAGGAGCTCTTATCGTGATCGGGCGCGGAAGGTGCTTTTTGTGCTTTGCCGTTAACTGAAAAGGTGCAAGGTGGTTGCCAAGAGAGGAGGAACTCTGAGTGGCCAGTTGCGTCGCAGTTCAGTTTTTGCTCAGTGGGAGCAACAGCGCTGCTCAGTGCTTTTTTTTTGCTGGCCGGGAACCGGAAGAGGGAGGGGGGTAAGGGGGGGTTGGATCTAAGGGGAGCCTCTGAGGGAAAAGCGCGTGCACGTCAGTGAATTTTGCCCGGTCGGAGGCGCGGTGGTATTTATGAGGGAAGAAGGCAAACTCCGCTGAGCCGTTGATTTGTCTCTAACGGGGTGGCCAACTTGGCAAGGGGATTGGGTATGAGGGGATGGAAAAATTTAGTTGACCGAGTTTTGTACCAAATGGATTATGAGATGGAGCACGGGCCAACGACCACCTTCATTGTCATGGATGTGGATGGTGGGTGGCTGGGGATGATATTATGGTAGAGGTTGGTTGTATCATGATAATGAGATTGATTAAGATGAAAGACATTTCAAATCAGTCAAAATAGGTGAATCAGTTGTTTGATCCTTCATGTTTGTTCTGGAATATACATTTGCATTATGCAGAGCTGATTCAGAGCTTAATTCGATCTAGAACTCTATCTCATAAAACAATCCAATTGAATGTGGCTGGTGAGGACAGATCAGAATGGAAAAGGGAAGGTCCCCAATCCCGAAAAGACACGGGATGAGAGTGATGACGGCCCCGTAATGCCACCGCTTCCCGAGCTTCGTCTTACAAGAGGATCGTATTCAAGTAAGGAACAAACAGAGGTCGTGAAACTTGAAATGTATCATCAAATGTTTACCAAATGAAGATCTTTTACTTGCGCTGATGAAAACAGATCCCATTTTATACTGAAGCACGTGCATCACCTTCCTGGCACCTCTCTTACACGTTCACGTCGCGTCAAAGCCAGCCATGCAGCAAACCGTCATAACCACTTAACAGCTTTCACCCTTCTACCGAAACTGGGACGCATCATACCCAAGCCGGGATACAGGTCCACCTTGGATCTCAAGTCGAGGCAAGGGCAGGTATCAGGTGACCATCCCGTTGGCAAACAATAAAAAAGACAGGCAAGCACATCGGGTTTCGAGCTTGTGTTCCCAAGATCTGTGTCATTGCGTAACTGGAAACATTTTACATGATGCTGGGTCTTGTTTGTCCTTCATATCTCCTGAGGCCACGGACTACGAGATGATCCCTCCGGAAGCGAACGTAAAGGCTGCGGATGTGACCAATTGCAGCTTATCTCGAGTCCACTATCTATCCACTCCGTCCAATCACCGCTATCTTCATTTAGAGGCTGCAGTGAGGCCAATCACTGTAATTAAATGGCTCTCCCAAGCTCAAGGTCAGGCCGCATTAGGCCAATCATGGACTCTTAGCAGCCAGGATATTCTCCTTGCCGATGAAAGCCAGAGAAACAGCCACACCATGACTCATCCTGTGGCACTCTTGCTATGGCTGCACACGTGACCAGCATACTCTAATCTTATCGCTTGTGGGGCAACCACCAGAGCCAAGCTGGGGTTCCAGAAAAAAAGTTCCTTCACTCGAGACCAAGCGACGGCTTCGTCAAATTTTCCATTGATAACGTTCAACAGTATCACTTTTCCCTCATTTATTACGGAAAAGATACTATCCAAAGAAACAAGAGTCGCATTAATACCTTGCGTCTTGAATTAATCACCCATCGTCGGATCTCATCACCGACGAATCCCTGCACGCGACTGCTTAACATCCACTGCGCTTCACATCAAAAACCACACATAATGTCAACAAAACGCAAAGCGCCGGTCAAGCTGGCCGCTCCCGTCGCTAGAACCAGCGCTCGAATCCCCAACAAGTCCGTCATCGACGAGTCAAAGGCCTCCATCGCCGGCCCCGACGCCCTCCAGCCCTCGCAGGTTGAGCCCATTGAGATCTCGTCCGATAACGACAGCGACGAAGATATCTCCGATGCTGAGAGTCCAGAGGAGGAGCAGACCGCTCAGGAAACTGCCGTGACAAACACTCGCCAAAAGGCCGCCAAGCAAAAGACCAATGGCCAGTCCAACGACGAGGAATCAGATGCTGAGGGCACATCGCCTTCGTTCGGAGAGCTTCTTCGTGCAGAGAACGATATTATTGATGTGCCTTCTGCTCTGAATGGTGCAGTTGTCTCTCAGCCTTCGCGAAATGCCATTGTGCCCCCGACACACCAGTCTCTTACCACCGTTCTCTCTCAGGCCCTCCGTACCGACGACACGGACCTTCTCGAGTCGTGTCTGCACACCACCGATCTCCCCACCATCCGCAACACCATTGAGCGTCTCGACAGCGCTCTTGCCGGCACTCTTCTTACTAAGCTCGCCGCCCGCTTGTACCGCCGTCCTGGTCGCGCCGGAAACCTTATGACTTGGGTCCAGTGGACACTAGTCGCCCATGGTGGTGCTCTCGCATCTCAGCCAAAGGTTATCCACAGTCTCAGCGGCCTGCAAAAGGTTCTCGCTGAGCGCGCCAAGGGTCTGTCAAGTCTTCTCGCCCTGAAGGGCAAGCTCGATATGCTTGAGGGCCAGATGGATCTCCGTCGCAAGATGTCGCGCCCCGGTCTTCACAACGGCGATAACTCGGACTCTGACGAAGATGATGAGGATGTTATCTGGGTTGAGGGTGAGGACGATGCTGCGCGCACACCTGGTCGAAGGCGCGGTCTCGACACCGAGTTTGACGATTCAGACGACGATGTTCCCATCACCAACGGCTTTGTTGGTGACTCTGACGATGAGGAGGATTCAGCTGGCGAGGAGGACGATAGCGATGCCGAGGAGTCTTTGGACGAGGATGAAGTCAACCATGATGATGTGGACGAGTCTATGGGTGAGGATGAGGAGAGCGATGTTGAAGCTGCATCTGCACCACCATCCAAATTGCAAAAGACCGCTGGTAGCTTCGGCAAGCGGAGGTGAAGCAAAGGATTTCAAAAGCATGTAGAAGATTGAAAAGGGGGGAGGGAAGGCTTGTTATCATCCTGGCGTTGGTCTTGTAGACATTGGGTTGCTTAATTTTTCTGTATGTCTGTTTCTTGCAATATGACGAGTTGATACCTCCCCATGCTTTGCATCACTGTTGAGTATTTGGACTTCAGTAGTTTTGGTCATATCATCGTGTTCATGCTCCTAGTCTAAAACTACATGCCACCGGATTGAAGAAGCAGTCCCAACAAAAAACATATTAAAACGATTAGATTGTCAAAAATAGCTGTGCCCTTCCAGCGTCGCAAGTATTTCCAGCGCCATGCAATGCTAGGTGCCATGCAGAACAAGAAAAAACAAAGTCCTCAAGATGTTATCCCACCATTGACCTCTATCCACAACACCAGTGATAGCAATGCTGTAATAAGCTTCCCCTTCCTTTCTATGTTTCCTCAAAATAGTACAGTAGATGTATCTCAAGATGCGTCGTCTTTAAAAAGGCACTTTGCAGACGATATCAACAGCCAATATGCCATTGGCTTCTTTATGGGTGAACACCCTGACGCCATTGCTCGATTCTGTTGGTAGAACCACCTTGACCAGGCATTTGCATACCGGGTTGCAACATGCCTCCACCATAGACACTCATGGCACCAGCGCCGTAAGGGCTCATGCCGTTGGGCATTCCATTGTATCCCATGTTCATCGCACCCAGGTTCGTAGCTGAACCGCCATATGGGGCTTGCTGCATAGGGGTCCCATAAGTACTGAACACAGCACTCTTCCGGTGGTTAAGAGCTGGTTGATTGAACAGTTGCGTATGAAGGGCAGGAGAGGACATGGCTGCTTGGGAGTTCTGGCCACCAAGACCATTGTTGAAAGTACCTCCACGGTAACCTCCAGATTGCGCATTGCTAGGACCACCGAGAGCCTGCGGCATTTGGCTTCGATAAGCGGCCATCTTAGCGTCACGCTCTCTCAGAAGCCTCCTCTCATGTTCCATACGAGCGCGCTCCTCCTGGGCTTGGTTGGTCTCCCTTTTAGGATGGGCAGAGAGAACGCTGGACAACTGGTGCATGCGCCCGTTGATTCCTGGGATCGGTGCCTCAGCCTCTTCGGCACTAGCGTTCAGCTGGTTGAAACTCATCTCACGCTCACGGGCTTCTCGCTCAGCTTGTAGACGTTTTCGTCGTTGACCCAGTGTTTCCTCCTCGCCCGACTTGGGCTTATTCTCTTCCTCTTTCTTCTTCTTCTCTTCAGGATCCTCAAATTGATTAAGAAGCTCAACGGAGAACGCACTGCTGACAGGCCGGGCTTTAGGCAGAAGGTTCTCTGCCTCCTCCTTGGCCGCAAGCCGTCGCTTTCTATCAGCAAGAGTCTCTCCTTCAAACTCATCATCCGGCTCAGTCGATGCGTTTTGTACCGAAAGTTGCGCGACAGATTGGTGTGCTGAATGAGGAGTCGTAGGAAGATGATTGGCGCTGAGGTTATTCATGCTAGGTCTGTGGCTAATTACCATAGATCGAGGATCCTGGCCATGTAGACGAGCTCGGCGGTGGCTGAGAGGTTCGTTCTCTTCCATCTCACGACGCTCCATCAAACCAATAGGGCGTTGAAGATCCATAACATTCTTTGCACCCTGGTTACGTGCTGCAATGACAGCCAGAGGAATATCCTCATCATCGGAATCCTCATCAACAGCCTGTGCCTGGCCATCTTCCCATGCCAGGTTGATACGCTTGTTATTTCTTGCCTTTTTCTGAGTCTCGGCAACAGCATCCATTTCCAACAATGTTGCATGCATACCACCTGGGAATGTTCGTTGAGTACGTTCTTTTTGCTGCTGCTTTCGCAACTGCAACTCAGCCAGTAGTGTTGTTGGGGGTCCATTGTAGCCTTCTTCATCAGATAAGTCCTCCGCTTCTTCCTTGGCGGCTTGTTGCTCATCATCACTATGGCCATCGCTACGACCGTCCACGCTGCGGGCTAATCCGTCATGCTCATTCGCATTTGTGTCAGTGTTGACAGGTCCCAGCCCAGACTCTGACCGTGCCTTGTGATCCTTGTCATCATCACTGACATGGCTGTGACGTTTGCCAAGCCACATGAAAGAGGATCGCTTTCTGGCATGCTTCTTGTCGCCTTCAGGCTGAAGAGCCGTGGATGCAGCAACTGAAGCTCGCTTCTTTTCCTTGCCATAAACTTCCTTTCCGAGTCTGCCGGCGCGTTCGTGATCGGTAAATGCACTGACAGGGGCGTTTGCCGAAGCATCCAGAATGCTTTCAAGGGTGGCCATGGCAGAGCCGTCCTTAACTTCGATCTCTCCTTGAGTGTTGTCGGGGAGATCAAAGTAGGCGCTCGCTCTGAGTTGAGGAGGCAAGTTTGACATTCGCGACTTTCGCTTGTCAAGTTCGTTCCGAGACAACCGTTGAGGGCGCCTCAGTGTCTCAATCGGAGCATTGGCATTGGCTTCAGGTTGCACA